AGCTAAAATTAGGATGACTTAAAAATTGTTGAAATACTCTATGTCTTCTTATTCTCTCCTCCCTTTCCTTTTCTTTTTCTTGCCCTCCACTCCTGTGTGTGACCAGTGATGTGGGGGATGCCAGGGATGTCAGCAGGCACAAAGACATTCCTGCACCAAATATGTCCGGGCTTATACCAAGCAGAGACCAAAGCAGGAGAAACCTCAAGTACTCACTAAAGAATGCTGAGTTTACCTGTCTTTTACTAACCTTTTTTTTTCTTCAGTGGTGCTGCTACTGCTAGAAAGACATTTAAGATTTACTTCTGCCACAAAAGTCCACTTATCAATCCAAGCAGAAGATTCCGATCAAAGCAACTCAGATTCAAAGTGAAGTTTCTTCAACCAGACAGCTCTACTGGGAATATTACAAAATATTGTAATCCTATGATCCCATTAATTAAAGAAAAAGTAGCTGCACAAGTACTGAAAGGTTTTACCCTCAGCTAAATTACAAAGGTACTTACTGGATCTCAGAGGTCTAGAACTTTTACCATTAGTTTCCAATTAACTATTTCACATCAGTTTCTATGAAAACCTAAATCCCTCAGTGAAATCAGAAGCGTAACTATCAGCAACTAAAAGCTGAAACTGGTATTTGTTCTTTTTTCATGGGCCTCCATGAGACTGTAAAGAATATGAAAATACGGTTGTTCTTTGAATATTCTTAGTTAGCAGTAAGTGCTTGTGAAAATACCTGGGGTATGAGTAACTCCCAAAAGATCCAAAAGCACTCACAGACTATGACAGAAGCGAACTCAAAGCCCCACATTTGGAAACTGGTTTTTATGTACACAAATATTCATGTACAGAAAATCAGAATATGTTGGAATGTCCCAGGGATATATGGTACGCAGACTAGAAAGGCAGTCTTCTGATGGGCTAAAATCTGCTACTACTCTAAAGAGATTACCCTGGAAACTAATGCTTCCTGTTGATTAAAGGCTAAATTTCACCACAGATTTCACCATAGCCAAGGTTTACTCACAGGTTGTCACTGTTCAGAGTTACATACAATTTCAGATGTTTTAAGATACATTCCTGTGCTGCTATTAATACGTGCACACTGACACAGAGAATCATGTTATGTCACAGTAGACATGGGTTCTGACACACAGCAGTACATACTCCTCCTGCAAGTGAGATCATTCACCCTGAAATTCTCAGGCTCTGTGTATGGGGCTGAAACACTCAAATCGAGACTCATCAATGGCTCTCCCTTCCACACAAATGCTCTAAAGGCACCCAGTGACCTAGTTTAAACTTAAAACTCATATTCCACATAGATCAAACATGGAAGTGAACTCGTATTATTCTCTAAGTGTGACACATCCAAGACAGCTTTCAGGGCAAAGAGGGACAAAAATAGAAAAGCCTCATTATATGCCTAACAACAAGGTAGAAAATACGCAGATTAAGCTTATGCCTCATGGGAAAAGAGAAGGAAGAAGGGGGTGGGTAGGCTGAAGCTAGTTTGAAGCCTGTGACACCAGAGTAAATGCAAAAGGTTTATCAGAATCTGCAATTCACTGGGAGAGTTGGGGGACTGGGGAAGGAATGGCAGAGAGAGGTTTGTTTTAAACACAAACTGAACCAGGTGCCTGACACTAAGATTGTGCCGGGGAGAGACAGGTCTGCAGTAGCTCACAGAAGAAAGTGTTTCAGGCAATTGGTGATTAATTGTGCTCTGCTATGCCACATCTCTTTCTATTAAACCTCAGATAGCCAAATTTGTTTCCTAATTGTTTTTGTGTTTCTCAGTCTTCCTTTTGTCTTACATGGGAGTAGGCAATTTCTATGCCATCAATATCTCATTAAGGGGCCTGGGATGCAAAACGCCTTGTTTTGATTTTAATTTTGTTTTCCAGGCTTTTTGCTACATTTTATGACATGGCATTTTTTGTTTGCTTGTTGCGGCTCATTTATTCTCTGGCATTCCCTTTCCCCAGGTTATAGCTTTATTTCTTTCTTTGCCTGTTGGCACTTGAGGTGTATGTAAATTATTCTTACATGCTTCACCATCACTACCTATTGCTCTTCATTTCCCCTAATGACATTCTCATCTGAATGCTAGTGCCTGCTCAGGTTGTACCTGTGTAGAAAACAACTTGAACACATCCATGAGGTCTTCTTTTCCTCCCCTCCGCCCCTCTTTCCTATCACCATTTGCTTCAGATCTGTATTCATGCGGTAAGGAATACAACTGCATGCTTTCTGCCTAGGGCAAAATCCTGTGCCACTACTGCAAGTAGCAGCTTAGAGGAAAAAGGAAGGGCATTCACACAAATAGCTAATCAAAGGGTTTTTAATGATACTCATTAGGAAAGAAATTCATTAACAAGCCAGCACATGGAACATTCCCTGAAGGGAGAGTGATATTACTGGTCACATCAAAGTCCCTACCTGACTAACACCTTTATTGCTGTTCATAGTAAGGCCAAGTTAGCAGCAAAACCAGTCGCATTCAGTTCCTGCTAAGGAAAAAGTCAGCAAAGCATCGTCATTGAAACTGGATCAGTTCTGTTTTTCTAATAAGAATGGCTTTTCAGCTTTTCACAGGGATGTAGTTTAGACCCACCACTGATGCTTTCAAATGCATACAATTTTACATTTTCATTCTCTCCCCTGCTCTCTCTCTCCTTTTATTTGGATACCTCTGACTATGCCCAAACTTGGTACCCATAGTAGTGGTTCAGCCTACAGAACAGCAAACCTCAGGTGGATGGATGCCAGTGCCTCTTTTTGAACAGAAGTCTGCCAAAGGCATCCTCATTGCAAGATGCCAATCATTTACCTGGACGAGGCACCAAGGCAGGCACACCAGAGCTTACACCCATTACTCGGGATAGCCACAGCCTCTGAGTACCAGAGGCATTTCCAACTTGCAGGCATATAATTGCTTTTACTTTTTCATGCTTACACCACTACTTACCTATACGAGGGACTCTTGTATTTTTCTGCCAGCTCATTCCTAGACATTAGTATTGGTATCTTGGGATGCTCATTTGCTCTGTAAAAATCAGGTTTTTAAATAGGCTGAGCCAGGAATCTCACTTTTACTGCACTTGCCCTGATGCAGTACGGCTCAGTTATTAGAACAAATTGGAGAAAGCCGCTTCCTGGTTGTAATACCCACATAATTACTATAGGCTGATACATGAAACCATGTTTCACTCTTATGCTTAAAGGCGAGATCTCCATTTTGCAAGGACAGAGCAAGTTCTATTATGCATTTCACTGCCAAAGGAGGTCAATTAAGTTTAATTGGTTCTAATTAGCACTTGCTGAAGCTGTTATATTCTTTACCTGCATCCGAGTGGCTCTCCAAGTGCTGCACAATGGATTCCTGCTTTTGAACACAAAGGAGAATTACTAATGGCATCCTTGAAGGCAAAAGATGCACTGATCAGCATAAATGGGGAACAAATATCAGCACAAATAGTAGCAGGCCTTTTGAGAAAGAAAAAATGTAAACAAAAAAACAAAACCAGAAACATTTCATCCCCATCTGGCTTTGATCAATTGAACTGAATGCAACCCTGCACCTTATTGTTTAAAGTTCTAAAACAGAAAGTACACAAATGTGATTATTCTCTGCCATAACTTCTTTACAGATGAAAGATAAATACTGGAGAATGGTGCAGGGGGGGAGAGTGCAGCAGCTCTGAAAAAATAAATAGATCATTTCAATGGTAGCAAAGACTAAAAACCAAAAAAAGGAAAAAAAAATCCTCAAACCTGCATTTGAAATGCTTTGTTTTATAGAATGTTTGAAGATTGATTTAAAAAGAATTGTGTTTGACAGGTTTTGGGGGTTTTAATTCTGCTGCAGAAAGAGGAGCAACCACACCTGCCTAAATGTCAGCCTAAGCCATTTCAGTCCTCAGCATCTGGTGAGAAGCCAGTGCATGGTCTATAACAGGCTGAATGAGGACTCGTATGCCAGCAGCGATGCTGCAATGGTGAGGTGCGCTCTAGAAACTTGTTTTCTGCTGGGGTCTTCCTTCATATAGCTGGACAGTTAAAGGCAGGCTAGAAAGCAGTCTAGTCCTCATGCCACCACTAGAGCTCAGAGCTAGCTCTCCCCAAATCCCCAGCCCACATTCACAGCATGCAAGCATGGCCCTACATCTCCTCTGGGTCCTATGAGATGTTTCCAAGTCACACTTGTTATTTTGGGTGAAGAGGTTAGCAGGGGAAGAGGTCAGCCTGAAACAAACAGAGGGAACGAGCTAGAAACAGCAGGGCAGGTGTTTGGGACCACTGCTCTACTGTGCTTCCTAGTCCCCTGTTAACTAATAGGGTATATGTTCAGCCACTCAAAGCATGCAGAGCATTACTTGCCCCCCAGCATCACTGTGCCTCTTCCTGTCTTGCATCCCTGTCCTATGCCAGCCACCCCAGACCCATAGGATAGCAGTAGCACTGAGTACACAGACTCTAGCAGGACAGCATGGAGACATGGACTGGGAAAAGTGGCCGCAAAATGTGAAACCTGCCTGCCTAAGTGGTCCCAGTGTGAACCAACACGGTGCCTAACTCATTGGAGACATACCCTGACTTGAAAAACTCCATCCTCTGTGAAGTACCCTGCCTCTACATACATGAAGCCTGACAAGGTGCCTTGCAAACGGATCCATTGAAACCTGCTGAGCCTAAAGCCAGCATAACTGACCATAACTCCACTCCCGAAGGCTTGGATTAACCACACCTCTAAAATAAAATACCAGATTTCATGTTCTGAGGATCTAGGCCTCCTATGGACTTGGGATCATTTATTTTGGTATGGCAACTAAAAGTAATGAAGCTTATATGTATTATCAACAGTTTGGAATTACATGTGAAACTAGTGGACTTGGCTGATTCTAAGGCAGTGTATGTGTCCCTTTTTTCAGTATTAGTCTTTGCCATCTTTCCTGCTATTGCAATGTACCTCCTAAATGAACCGTCCGTTGCCCAGGTGATTTTCAAAAATAATTTATTTGTAGCTAATGTGTTCCAGATGGATGGAACACAAAATGTGTTAAAAAAGTAAAAATGAAATTAAAAAATCCTCCCCTCAGCAAAAAAAAAGTTCTCCCCAGTCTTTACAAAAAAAAGGCCAAATTTTTTCCTTCTAGTTCCCCTGCTAAATTTCCACAAGGCCATTAATCATAAAAACCCCAAACTACATAAATCATAGAAAAGCCAAAGGAGCTACCTGTATTATTGTTAAAAAGTCCCTGCCAGAATCTCCCCCATCCCAATTACCTTTCCTCTGTCAGCAGTGAGGACTACTCCTCAACCTTAGCACACACCTTTTCTCGTGGCTGGCAATGCATGGGCTGAGGCAAGCATAAACCAGCATATCATTATTTCAGACTCACGTCTCCCTTTTGCACTGGTATATAGCTAAATCGGTATCAAAACACTCCATACTCCTTTTCTTTTGTTCCTTTCCCAAAGAACAGTGTTTACAGTGTTTCTGTTGTATTTTCTGTCACCCAACAAGACCCTGCTGGATGACCACCAGAAGTTATTCAAAAGGTTTAATGACTTGCATAAGGACTTGAGAAATAATAAATAACAAAACAGAAATGTCTGTTGTTTGCATCACTGAAATGGCTGCCCATACAGCAATACACCACTGAAGCACATGGAACAATTTATTATTCAGTCCTTCACCCCTCCTGCAGTTAAAATTGAGCATATATTCAATGCAAAGATTGAGAAAGATTGACCTAGCATCTGCCTATATGTTCTGAGGATATTCTGTACTGGGTTGGCAGTAGCTCCCCCAGTACAAGTCCAAGGGTTCAGACCTGCTGAACACAGGTTTTACACATCCACTGGTTTATGGACTTGAAGTAGGTAAGCTATGCACTTGCAGCCCTTACTGTACATTGAGATAGTATGCCTATAAACAGAAGACGTGTCACTAGAATAGCTGCATCAATGCAATTACATTGGTACAACTATTCCCAATATAGACAGGGCCTTAAACAGAAATCCCTGCGACAGGCAATGTTTACCACAGGCTTATTTATAGGCAGCTCTTAGCTTGGTTCAAAAACCAGCATATAAAATGTTCCTTGTCACCTGTAAGTGGACAGTGATGATTATAGCTCAGTCTATGTTATTATTGCCTGATTTTCCCAGTTTGGATTTTCACATATTGACTCCTTACTCAAGGTCTTTTAACATAGATTTGAAATGTGAATATGTTTTATTTTTTTCCCCAGTAAATATACAATACACACTTCAACAGTACTATTAACCAACTTTTTATGCCAATTAAACTCCGCTGCACTAACAATACCAATGAAACACATTAAGAGGTCATACTTTTTCGTGAACAAACTGTAGCCAATAAACAGGTATTCTTTTAAAAGAAAACAAATTAAAAAACAATTCTAAGTGCTGCCACAACATCCCTTTTCTTTAAACACATTATTCACAATAAATGTTTTTGATTCTTTTAAAAAAAGAAGAATACTTCTTTTAAAATAGTAAATTAAATGGCATATTTTAAAAAATATGTACTGTGGTTCATTGGAAGTACACTGTATAGAAAAGAGAGAGAAAGAGAGAGAAAAAAAGAAGAGACATCACCTGTAAGATAATGGAGACAGTTTGCGATACACAACACCACCTTATGTAATATTGTAAGCAACTTATTAATGAACAAAAATGTACAGAAGCAGATGGACAAGTTAGTGAATATCATGGTACTGCACAGCTTTAATACTGACACACATTTACTTTCCAGTGGAAGAGATAAAACACGTATTCGAAAGTAATTGGGATGGCTTTATCGAAGTCTAATGATACTGGATTTTGACTAGAATATAGTGAGTAAGGTGTTCCACCAAAGCTCAGCACACGCTTTTGAATTAAAAGCAAAAAAAAATCTACCAGTGACTGAGTTAAATGTTTTCCAGAGTATTAAATTTGAATTGTACCCTGAATAATCTTCGCTTCAGATGACAATACCAAAAGAAAAAAACATACATATGTAAATATGATGCCTTCTTTATCTTTCTAGAACATTTTTGCACACTTTTACGTAATGGTTTTCATTATAATGTTTTAACAAGCAGGAAAATTACATATATTCATTGGTCACATATATAAATGCATACACTTTTTTCCTCAACTTTTTTTGGTTTGTAACCTGCGAAATAACAGTCTTGGCCTTAAGGAAGTTAACTAGTATTGTTAATAGTCAATAGTGCTGAGTTATAGTTGATGGCTGTAGTGTTTTATCTTATCATGGAACAAGTTAATGAAATGAAAAGCAACACATATTTAGCACTGCAATTTACTTTTCTAAAATTCTCTCATTACTAAAAGTGTCCTTAATACTGGTGAGCTCCAAGGCAATATATAAAACAACATAGACTGGTTATAGGAAAAGGGTATTCAAATGGAAACTTGTGTTCACGGTCAGATAACTAACAGAAATAAGCTGTAGGATGCAATGTTTAAGTTAAGCATCAAATGAGTGGATTATCCACATACAGTATTCTAAGAAAAGCTTGACAATTGACTCATTGAGATTTGAGAGGTACAGAAGATTTGGACAACGTCATGAAAATTAATGAAGAGACAGGATGCTGTCATTAATGTCCACTTACAGAGTCTGGTTTATTCAAAAAGTGTATAAACATGCGTTATTTCCTCATCATAGTAGGGTTTGAAGCCACTCACTAAAACACAGGTCAAAGATTTTCTTTGCTTATACCTAACTTTTTGGATGCACTGTATTGCCAGGAATGTGCTTAAATACGAGCCAAAAATAATTGACTGTTGCTTTCCTTCTAAACTTTAAACATTTTATTGTGAATTTAGTGGATCCAGCTTCAGCTCTTGCAGATTTCAGGTAATAAAATACAAAGGATTGTTTAGACTGCATTAAAACAATTAATGTCATGAATTTCAGTGGTGCAGCTCTATCCTCTATTGTACTGTACATGTATTGGAAAGATGAAATAAGATACTCTGATACTTCAATTTTTTTGGAAGCAGCCTGAATATGTCTTTATAATAAATTGCAGCCTTAACTACTTACTAGGTATTCCTTGTGTTTATATTGTTTGTTTCTCCTGGGAAATTTCTGTCTATATTTTGGGTTGGAGAAATTAATGGTAATAACTCTTTAAAACTGCAATATAAAAACAGCTTTAGTGAAACACCTTAAGTTCTTTTGTTTGTAGCAAGGTTTGTTTTTCTTTCCTTTTACTTAGTGGCATGGGATGGCTGAAAACAGATACTAAGGGCATCATTCTAGTGAAAGGGTCTAGGCCATCTCATGCTACCTTTTATTTTCATATTCACTCTTTAATCTCACACTTCCAGCTTCTGACCCCTTCTTAAATAGGAAGAGCAACTATGTTGCTTGCTTTTAAAAGATTTAAATCTGTCTCTGATGTCTCCACTGACATCAGTTTTGCCTGTCACTTTCTCATTTCTACACCCCAATGGAAACCCACCTAACATACTGCTTTACATCCAGCATTATCCAAAGTAGCTTACATTACGTAAACCATCTTCACACATTCAGTCTTTTTTTCTTCTTCATGTCATGAGGAGTAGAGTTTTGTGCTTATCACCAAATAAAATTGCAGTGCAAACTTTAAACATAAAAGTTACACAATTAAAAGTTAATATATGGCACCACAGCCTATTAATTCACATATAGTACAACAGACCAGTAAAAACAGACATGAATATGAACATAGCTAAAAAGAAGGTGAGCTTGCATAGCAATGCAACAAAAGAAATTATATACAGAAGGAAATTCTTTTCATCCTGGAGGGTGATTTTTTTTTTTTTCCTTTCTTTTTTTTTATATACTCCTGACAAGGAATAGTTTAAGGTGGATGGTGTATTAAAGAGAAGAACACAAGTAAAATATCTGTGGGATATGTGTGGCTGTGTGTCTTTACATTGCATTTACAGTTCTTTTAATAGTACATAAATAAAGAAAATGTTCATTGCACTGTTTAGTGTCATCACTTCCATGAGTTCAGACCTGATGGTCCATCAGAGCAGCTTGCAATGTGTCTTCTCAACTACTCTATAAAGAGAAACAAAAAGAAAGAGGTTGTAATGAGAAGGAAAAAAAACAACCCAAACTAACAAACAAAACAACAAAAAACAAAGCCTATGGCAATAGTACTGAAACACAGGATGAATATTCATTAGGTTGGGAGAAGAGAGCTAATTGCTTCTAAGATGAAAAGCCATGGATGCTAAAATTCAGCACTTACCAACACTGTATCTGAGACAGCACCTTCAGGGTTTGGGGAGCTACTGGGAAGTAACTGTCAGGAAGTACTGAGGGTTTGACTTCAGCAAATAAGAAGCAGGCACGCCAACAGCTACATTGCTTTTACTGATAAACATACCAGTACGCCTGAGCTAGCTGGAGTGTGTGGGCGCGGCTTCAAATAGTAGAGTCAAACATTTGGCATCTGGTACTACCATCACATACACAGCATTAACATAGCTTTATACCAGGTTTAACAGATATTGAATGACAATAGAAAAAGGTTTGGAAAACAATTCCCCTGGCCTGGGAAGTTAGAGTTGGGATAAACAACTAAAAAACTGAGCTAGAGTGTTGAAAAAACAGGACCTGAATCTAAGGTCAAAAAGATCAGAATACTGCTCATCAAGGAAGCATCACAAGCTTGGCACCATGTGTGGCAAAATCAACACCCTTTTCTTTCACTCCTCTGAGAAAAACTGCCAAAGAAAAGCATACCACTCTTTGACAAGAAAATTCTAAGTGACAAGAATTTCTTTTCAATTTTCCCAGTGTTACACAAGCATTACACACTAGAAAGTGTACCATGCAGATAACGCTGGCATGGCTTACACAGATTTTAAATAGTCCAACCCAAGAACAGAACTTCGTTTGTCACCACAGACAAACACCTCAAAAAGTTCTGTGTAAATTTTAATCTGATAACCACACTCAACTTCCTCTTCTCTTCACAACAGATTTATAACTATTCTCTTTTTTGCCTATTTGTGAGTTTTAACTGTAGCTAGATATAAACTTACATAATTCACCAGTAAACTGTCCTTGACTGTTTGATCCCACATAGCCTACATCGAGAAGGTCACTGGCATTGCGTTGGTGACCTCCTCGCAAGACTTCACCTTTTCTAGGTCCGGTCGATCCTTTAGAAGAAGCTGTTCCTGAAGAGCTGTGGCCGCCAGGGGATGGGAAGTTGGGTTTACTATATGGTACGAGTGCCTCTTCTAGAAAAGAAAACAAACTGAAATAAATTCCTACAAATAGGAATAAACAAGCTATTCTTTTATGGACATCATATTAATTCCTGCCCTCAGATATCTTATCTTGCTTTATAGCATGGCACTTTTACCTAAGGGAATACACAACTCAGTATTGTATCTCACATACAAAGAAATTAGTATGAATTTAATCTTGCTTTCATGTAAACTCATAAATTAGTTTGTATTAATTACAAAAAGCCTAGATTTATTACAAAGTAATAGATTATGAATCATAGGTACGTCAATAAAAATTGATGCACATACATTTTCCAAAACAATGCAGCTATGATTGGACTTTTGCTTTGAGCCTACATGAATGTGCTTTTTCCTTTTCGTGAGCTTAAATTATGCTAACCTCAATCAATTTAGATAAAGAACTACAATATCAGCTAATTTAATTTGCTTCCAGCAGCTCAGTAATTTCTAACAATGCAAAGTACACTAAAGATTTTTTTAACTGGTTGTGAATTACATTGGAAAATATATTATACATAGTAGTAGTAGTTGTAATATTTGGGGTGAGTAAATCTTCTTGAAGCTTGTTTCACATACCATTATAAGCAAAAGGCTTATTTTTGCTCACTTGGATTCTTCCTCTGTGAAGACCTGTAATAATGAACTGCTCACAAGAGCAGGATTAACACTGATAAAGCATATGACTACATGCCTTCATATAGCATGAAGTAAAACAAGCCATCACATTTGATTAGAGTTTCCAGGAAATACTGCTGTAATAATCCTAACTTAAGAAGCAAAACAGCAGCTTAAATAGAATATTTCTTTGCTGTGTATGATCCACTTTCGCTTCCTCATAAGCTGAAGAAAGAGACTTTGCTAGATATAGTTTGATTCAAGAAAGAATATGAATATACATGCTTAACCTTAGACACAGGAATTGTCCCTTCTGAAATCAGTGGAATATCTCCTGCTTGAATCTTACATTTTTAAAGTGAATATGGACTTAAAGGGGTTTCTTTATTTTGCTTTTCACATTGTCTTCACTCATAAAAAACCTGATGAGGGGAAACAGAATTTCTTTGACAGAGGTCAGGAACACAGGAGAAAAAGTAGGTGGGGATGGCTGGAAAGAAAGAGGAGATAAAAATGCTTTTATTCACGATCATGGAGCCTTTGCAAAGGTGCAGCAGAGGCACAAGGGATTTTATTCTTTGTGCCTAACGCCACAAGTGAGTAGGACATGGGAATTCCTCATGTGATCTGCTATTGAAGAGAACCCAAGTGTAAGGTAAAGCTGTCGCAGAAGAGGGCAGGCTGCTGATTTTATTCTCAGCGCAAAGTATCTCCCTCTGGTCCTGTGCAAGAGACCAAAATATTTGCGCTGCAAGACGTAAGGGCATTATTGGTGTTTCGTGCTGTAACTGTGTGCTGCTTTTGCTGAAATATACAGAAATATTTAAAAGACACAATAAAATGGCATTTAACAGCCATAGTCTTCTAAATTACTTTACTTGTTCTTTATATATCAAGCCCTAGCAATTGAATCAGATGCAAACCTGGTTTCCAAAGGCTGGCTAAAATATGGAACAGCTTGCATTAAGGCAGCAATAAAGCAAGCAGCATAAATCAGTTCAGTAGAAAGCTGGATACACTTTTACAGGATGAGAAAAAAAGTCACTAGCATTGCAAAAGAGTTCGAAAATGACATATATGGTCAATTGATTTGTTTTTCTAGTTTGTGGACTCAGGATAAGGCCTCCTTTGGGTTCAAGGAAATATTGAGAAAAAACGACCTTGAATAAATACAAAGTGCATTATCATTATAGCGCATATGGTGGGTTAAATTACCTGTTGTGCCCTCAGAAATAAATACAATCCATAAAATAAGCGACTGTGACATTAAAGACTAAGTTTTCCACAACATTCTAGCACATGAAAGGTAGTTGTCTTTAAGTCCTTAGAATGGTCTCATATTTAGTAAACACTCAGAACAGTGCCCTGCGCCCGAGTCTTGCAAAGAATACGGAGAGGCTTTGCCAATGCCTTTCTCTTTGAAATACTGAGCCTTTAATTTGAAGCTATAATTCTAGCCCCTATGAAATCAGGATATATGTATGTAACAATGTTCCTATACCCCGTAAGATAAGCCAAAGGTTTTTAACACTATCAAAACTATTGCAAGTTGATGTAGGCACTACTTTCTTTAGAGAGGTAGCTGAGAATGTCATATTTGATGTGCTGTAACTGCAGTTCTACAAAGAAGCCACAGGCAGGAACTCAGTGATCTTGTTTATACTGAAAGCAACCAGTGGAAACACAGTTTCCAGAATCAGGTATTTTTATTCTATTCAACTGCAAACCAAAGGTCTTGCTTTGAAACTCAGTCACAGCATGGTCATGTCTGAATGAAGCCCCCTATGCTGCAAACAGATATTTTATGGCAGCTGATAGCTTGATAAATGAGGAAGTCATGTTACAATATATTGAAAAGTAGGGCAGGATAAATTTCCAGAGACTTTTATCATTAAGAAGCACAATTAATATCATTGAACCGCCCAAATTTAGTAATATAAACAAGCATCACACACAAGAGTAACTTTTTTAAAATCCATCAAAGAACACAGAGCAAGGAAGCTGTTGCACAAGAAGCTGGTATGAGAAGACAGACAGACAGACATGAAGCTCTGGCCCACCTTGTGCACAAGTTTTATGAACCCCTCAGATGGGTAAAAACATTAATTCTCCTAAGGGAATCCTCTGTCATGCACAAAGGATATGCAATTGCCCTGGTCATCCTCAATTTGACAAGAACAAGATACCTGTAATCAATTCAGCCCTAAATTCAATGCTTCTCTATGCACTGGGAGTGTCAAGATCAGATTCTTTTTATTTAAGGACAGATAAATGCAAGTCCTGCAGATGAGAATTTTACTACTGTATACCTTCAATGTATCACAGAATAACTGACAACTTCTATTTGCACGCTTATGAAGCAGAGGAAAAGGAGGGGACTTCTTGCTAACCAGGTCAGAGAAGCAACCTTAATAATAATTTACAAAGAAATTAGATGTATAAAGTATACACAAGCTTTTTTCTATGTGTTCATATATCTTGTACACTGTAATTAAAACTGTCATTTCACCAAGTAGCATGAATTTCACACACTATTTTTAAACCTTGACTTCACATCATCATTTCACAACATGAACTCATTTGTTTATGCAGCTGAAATATTCAGGGGTTTAGTGGTACAATTATTGCTATATTTTAAAATATGAATTTTATTTAAAATATTTACATTTTAAATATGGGTAGCAATATTTCCTAGGAGGTCTATATTCAGTAAATCCTGCCCCCATGACAGGTTTGCCCTCACATTACTTTGTTTTTTTAGGATGTCATTGATATTAGTGTGCTAGCTTAACAAGGAGCATTAATAGTAGAATAAAGATGAATATGAGTACCTCTAGTGTTACTTCGGAAGCTACAGGCATATTGGAAGAAACAGTGTAGCCCTACAAAAACACCACATGTAGTATCCTTCTTTTTGCTTGTTTTAATCTTCTTAATTGTCCTCTTGTACCACTAATCACCACTGGGATAACGTGATTAGTAGGTTAAAGGAAATATCCTAGTATGAAGGTAAAAGCTGAAACAGCAGCTTTTCCTTGAGGTCAGGCTGAGATAAGGAATCTGCAGGTATTACAGAACTCCAACTCCAGCTCAGCATCACCTCCTGCACCATTTTTACAGACTTGAAACCCAGTTAGGAAATAAAGTCAGCACTCAGCAATGAGCAGGCCCTGTATAAAGGTGAAAACCTCTGCTGTCACCTTGCTAGGCTTAAGAGATGAACGTTACTTGGTCATATCCATGAATAAATGGAAGACTTTTAAATACCGCTGGAAGGAATGTCAGCAGCTCAGAAGGATCAGCTTTCTTGCAGGTATGCAAAAACAGCCGTTGCCAATTTAGAAACAGGCTGCAAGAAGTAGAAAATATGTCCCTGTACGTATAAATAAATACATCTAACAGAAAATACTCTAAAAACCTGTTTCTCCTTCCCTGCCTGCCTGAAACTGTTCCTTTTTTTTTCTACTGCTCTGCTTGAAAACATTATTAATTGCCAAAACACTGCAAAGAATGCACCAAGTCAGGTGCTAATGAGATTTCATTGTTGCAGGAGTGAAAAATCCTTGGACTACATGCTCTCATTTCACTTTGCCCTTTCTTATTTTCCAGCCTGAGCCTTGCCAGTGCTGGCACAGAGGGGCATGAGGTGAGCCTAGACTCCTGCCAGGTACAGAAACCCTCAGCTGAGCAGTGTCAAGGAGCCGTCTGCATTGCCTCGGCTGGTGCAGCACACACACACCTGATCCGAAGGCTTGTTTGTGTTGGGCTTTCCTGAAATCCTCTTGGCGGTCTGTAGAGCTTATCCACTCCTGGGTTTGTCGCTGCCACTCTAGTGATGTCCTAGCTTGCCGGTCCAGGGAGCTCTTTGTTTCATCTATGTTCGGAGCATGCTGCCTCTCAAGAGAGCTTCCTTTCCTCTCTGCTGAGCCTCCACGCTGGCCGGGGACTATTTGCTGCCTTAAACCCTGACCAGGGGGCGGGTCAGGTGGTGGTGGAAGATCTAAAAAACGTGAATAAGATTTAGATGAACTAAGTTTTTCAGTTGAAACAGAAGGTGATTTGATGCTGAAAAGAAAAGCCCCTTGCAAATGGTATGAGTCACTTCCTTCGGTCATTTTAAAAGGAGGAAATTCCATGTTAAACAGAAATGTGGATTTAACTTCTGCTAGTTTTTTATTTAGGTTACTGTGTTGCTAGTTCTAACTTCCACAAAAATCAATAGATTACGAAGCCCTAACTTGCATTTCTAAGCATGGGGCTTATTTTCTGTGGGGTATACTCCAGCTGGCTCTTTCAGTAACAGCAAGAAAGGCTATGAAAAAGTGATCTGTGCCAGTTGACAATTTCCCCCCATCATATTGGGGATTGCTTCGTCATCCCCATTTTGGGCTTCACCTTCACCTCGAGGTTTAAACTCAAAATCTAAATATACTTTATCAAAATGAATGACATTCCCCCCAAAATTGGGGAAAAAAATTATTCACAAAACTACTGTCATTGGAAAAGCCTCAATACATCTGAGAAATATGCATGTTGAAATGGAACCACCAAACAACGGATCAGCATGTTATTCAAGTACTGTTTGAAAGGTCAGCCAAGAGCTGGAGTCTTCAGAGACAAGATAATGGCCACTGTTAAGTTTAGCAGTCCTGCAGATACAACTGATCACATACAGTTTCAGCTGAAAACTGAAAGGCACTTGCCTGGTCTCTAATAACTCCTGTGCTTTTCAAGTATAACACTCAGACTATGAAGACGCTTGCAGAACTGAAGATCAAGCTTCTAACCACATTTGTGAAGGCAAAAGTACGTTTTGTTTATTAGTCCCTGACCCAAGGTAATTATAGAATCTGGTTAACTATAATTCCAAATGTAAGATTTTCATCTTTCATCTTTCTTTCAATCTTGCAAGATTTTCAAGCTTATTTGACAGACTTATAATAGTATAGAAAAGCCTCAGATTACTAAGAAACAAACCAACCATACCAAAATAAAAATAAACAGAAAAGGGAAGCAACTTTAGTATTGTAACGAAAAATCTCTCATATTGGATACATATTTTATGTGTAGAACACTTGTTGATAACTATGGTTTGGGGTAATTCATAGCCCAAATAAATCTGTGCAGCCCCACCAACTTCACTAAGCCTGTGTTAGGTTACATTAGATAGGGATAAGTCCTGCTTTCGAGTGTTTTTTATCTTACAGTATTATGGAGGCTTATTAAGGAATTGAACTTGGCTCAACAATAGACATGGAAATGTAAACCTCTGCTTTGGCTGCAGGAAAGTCTGATGTTTCTAACGAGTGAAACTGAAATTCATTTTAGAAATCAGTGAGGAGGCCTTTGGAGGGAATTTATTTCAAAGTCTGTATTCTGGCTTTATAAAATGCTACACAGACATTTTTCATGTCCTTGCTGTTAGAGGTGGTACTCATACCTCATATATGGGGCAGAAATACTTCCAAAGTTGCCGAGATGTCATTCCATCAACACTGTCTCTTATAGATAAATGAGGACATGTGGGTTATTTGTGTCAACAAGGGAAAGTAGTCGTATCAGATGTTGCTCCCATACTTTTGTTCACAGCCGAAGTGCTACATCCCAGATTAAGATACCTGCCTTGTGGCCAGAACAGCCTTATAACAGTGTGTCAGTGAGCTTGGTGTATGTTTTATGTTCAGCACTAATTAATTTGAGAAATTTTTAGTTATGAATATCGATGTGACCTTTCATGACAATGGCTATACATGAGTTACTGTAGATGGAAGCAGGAGGGTATGGGATCTTGCCAATGTTAAAATTGCTTTATAGTGTTGGCTTCCAAAATAGCATTTCTTATAATTGATTTCACTGCAATCATAACCAGTTAATGTAGAGAACCACATCACTGACATCTGCTTATGCAGTCTGAAATAGAGATTACTGAAGTTGTGATTTATAAGCACTTTATGGAAATGCATTGAATCCAATGAACACAGTCATAACATGACATCTGACAATGCAATTTTCCAAGACAGAATATTTACCCTTCAACAGAAACAAATTTTTTAAGTAGTATCGGAGCAAAAAACAAAAGTCAAAATTACTGCAGTATTAAAATTCTTAACATACAGTACCCTTCTCTGGAAATTGCTACCTAATAGTTGTTATTAATTAGATACTGAGAATGAAAGAAGGTTTGTACATAAACGATACTGCATGTTATACAGCTAGCTGCAACTCCTTGAATTACTGTAGATTTATGCTGCTGATCTACTGTTAACATAGTTGCTTTCATCCATTCACAAAATGGGTGTAACGATTGCCTTATGCATAGACGTGAAATGAAAAACTGTGTCTGTAAAGTTCTCTGTGTGGTTTAGACCTGTGGGTAAGTTGAAACTTATCTTTTAATGAAGCTTCACACAATTCTAGAAGAGTTAAAGGTACTGGGGAATTAATACAAGCTGGCTCCAGCCTGCATACAGACTGAGTGAACTATGCTAGACACTTATGAGAAGATCTGTAAGAACGGTTTCTAATTCTAGCCAACTGACTAAACCATTTGCTTTTTCACCTTCAGCCTCAGTCAGGTTGGTGGTCAAAATAACACCTAACTTTCCTTTTTAATTAAAGAAGCTGGAAGAGAGCTTCATTTGGAAACGTGGCTTTTTATTTGCTCTACAGCTTAAATCCCATAGTGCAAATCTTCTGCCTTTGGTAAATTACTAAATATGCTCTCTTATCTTGCCTGGGCATATATAATGACCCCGTGTTTTTGGAGTCATGAGTTTTCTTCCTGCAGTGCCTCAGAGAACTGTCTTGCCTTTCCTTTCCTCTCCTCAGCCAAACATGTCCACATGTGACTATGGCACGTCTCCACACACACTTGCAAGCATGCACATACATGACAGTTAATGGTTGGCATTTCGACTGCTAGTAAAGGAGTTACAGACACCAGACAAGCTCGTAGTCTCAGTCCCTAACAGGCAGACATATTACCGCATAGAGGCAAACCAACTCGTTCTATCATGTCTAGCACTTCAGAGAACTTTTGAAACAAGAAATTTAGAGACTTCAGCGGGATTTTCAGTGAAGATATACAGAATGTTCTCACTGATTATCACTGTAGTTCCATATAAATGACATTTATTTTCCAGATGCCAGATAACCCTCACTGAGCTGGTAACTGACAAGGCCAGTGGGATGTCATCCAGACTACTACTTTCAGCCTCTAATGGCAGGATTATCAAACTTGCCAAGCAATTTGTAAGTGCATTGGTGAAGAGGTTATGGTCTTACTGATTTAGTAATGGAGGGATTGTGATTGAGAAGCTGTAGGACATCAGAGAGCCTGATAAGAAGCAGATGGATGTTCAGCCTGGGATTACCCCAACTCTCCTTTAGAAGGCAGAACATTGGCCAAATGATTCAGGCACCAATCAAGCTTTGGCACAGACTCTCATTATTAACTGGGAAAAGCAGCAAGTTACAGAACTTACAAGTATAAGGACATTTCTTTCTACCTGTGCCAGTGATTTGTTTTCCTAGGGGTGATAACAAAGCCAGATTTTATGACAGAGTCACTCCCTGAGGAGTCACATTTCCACCTGTCTCATAATCTGAACCAGAATCCTGTTAACTTTCTGCTACCAAGTTATTGTTAAATATTTCTATAGCAATAGTACTCCAAAGCAGAAGTATTAAGGTCCCATCATACTGAATGCACCATAAACTCACACATACACAGAATTTGTGGCCCAAAGGGCTTACAGTTCATGGTGACAGGGTATGTCACGCAGAAGGGTTAACTTAACGAAAGATTATTGCCAGCACCACAAGCAACACCCATAATTTACTGTTCTCATAGATACATCTATTTAATAGATCTGTGCAGCAGGGAGGCCTCTGGAATATACTCACAAGGGTAGGGCATTAATGTTTAAACCAATTCAGATCCATATGAGTGGAGTCTACGCTACTTCAAGCTGCATCCTCAAATAACATGGTAGTGAGACTGAGTCACAGAGCATGATGTGTAACCCTCTGGTGCACTTTCTCTTTTGGAATCTCTTCTCTATCTTCATGGTCTGGCAAACAGGGAACCTGGCAGAGCATACTGCAAAACCTGATCTGTACACTTGATAAAACATTAGTGAGAGGGGAGCTCTGGTGGTTTTAGTGGCCACAGTCCACCTGGAAAGCTCTTAATATATTTTTCTACATGCACCTAGAGTAATAAGTAGCACATTATAAAAGAAAACCTCAAATTAAACATACTATCTATCAAATCTATTTATTACTTGTCCAAAGAAGATCATGGAGTTGGACTTGATAATCCCTATAGGTCCCTTCCAGCTAGAGATATTCTATGATTCTACAACTCTCAAGTAAATTTTACTATCATAAGGAAGATGTTTATACTAAAATCTAAAGTAATTTTTACCTTCCCCGTTCACTGGAAGATTTGTCCAGGTGTACACAGGAGATAGACTCAATGGCATCACACGCACTACCATGGTCCAGATAGTGTTACGAGAGCCACTGAGGCAGGTGGGACAGTGTAGTTCTCAGAATTGCACCACTTTAAACACTAAAAGCATGAGGAAAGTGATCACGTCTCCATTTGCATGGCTTTACAGATATCCTTTAACACTGTTTTTCCATTTGCTGGCCTATCCCTCTGATCATTTCAACAACTACAGGGGCCAGGACAGAGATCAGAAGAAATGAAAGGGAGGTAGCCAGCCAGCCAGCCACCTTTCTAACCAGAACTCCTCCAAGAGTTACAGGCAGCAATTGCATCCTTTGCCAAACTCAAGAGGAGGCAGACAAAGATGATTGAAGACTTAGCTATTTTAGTCATTAAAAGAGCAAAATAAACATGCCTGAAATTTCCAGATGGGAAGCAGTGGTCAGAAAGAAGTGGAGATGTAAAAGAGAGAAACACAGCCGCTGAGGTCAGCGGATGTCAGGAACGAAGAAGCATGGACAAGACATGAGGCAGAATCATGAGAAAAGTGTAGCATGTATTACCTTAACTGTTGGGCAGCTGTCAAAACCAGCACAAAAACCCAAAGCACTGTGGGACTAGCCCTAATTCCTAAATCCTTAGGAATTCATGGCATACTGCTACTGCTTGTGGTGGCTACTTTCATTTAATGTAAAATTAACCACGGGCCATTTTTTTAATGTCAACTCACATCTAATGCAGTCATTTATGGGTACGTTACTGAAATCTGAGAAAACCTAAGCGATGCTAACATGTTCAGAGCTAAAACAAAGAAAGGCTCCTTGAAGACTCACTCAACCAAACTCCATAATGCTAGTGTTGCCATGTTGCTCATATGGCAACCTGGAAACCCCACTTCACCAAGCAAATAATACACCATAATGTATATTCTTTAAAAGATTACTCTATATTCTCCCACTGCTTGTTGCAGGTTATCATCAGGGACTTCACCACAACACTTACCATCTGTTATTCCCTCCCTACGATGAGGCAAGGAAGGTTGGTCCAACCGTCCTCCCTTGTGTTTTTTAGTGGGCCTTGGCCTCTGACTCTGATTGACAGCTGCACTGGTGTTGCTGTCAGTAGAAAAAGGACTGCTTGGTCGAGGTCTCTGAGAGGAAGGATATCCTTTGCCTAAAAGAAAAAGAGAAACCAGATGAAAAAACCCCAATGTTATTGCCTTGAAATGGGCTGTTCTATTAACGTCTGTTCTGCAACATTAGATCAGGTCTAACTCTCAGAGGCAAGCGTCCCCTCGAGGTTCCCACTGATGACAACTGCTCTAAGACACACCAAAACAAGTGAAGTGAAAAACTTGGCATTCTTTTATCTTTAACTTTTATAATTAAAATCATTCCATCTGTTGTGATAAAACTACTGTATGCCATGTAAATCATACCTGCTCTGTGTGCTGAACAGATGTGTTATAACAACTCCTCAGCCTTGAGCAGGGAAGGAATACAGTTCTACAATCATATCAAATTTATCTCCTCCTGCCTTCCACCTTCACGTTTGCTGAGCCAGATTTTCATTTTAGGGGCTCCCATATGCACTGTGTATCTGGAGTAACTCCAGTGAGATAAACATAACTGATTTTACAAGCTATGTAGCAGTGTAGGTTTGTATTCTTAAGAGCTCTCTTTTCCCAAGAAATAAAAATGGAGGTATATTTAAATGCTAAAATGTTCATGTTAATTTTCAGTGGTTTTAGATGTTAAAAAATAGTGCATTATTCCTCACATCTTTTTATATATATATATGTTTATATATATATATATATGTTTATATATATATATACACTAATCAAGCTACATGATTTCTCCTAAAAAATAATCTTTGATGCTGTTCTATGGAGCAGATCATTAAAAGCATCATGCAGGAACAGCTGAAGCACAGTCCCCTTACTACATTCGCTTCCTCTTATTTTGATGTTTTTATTTAATTAATTAGGCTTATTGTTTAATAAAAAATGATGAAACCATCTTTTACCTTCCTTTTTCATCTGTATGTCCTTCTTGACAAGTATATTTTAATTTGCTTAGAACTGGTACTTCAAAGTCTTAAATGTTTTTATACTACCTGCAGAGGAGAATGTCAAAAGTTCTGCCCTTTCAATGCTACTTTAGGCCCAAACTGTCTAAGAGTTCATGGGAAGTGGCAACTGACACCAAAATAGTAAGGAGTTCTTTTATCTTCTGGTTAACTTAGAACAGGATCTACCCTGCTGTGAGTTACGTTTCCTAGTAAAACCTTCTCATTGATGCGCACCCTGAGGAGGACACTGCTCTTAGGCAGGCTTGTCTCCCAGCTGCATGTCACTTGACTGGAAGTTACCACATTTGAATCCCTCATGTGCATGTTCCCCATGCCCAACTGAACTTAAATAGAAGGTATGCCTTTGTGAACCTGGTTCATTTTAACTAAAATGGGTTACAGAACACCCACCCAAGCAGCTAATTCTGGAACTGGGAGAAAGCAGTAATAACCATTTGGGGAAAGGCTGGAAACATTAACCTCTATAGCTGGCAGAGCTGCAGCCAGACAAGGACAAGACATCAAGCCCTTGTTTCATAGACAAGGACAGAACAGTAAAATAGACATGGACAAAATATTAAAATTTCATCTAAAATTAAATAAAAAGAACACTAATGCAAAGAAATTCAGACATGAGCCTGAAATTCCATCCTAGCTCATAGCACATTGCACGGATGTATTGTTAAAATAAACCCGCAGCATGCAACTAGTGAGCGCAGGACAAAGAGTCTTTGCACTTATTCTCTTGACTAAAGAAATGTGATTATTCATTCAGAATGTTGGTTTGAAAAAGAAATAGGCACCAAACATTCTCTTTTTTATACCTCCATGAAAATAAGGAAAAATAAATAGCACTGACCTAAATCAGACATGGGGCAAACACAAATGATGTGCAGGCTCCCTAAACACATTTTTCAATGCACCTAATAACTGATTACAGCTTCTTCTGTTTGTACGCAGCCCTTCCAGTAAGAACTGCTGAGCAGTGTCACCCTCTCTGTAGTAGATTTAGTGTGTAAGTGGAGAGAAGAATGAATCTACGGATTTAATTTCCCAAGGGTGTTAGAAAGGAAAGCTGTCTGAACTTCATGGCAAATCACACGATGGCTTTTGGAAACTGGAATCAGTCTGGCAGGAGAGACACCATACACCTAGATTTACCAGAGCCTCTTATGCTCATAAATCAGACACACTTATGTGAGACTATCAAGTTGGACTTCTCCTTTCATATCAATGACAATATCTCACACTGTTCCAAATGGGTGAAACTCAGACTGCAAAGGAATAGAGAATCAGGACCTTCAGATTCCCTCCAGACCAATGAACAGAAATAATACTGCTGCTTCTCCACTATAAAACACTATTTTGCAAGATGCAGGGTTTATTATGGTGCAGCAGGTCCATAACAGGTATGTCTGATGACCCACGCTACCCTGGGGGGTATCATACTGCACTTAAGCACTGGGGTGCTTAGGTTTTTGTGAGGAAAAGAGGGGAGGGCTATCTGTTTACATGAGGGTTTTATTTTGTTTCTGTTTTGCCTGCTGGATCACTAAGGATTAAGAAGGTAATAATCATAAATCTCTACCACAAATGCTGGATACTTTAGATACCCTAAACTTTAGCAGTCTGTCTGAGGGATTACATGCAAGTACTCAGTTTAAATGTATTTGTGACCTAATTAAGCTGGGAAAATATAACTGACAAGAGGGTTGCCATCCTTTCCTTGTATGTTCCATTTACATAGCTACAATAAGAAATTATATTTATTTAAAAGTGTGCGTTTATGTGCCCATTTACCTTTGTTATGTGTGTGTCTGTGGTGGAAGCCACACTTCTCAGTGGCCTGATACAAGCCAAATTACCTTTGGGTGAATTTGAGTATTAGCTTTTACTGAAGCTAAGAACACCACCAAAAAAAAGTTGGGAAGGATTTGCTGCTTTCATTCAAGACTATTTATGAGACTCTTCAAGCAAAACAGTGTATTTTAAATTACAGTTTGGCCATCATAGTAGATGAATGAAGATCTACATCAGGTTTTGGTTTGTTTTGCTTTGTTTTTTCCAAATGATGAGACAGATTTACTCTGTTTCCCGCTACTGTAACAAGCAAGTGAGAGTTTTAACTACTTTTAACAGTGAAATAACTGTCTTTTAAGGGTGATCAAAGTCAATGGCAAAAGCCTCAGTGATCTGAGAAAAGCTGTATCTGTCCATCCTGTACCTTGTTGGCCAAACAGGACTTTGCCACTGATTCTTTTCTTCATTTCTAACGTCCCTATAAGGCAGTGTTTGCCATGAAGTTACTGCATGTAGAAAGCCTGTGTTTCAGCCCTAACTGTGGAGACATTTCTCACAAATGTACACATTTTACTGAAGGACAGACTTCATACCAGACTAACAGTAACAAATTTTAAATGATAGGAACATTGTGGGACCTAAGAGCAGGAATCGGCCGAGACGGCATAACGAAAACATGACCCAAGCTCATACTTTGCTATTAGATTTGTGGATTTAGATAATTAATTACTTCTGCTATTTTGATAAGACAAAGCAAATGCAAATACATTCATTTTTATAGAATAGTTTAAAATAACTTTTTTTTTTACTAGAAATAAAACTTTTGGAGCTTTAATAACATGAACTAAGTTATGCTCACTTTCCATTAATTCATTTTAGAAGACTGGCTGTTTTCAAAAACAATAATCACTTTACCTTTGTTGCACTTATCTTGGCAGATTCAGTTGGCATAATTAAAATTAAATTTTATCAAAATATGTTTACTGATTAAGTGGTTTTAAATCAGCCATTAAAAAGGCTTTTAAACAGTTTGTATTGTTAACAATAAACGCACACCGATCCACCCCATGCTTAGAAAAACTTCACAGAAAAAATACACTTTTGCAAGAAGAGATGCAACAGAAGAGCAGGGATGGAGATAATAGTTTAAATATGTTGTTCATCACTGAAAATGTGAATGATTGTGAGGAGATTTTGCAAGAACCAAAATCATCAAAAGATTGCACAGGAGAATTAGTGATCTCTTCATCAAAATATTAAACCGAGCATATGTCAGTAAATCTATAGCAGAGTCAGCACAGAGGGAAACTGCAGCAGACTGAAGGTGCAGATTAAAAGCTTATGCTATTCACTACTTCAAATCACTAAAAACGAAACCTAATGCAAGGTTTCATTTAAAACATACTGATAAAAATATCTCCATCCACCTTATTACATGCATGTTAGACAGGTGTGAGACACAGGCTCACTGAGAAGAAGAGAAGAATAGGCAGAGACACCCTTCATGCAGAAAGCATCAACTTTGAATCTACAAACCTGTTCTTGTCAGACTGGTTCCATCCAGCCTAAAACCAGCTTTATCTGCTGCTGCAACCAGTGCTTGTGCAAAACTGCCGCTGGTAAAGATCGAGTCATCTGAGGAGCTACCTACACTAGATCTATGACTAGAAAAGTTACGGTCCTCATCAGACGCAGAACCCCATCCATTTACCATTGAACCTAAAAACAAATGTAGGGGTCTAGTGAGTTGTGCACATTTGATATATTCTTATCATCTAAAGCTTAAAAGACCCATTTAACATGTCCTTGCTCAGGAAAAACAAAATTCATTTGACAGAGCTTGGTACAAAAGAGCAGCATTCATCTAAAGCTGAAGACCCACTTAATACGTCCTTTCACAGCAGGAAACCCAAAGTTTATCTGACAGAGCTTGGTATAAAAAAAGGTATAAAAAAAGCACTATTAAAAATAATGGGATCTCATTCGTAGCTTGCCCCGTGTTGCTTTGATCCTGTAAACAAAATGATACATATTCTCTACAATTGTGAAGGCTCCATAATAAGTTCATTTGAAAGTTTGTAGTTTTTTGCTGGGATTGAAATGAATGTGATGTCGGGTTTTTTTCACTTGATTTATTATAAATCAATATCTAGTTTGATGTTTGCAAAACAAAGTCCTTATTTAGGACAGCACAAGTATAAGTCTCAGTAGATATAGCTGAACTCAGAGATGGGCATCAAGAGCTACCTGAATAAGACTGGCATTATGTCATTTTCTCAACCAAAACCTTAAAATAGATGAGCAATTTTAATGTCCTGAAGAAATCTGACCTAAAGCAATTAATTCTAATGGATTAAACTTACTTGTTTTAAAAGGTTAGAAACAATCAACATTCAAGAATGGAACTACGTATACTCAGATTCGATACTGAGACAGTCACTAAGCCAGTGCTGGCCTCATGGTACCTTCTAGCTATGGACTACCACCACTGCAGGAAAGGAAAGTGATAATATCGTAAAAGTACAGTCAGAAAATGAGATACTGGAAAAAACACGTGAAAGAAATATAGAAACCTGGAACGTAAAGAGCAAAACAGCAAAGTAAGGATTCCTCTTACTTGCTCTTCATTTATATTTTCTTTTATTTTTTTCCAGTGCATGAAGCATCAATCAGCTACCCAATGCGTCAGTATAGCTTACTTTCAAAAACTATGGCTCAGTTCAGGCTTATTTTAAAGTACTGCAATTCTGTTTCTTTTGTGGCATCAGATGGAGTTGACGGTGTGCTGTACTTCTAAGAATCATGATTAAATGTCATAGGATAACTCTGTGAAGTAGAGCAGGAGTCAAAGAAAACTTTGCTTGTACCAAGTGCTTATCTTTACTATAGGAAGAGGGCATCCAGGCTGATCAGATACCAAGTCCAGCTAAGGTGCAGAGCTACCAGACTGCTTTTGGGACCTGAGCTGCTGCATGGCATTGCATGGTGCTGTGAGACATAAGAGTATTGTTCTGAAGTAGCACAGGCTCCTATCCTAAAATACTTGAGATTTGCTTTTTAAAAACAGCAGCATGCATATGTTGAAAAAGCAAAAAGACCAGTGAACCTATGAGAATCTCTAAAGAACTGATATCCAAAGATATGAAGAATATACATGTGGAAAGATACATCATAGCCCTGACTTGACCGTTAGCACAACTGAATTTATGTAAATGTATATGAGATGCTTAGCAGTACAGTAGCCTTTTTTAAATCCATGTCTAAGAAAGTATTGCTGTGTTCAAAATTACTAACTAGTAAATCAATACTGACTTGCTTTTTAGTGCCATATGGATAGTCTGACTAACTATTGGTGGTGTCAAATATTAAAAATATCCTGCAAAAACAAGTCATAAGTACAATAAATTAATACTGGAATTGAGTCAGTAGCATGCTGCACCACAAAGCCCAAGAACAATGGATTATTTTGTGATGCTGCAGTGACCAAACCTTTCAATGTCAGCAAAGTGGCAGGCTATAATAACAGAAGTCCATGCACTCATAAGTTACAAGAAAAGAAACTGAAAAGGTCTACGGAGGTCTGACAGGCAGAAAGTGTGTTAAGTGCAACAGGGAGTGACAGAGTTTCATTCTGCTTGCCAAGAGCACACACAAAATTGTTATTTTCCAAACAGACTCGACCTGATGCAGACAGATATAAGGAAGCTGAGATAACAGCAAGGGAAGGCTAAAACTGAATTTCCTCTGAGAAGACAGTTTCTGAACTAACAATCAAAGTGTGATAGGACTTCATAGAGAATGGAGAGTGAAAAGGCTTAGCAACAGTTATTTATGATGTACGAAAAGAGATACTACAGATAAAACTCTTCATGAAGATGTAAGAAAGTGAAATGCTATAGCTGAGGACTTTCAAACAACTGCTTATTGACATATTCTGCAAAACATGTAAGCACATGCTGAAATGTAAAAATATAACGAGGCATACAGATACAAAAGGACGATACTCAGGTGCTAAAAATTTAATGTGTATCTATCTTCCTAGCGTCAGGGCCCACGGGTTTTGTATGGTACATTCTGCTCTCTACACAGAGACTTATAAAAACATATACTGTATAGAATAGGTTTTCAGTATCACAGGCACAAGACTATAGATGTTTTAGAGGAATTTAGGTTTGAATTTCCTTTTGCTCGCATTCCTGTTTGCTAACCAGTCACTCAGCTGTTATACAACATAAAATACACATGATAATTTGGATGCGGTGTTTTCAGGGTATGTCCAGGAACACTGGCTACTTTTTACCTACTTTTTCAAGAGCTGAACTAAAATTCATCCAATCCAAAAAGAAAATCAATGTTTTAAGTACAAGAACTAAGAATCTACAAAAGCTGTACGTGACCAGGCAGCTGTAACTGAAATCTCTACATTATTTCTACTGTTTGCTGAGCTATTCAGTTTCCCTGCATAAACAATGTTTTCCCCACCAAAACTTGCAGCAGTAAAACCCTGGCTTGCTTTGCCTTCCAGAGGTGTGGACATTGGCTGGAAAGCATGGAAATGCTGGAGCCCAGCCCAGGCACCTCAGGCCACCAGGCAATGGTGTGCATGTAAGTTAACGTGTAAACTGCTTGTTTAAAGGCATCCATCCACTGGCCTCTTGTATTCCAAATCAGATGCACATTTCTTTCTCTCTGAATAAAGGCAGAATAAGAGATACTGATGTCCCTTTCATATCAACTGTGTGTTTTGCAATGGAATGAAACAGGCTTTTAGTGTCTCCTTCACATGCAGTTCACTATGTGTTTTCCAAGAGCACATTTGAGTTTTTACACTTTCTGGCAACTGTAAATTTTACTCTTGCTGACAGCAGCAGTAAATGCTTTATGCAGAACAAAATCAACTCTGTGAAAAGTTGAACTCTGTTTTCTTGCTCCATAAAATACCTCTTGGTTCTAATGCAAACAGAAAGCTTCCTTGCTCTCAGGGAAAGGTGAAGGGAATAGAGGTCCTAGCTTCTTCTAGGCTGAACACTACTGCTTTAGAGGCATTTTGCAGGCAATAAAAATGCTATTTTTCTTTGTAAAAGTGTGCTCTTGCTTTTCTTAAAAATAAGATCTAATGCACTTGTGAAGTAAAAGCTGTAAAAGCTGCTCACTACAATCCTAACACTTGAAAATCCCAATAGATACTTCTCTGTAACAAACTCTATGCGCATGCTTAACGTTAACAAATGATGGGGATGTGTATGATTATGAGATTTTCTTCATAAGACCATGAAAACATAAAGCCCCTGCTCCTCTGCAGGTACTTTTGATGGAACTGCTAGACTGCTGAGGTTTGTGAAGTACGGATGGATGAAGTCCATCGGGACTGATGAGACTTCAGCTGAAATCATTTACAGAATTCCTTTAGCCTTTGAACAAGAGAAAGGCATTATCCTATTTCTACTCTAACTACTGTCATGATTACAAAGAAAAATGTCTGCTGATTCGGGTGGAAATGAGTGACTAAAAGAGGCAAAAGTCATTGTACCATTAAAATATGAAAGAATAACTGAAGGGGCTGAATGCACAATATAAACAGTATCACACTTCAAAAATTAGATGTGGTCTTGTACTTTACATTATACTCAGCATAAATGCCCAAATATTTAAATGTATAAACCTGAAATAACCCTTTAGCTTTAAAATTTGTATTTTGGGGCAGGAAACACTAAACAAAGGGAGGCCAAAATCATACATACGTATTTAGCACTTCACAGGTCCAACCATAATTAATGCCCTTCATAAACATTTAATGAAAAATGAATTTATGTCACTTAGCCAAATATATTGGTGTTTGCATTTTCAATCTTTCTGGATTTTTTGGTTTCCATATTGCTGAAAGGCACAAAAATTTCTCAAATTTATTCAAGCTGTTAGAAAAGAAATGCACACAGAACATTAAGTAGTTGCTCAAATGTTGCTGAGCAGTAAAATACTATGATAAAGTGGCATCTTGCTGTGTCTCTATTACTTCTTCAGCACTAAAATTAATTTATGATCAGTCATCAATTCATTTACATGTCGTTTTATGCTAAATCTATCGTTGCTGATGAATGCATATCCCCAGATCCATTAAGCTAGAGTAAAGTCTGTGCTTTATAATATGACCCTGCTAATTGTTGCATTACCATTTTTATGAGATACAAAAAGTAGCAGTTTCCTATTTTCTGAGCACATATTTAATCCATGAAACACATTCTTCCTATTAAATGCAATCTGTCTAACCGCTTATAAAACAGAACCTTTTGCAATAGGTATCCCTAAGCAAATCAATATAAATATTGAACTCTTCCATGGTAAAATATGACTCATGAAAATGGTTTTGTATAATTTTCAAGAATTATTCCATTTGTACTCAGACACAATGAACAACTTTTACCCTACAGACACTGATCAGAGATTCTTTTAATCAAGACCAAACCAAGCCAATAAGGGATTTTGCTCCTTTCTGAGTTACACAGCCTATGGAGGTCTTTATAATTTCAGATCTATATAATTCTATGGATTAAAAAAAAAAAAATTGTTATCCATTTACAGTGGTACTGTTTACAAGAATATCTCTCTGCTTGTATCAGCTTGTATCAGTTAGGTAGAAAATGGCTTGTTCTAGTTTCCATGCTAGCTAATGGGTGACTCTCTCCCCTCAGTCAAAAGGACGGACTGAAGATAGAGCGGCTCTCCCTACCATCTTCACTGATGGTGCTGGGGGAAGAGAAGATGAGAGGGCAAAGAAAACCCCCAAACCGTAATACTGTGATCTGACAAAACCTAGTGTTTTTCAAAGTGATTTCAGTGAGAAACAAACCGATTTCTTATACAGTCATCATATGCAATTAATTAAGTCTATTAAATGTAACAGAATCTTTTTGACCATTCACACCGTAACTCTGCACTGCAATTCATTATAAAGGCAAACATTAAACATAAGCAAAAGAAAAAAAAAATTTCAGTGTGTCTCCAAACCAAAAATAATGCTAAATAATTGTGAATTGAAAGTCAAGTGGTCAAGTGAGCAGACACTTTACAGCTGCTTTTCAGTTTGTTTTTTTTTTAAATCAGAATCAGTAACTCAGTATCTTAACAAACTATGCTGGGAATGAAGCAAAACTTTGGCTTCAATTTCATGTTCTATCCCACAAACATTCAGTTCTAAGCCTCCCTCCTTGAATTTCCTTTGCAATATCTGGAAAATGTTAAGATATAGTTACTGTGCACTCCTCCTTTCTTTTCACTTTATTATACATGTCAACATTATGTCTTTGCCACCTGCAAAGAGAAAAGCTTAATAGCACAGATTAAATGTTTGCTTGAATTTTTGCTTAGCTGTAACTAAAACTCAAGGGCCTGGAAGACAATCTGACTTTCAAACAGTTTAAATGAGCAACACTGTGGTTTCAGAGGAATTTAACAGTTTGAGCTTGGCTCACCCAGCATCAGTGCTTCCCCTCAGAGAATCCCACATTTGGCACTGGATGAAAACCTCAGTCTCAGTTCAGCCATAGAGAACAAAGTACCATTTCACTCCAAGAGTGGGTATCTTCAAGTCATTGCTGAAGCATGCTAACAGTACAGGATGAGGAAGCTCACCCTGTTGACAATACAGCATCTCTATATGGAGGAAGTCTGGACTAAGGAATGTCAATTTAGAGTTCTCACAAATATGGATCTCACAAAGTGTGCTTGAAAATGAACATTAATATCATTTCATCTGTGTGAGCTATTGCCATTTGCCTTCATTATTTAATATAATGTTTAAGGTAGTGAAAATATTGCATATAAATTCCCAGGAAAATGCTGTGTAAGTCACCAAAAGCCCTGTGAAAAGAAATAGCTTATATATCCTCAGTGCAAGAAAAAAAAAAGTTAGTTGTTCTACAATATTCCAAAAGCAATCAAATTAAAGAATGAGAAGCAGCTTAGAAGCAATGAATGCAATTTGTTAGATACCCTCCTTAACATCAGCAAATGCAGCCTGGAAGAGTCAACAGAAACAGAAACACAGACATTAAAATTCTCTTTTGGAATAATTCACCCAAGTATAATCTACCCTTAGAAAAAAACCCCAACAAACAATCCCCAAAAAAAGCCCTCAGAAAATTGAGGGTTTACCCACATAGAAATAGAGGAAACCAGAAATAGTTCCGTTCTTCAGAGTTTGCCATTTTACAGATCATTTAGAGAAACACTTTGGGTAAATGTTAATAAACACAGAAGTCTACAATTTGGAGCGGAAATGCAGCCATTCCTTACTTTGCACTAGCTGGGGTGGTCCAAAATATTAGGTGAAGATGAAAACGTGAAAAACATTAATTTTCTGATTTACAGATATATCAACATTGGCATATTAATACATACCAAATGGAAAATACATAGCAACCTGATTTTTTTATTATTATTTATTGCTGTATTACAAGTGCAAACCTCTTACTGCATTCCTAATGGGAAGGCTTCTGAGCCACTAGTGAGATATGCAAAAATATGCAGAATTATAGCCTGAAGGAGATTACACTAGAAATTCAAGTGAAGTGACTTAACATACTCATGCACTAGTAAGTTAACCTTCTTAATTCAGGGATTTAAACTTTAACTCTACAGCCTTCAATTGAATCTGGATTGCAAATTGCAGCAGCAGAGACACAATACTTAAATCTTAGACTGGCAAGCAGTGTGGCCCTAGGGTGAAAGAAAATCTGGAAAGTGGGATTAAGCTACACACTGTTTAATTCAACAAGGGAAAAGGAAGAAAATTATAGGTATTGATGCTCCATCACTGTAATCTTCCTGCAGTGTTTTCAGAATAGCAGTGTTTAAATAAGGGTGCAGAATTCTTGGAATTTTAAAGGTCCAGAATTTCATTTAAAAAGGGATGAAATTCAGTGATGCTATGCCAGTAAATTGTACTGAGCAAGTGTCCCTTAATGTACAACTAACAATCAAGTGCTCTTCTTCTGAGATCAAAGATTGAATAAGCACCCACTAGCTTTTATGGGCTACGAACACTACGTACATTTGGGTCTCCACTACAGCTGAACTATATCATGAACATGATATATTATATAGATGCTCAAGTTCAAGCTAAAGAAAAATATACTGATGCTTAGAAAAAGTACATTATTTTCATATAAAATCTGTAGTTTTCAAAAAATGTCTGTTGCTGCCTATATTTCATCAACAGCAATTCTATTCACTCAGATTCTGTGCATTAGTTTTGCATGCCTTTCTAGGTCCCCTTTGATTATCGCTGTTGTAACTTTCCAAGGGATGCAAAGGGTGAGAAGAAGTGAAGGAAGGATTGTCAGGGTAATTAAATATATTCACTGACAGGGAACAACTAGTAAATTCAGCAATACAAAGTAGGCTCAAAATACACATTTTCCTGCATAAATGTTGTATTTACTCTACAAATAAATGTTGTGCTGATCTAAATACACTTATTCTCATGTCTTTTAACTTCATCTGTGAAAGCATTTACCCAGCAAAATATCTAGAAGTGTTTTAAGATAACATTTTTATGCTGCTCCTGATCTATGAAATATACATTCCTAAGCTGAGGTCTTCCCCCTCCTTTTTATGTAGCTGGCTTGCTTCTCCAGTAGAGTGAACTTTTCATGAAAGCTAGGATATAATTGAGTTTTCTTTCAAGTTTTTAAAGCTTTTTAAAATTCATGAATTTTCTTATCATTTTGCAGCAAAGCATTTTCAAATCCTTCTTTAGTGTTTAATACTAACACATTTCAAATGTTACAGAAATAGAGTGGAATAAATTTTCACTTAGAAAGTGTTTGACGGATGATTTTACTGTTAGGAACAAGTTGGTGTCACTGTTAACTGTGTTTGGTTACCTGTCACAGAGCTGTCTAGATTGTCCATACTGGAGCCTGGAGTATGCTCTAGACCTCTTAGCGGCCTACTGATTTCTACAGTTTCTTCTTCAATATCATCCTCCTCATCATCATCATCCGGAACATCTGTTTCCAAATCTGAAATAAGGCTTCCAGATACATATCCTAGGGGTGGAACTGGAGCCTGAGGAGGTTGTGTACTGCTTTGGATGTGCCTGCACAAACAAATAGGAAAACATCATCAGAATGGAAGAGACTTTCAACCCCATGGTCAACTCAGGAAAACTCAGCTCAGTTATTCACCACAGCTTCTTATACCAGCGTACCTGCACGCTTTCTAGTCTTAAATATACTTGTCCTCCTGTAGGATAGCGAAGGTTAAAACTGCCCTTTTACAGATGAGGAATGATTTACGTGGAGGCTATATAAATCAGGTGGGAAGTCCATGGAAAAGCACATTTCTGAATCCCAACCTAGCATATAAGTGCCTCACCCGATACTGCACCTTGCAAATCACACGTTGAACCAAAATTAAATTTTACTACTTCAGATTAAACAGACTCAGTTCCCTTAAGCAGAAGTCACTCTAAAGAGGAGGAAATGACCAATAGGAAAGGAAAAATGTCAAGTCCAGTGAACCCATTATCAGTGAGGCCTTTTTTGGTTTTGTTTTATTCCAAGTAATTTACTTGATTTAATTGCAGCAGTATTAGGGCATGCATGTGTGAAATTACTGCATGCAGCAATCACAGTTAAAAAATAAAACAAAGATAAAAAACAACCACAGGATAGCTAAATGGCCAAAGGCAAGCATGGGATGGGACTTGGAGCTTCATTTGCGTGGTGTCTGAGAAGCTACAAAGGAAAACAACTACCAGTTTTCAATGCAGCATTTTCCACAGCACTACAGGTACAGAGCAAGCTGTGCCAGGGGCCCCAGGCATGACTGGCCTTGGCGAAAGAGCATGTACCATGCTTGAAATTGCTCACTTAGGCATTTGGAAATCCTTGGGTGGCTGTCATGAGATGGCGTGACCTGACTTGGATCAGCAGCGCTCTGGATGGGATCCAGGATTCTGCTGTCTCTTGCTATCAGCATAACAGAAAAAAATACAACTGTCACCTGTTTATATTCCTAGCCTTAACATGTTTTTGATGAAAACTGTGCAGTATTATTGCCTGCACTTGATGAGTTTTTTTTTTCCATAACGCAAATCTATCGGATCCAAGAATGTCACATGAATGTTATGTACCGCTGGAATCTCGCTCCACCTTGGTGTAGATTTTAGCTTATTGCTCACTCTGAAGCTTACTTGCAGAGCAAATGCTTCCCTTCTGATATACAACCCTCATTAGCAGTTCTTGAATACTTTTCTGCCTGGACACCAGTTTCTTAGCTCTGCAGTGTTCAAAACACTAAGCTAAAGGGCACTACCATCTAACTAACCCGCAATAAACAGTGTGATTAGCCCCCAGTCAAGCAAAATACTTAAGTATATGCTTAGTGTTAAGCATGTGATAGAACAATTGAAGTCAATTTCTCATGTACTTGTAGTTAAGCGTTTACTTAAGTGATTTGCTGGATCAAGGCCATAATGATTATGTACTTTTCCAGTAATCTCTAATGTGCTCTTTCTTAAATTCCTAGTTGGCTGGTCTCTATATTTCTCTTCTGTTACTCCTGCAGTAAGATATCTGACAGGTCCCATCTTGTTCTGTTTCCCTCCCACTACAGTGGACAGGTTGACTGTGAAGAGAACTCTTCCTTCCCACTTAAGCCAATGGAGGACTTTCCACTGAACCTGAACAGTATTTGCTGAATAGCCTGATACGTGTCCAGCCAAAAATATCCAAGCGTTAAACAGTTCCACATCATAACTACAACAAAAATCACTTGTATCTGCAACCCTCAATATTCATCCCAATATCTGCTAGAAAAGTCCTCGTATGAAGAAAAGGTTGTCTCTTGGATATTTTTGCCAGCATTTCAGGCTCAGTTACTGTGACCTTAACAAAAGCAATGTTAAAATCTGTATATTCTTCAGCACATTGTGAAAGTTCCCAAACAACTTCTGTTTCTCCAAAAAGGGAGTAGGACCTTTCCTGTCAGCTGTAAGAGGCTTTGTTTCAGAGTCCTACTGTTATTCGCTCCCAGACTGGCATCCACAGTTTGTAGGGCATAGAAAGGGTAACAGATGCAAAATGAAGCAGCAATGACTGCGTAGATAGGGTATGCATCTGTGTGCTGGCTCAGAAGTCAGCTACCTTCAATAGGCAGGTCTGGCTGCTGCCTGGGATTTGGGTCTGTCCCACAGGCAGGCCAGGGTCCGTGCTTGGCAGCACGGCACTGCAGCAGGACCAAAGTACCCTGTTGATTAAGTGCAGATTGCAGACAAGCCTTGAGGCTTCGACAGTGTCCAGGGAAAACAGCTGGCTTTGATTTGGCACTGCCTGCTTACCTGCCTGATCTATTTATGGTAGCTCAAGCTGAATAACTCTGTGGCTTTATTTACCAGCAAAGAAAGGCTGCTCCTCTGCTGGCAGCATGCCATTCGGTAACCAGCTCTGCTCCTCTCCTCTGAGACTTGCAGGCTTTGTCTGGGTAGAAAAGTTGTAAAAGGACAACTGCTGCTTAGGGAACATCCAGAAAGCAACTGACCTTCACCGTATCCCCAGCCTGGTGCAGATGACAAGTTCTTTTTCAGTCCCTGAAGAGATTGCTTCTGTTTGTTTTGCAGTGGAAATGTTAGTGTGGTATTTGCTTGCTCTTCCCTTAAACAGGCATAAAGCACTCAGAACTGCCAAATTCATTTTGTAAATACTAACAACTTCCTTCCTGCTGTTTCTGGGTTTTTCCCTATGAATCAGAAATATTCAGAGTATTTCAAACTACAGTCAGAGATGCAAAATGCTTATCCCCATGTGACATAGGGTGAAAAGCTGCTACATTGCTATTTCCAGTGACTAGCATTATTTTTAATCAGGAATTTAGAACCTCAATGTTTTTCGAAAATCCTAAGAAATTTGTACATTTTGCTAGCCTGAAAAGAGACTACTCTCAACTGCATAAAGGTTTTCAGTAGGTTGATGTTAACTAGGTAGTTGAATATATGTTAAAAGCAGAGGAGTATTATTTTTATGAGCTTTTAGCCAAGATTCAACATATTACCAAGCAGTATAGTTTAAAAAGCACCACCTAATGTTTAAGGCCTTCACACTGTAGATAGTTTTGCTATTTCTTCTTCCATTCTACTGCTTTGGAGACATTACTGAAATGTTGTTGAACACAGTCGACATTTACACCATCAAGGAATAAATTATTATTATGCTTATTCATTTCCCAATGTTCCCCCTTCAAACATTTACCATGTCTGCTTTGCTATATCAAACTGGTAAGCCCTAGTTAATTCATCAAGGTGGGCTTGAAGCATTGGCTGCATCTCCTCTCGTGGAGAAGGGGTGAGGGTTGCAGTTGACTGTTGCCCAAAGGAGATGGCAGGTGATGAAGCTACCCCTCGCACAGGAGGTGTGGGGACACGATCATCATCTTCTTCAAGCTCATCCTCCATGCCCTGATGTAGGTAGGTCTGAACTGGCAAAGGTGGACACCAACCATCACTGTCATATCTAAAATGAAAAAACAAGTAAGCACAGTATATATCAAACCCCATCTCTGCCATGCAGGAGAGGGCATACAGGATTTCTGCTACAGTTTGAACCCTCGCATGCAGTGTGAGCTTTAACATTTATTCAAAATAGGGTCATAATTGTTTAAATTCTCCTTACTGAGTCTGTTTAATTTTTCCCACAACAGCTACGCAACTTGAACAAGATGTGCAACAAAAAAATTACTGATCCATTATAACATTTGCTAATGGTGATTAGATAATGCTACACCACAATCAACAACAAAAATGAGCTAACTCACTTCCTGGATCATTAACCTATGAGAACACATGAAGATTGACCTAGACATGAAAATAGCAGCATTCTTAACAGGCAGTGCGCCTATGAACATCCTTACTCCCATCCTCCCCTTTATTAGTCTATAAATTTACTATTTGTTTTTATTTTGTATCTTAAAGAAAAAGCTGCACTTTCCATATAAATTCCAGTCTTTCCACACTGCATATAGATACCTACTATGATGTGTAATATATTTATGTTGCAGCAGCACTGACCCCAAGCATATGCTATGTCACAGCACCAGCTGATAAGACACATTAGCACACATGTTGACAGCTCTGCCAGCACCCCACCTGCTAACCAATCTTTACAGGGACTTACCTAGGCAGTGCTAAATTTCTGAGCACTTTCAAAACACCTGCCCAAAGTAAAAAAAAACAAAATAACAAGTACCAATATCCTTTAATACCAAAGTCTCTCTTCGCATACAAGAGATGTTCTGGTATGTTTTTGTGGGTTTTAGTCTAACACCAAAGGTGTAAGAGATGATGCTACATCTGACCAGGGCTAGAAACAGAAGCTTTATATTCTATTACCACTTCTTATGCAAGATTTGCCAGCAATTCAACCCTCTTCTGTCCCTGTCCTCACCACAGGACCTTTCAAGTCAGTGCTGTATTACAGCATCATTCCAGGACCCTGTCCCTTAGAGACACCAGCATCACTCAAGATGTCTAGGCCCTATGACTGTGGTTGTTCCCTGTGCATTATCTCCCCAGAGTAATTCTCTAATCTGAACACAGCTTCAGTTGTACACAGCTCTGCTGACGATCACACCACCAAGATTTCAACACTATTCTTCCCGTCTTCAAAACATCCAGTCTGCAGTCCCTTGAGTATCTGCATACATTTCTTAACTCCCAGTGTACTGAAAAATACCTCAAGATACACAGCTCTTTTCAAAAAGTAAAGAGCCAAACAAAAGCTCTCACAGTTCTTTCACTGTCAAAGCATCTTGCCCTCCAAAGCCATTCCCCAAGCATCATCTAAGTCACTTTATCTTCTTTCCACCTTCAAGGACTGCTGACAAGGTACACTCTTTTTTTCTGCAGTGCATTGCATTATACAGGCAATTTCCCAAACCAGTTCAGAAATACTCCTTTAAGGCTTCTAATTTGAAAGGACAGAATTACTAGTTTCCCAGAGTAAAATGAATAACTGCCAATTTTCTTAGGTGTGAAGCTGGGTTACAAAAGGCTGGGGACACTGAGGCAGAGAAGTTTTAAAACCTATATTATGAACAGAACATTTACTTTTAGCAAAACCCAAATATTTCTAGAATTAACTACTTTTTCCTTATTCAAAAGTCTGTGGTCTGTATTTAAAAGTACAGATTCAGAATAGCCAAAACAACCTGACTTAATCATCCAAAAGCCTGTAGAAGACATGTCTTGTAATTATGGCTCATATCACTTTATATCTAGATATAACCATATATAGATATAACCATATATAGATACACAAACATATGTACATGTACAGAGGTACAAATAAATATTGCATCTTAACACTTGGCATTTAGGAGCTTTTGAGTGATTGATCATTACCACTTTCATGACACAGAGATTTAAGAAAACATTCTATGTTATATATCCAATTCCTTATGAGACAATTAAGCTATGAATAACTCTTAATTTGTCTTTCCTTGCAATATTAACTCATGACATTGCCAGCCAAGGTTGAAGGGACCATCCTAACTCATGCTGCTAAAAATGTACAGTGCAACAGTTCTGTCACTTACTTTTACTCTCTCAACCTCATGCTTTGGTATAATGGTTTCTTCTTGAAAAGGGGCAGGGCAGAAAGATACTCCCCAGTGACTTTTCAGTAATGCATAAAAGAACTTTGGATGTGCTCGCCTTTTGACCCTGCTTGCTTCAAATCCCCAAATGTTCAGCTTGATAGTAAAAAGATTTCTTAGTAAAAAGATTTCTTAGTAAAACGATTTCTCAGTAAAACGATTCTGCACCGTACCTTTACCTAGATTTTGTTTGAAATGTTAAAGAGCCTAAGCCTGAAATTCAGGACATTGAGAGACAAGATTTCAGGTCCAAGAACCTTTGTCTTCATAATGTAAGATGTCTGAAAAGCCACCAATTCTAACCTACATTTTTCAAACTAAAAAAAGATACCTTCAAGAAAAAGCTAGCAGTAACTACACCTCATATAAATGATACAGTTATTGAAACTTCTGGAACCAGCATAGTGAATATTGGTCATATCCATGTTCTTTTTGGTTTTCTGAATATATAAACTTGGTAAAAATATAACCTTTTTCAAGTACTCATTAAAATCAAAGCACCTTAACTTCACTAGGGACCTCTGATTGTGATTTCATTATAACTAAGTTCCTAAAAAGTTCTGATTAACAAACATGATTATGTTTCTAACAGTTTTTATTCTATTCTCAGCACTTTTATTCTGTAGCAATATTTTGCTATTAAAAAGCTTGGTTCATTACACTGACTTTTTTTTCTTCAAAATAGAAAACAGAGGTGATAGATAAGGGGCACATTCTGAAACAATTGTGTTTCATTACACAAAGAAAGCTTCCCTTTCTAGGCCTTGCCAGAAAGGACTTTTTAATGCAAAAGGTATTATCTTCTTTACTTTTTCTGGACATCCAGCAGCTAACATTCCCTTTTAAGGTGTAATCAATAGAAAGAAACAAAAATAATCAATGATAACAGTATGGAGACCGCCTTTACTGGAGTTGGCTCAAACTCATACGTATTATCAGTGAAAAAAATATAAATAGGTGATAATGAATAAGTAATAAGCATTTCCTTATTGTCAACTTTATAGATACAACCAAACAAAAGCATCTTTTCTAAAAAGGGCAAGAAAGGGAACATGCTTCCTTGGGAGCTACTAGAAGAAAAGAGAAGCTTCTGTATATAAAGAAGAAAATTAAGGAAAATAACAAGGAACAAGCACAGAGTTTCTAGAAGACCAGAAAAAAGGGGAACATTTCACAGGAAAGAGCTTGCCAGGATAACAACAGAATAAACAGACTTTCTACAGAAAACCACAATTTTTAAACTAGGAATTAAAGACATCCTCAAAGCTACCATATTAAATAAAATGGCTGTTTAGACTAACATGTTCACTTTTCCTTATGTGTGTTGCAGCTCATGTTAAAATGGAAGCGAATGCAAGCATCAGTTCTGTGGAGAAGAAAGTAGAGAGAACTAAGAGTGTATTTTTCTTCCCTGCCTATGCTTAAGTTAGGGGATTTTTTTTCAACTTGCTGCTGTTGGGGATTTTCTTTACAGTTTATAAGTCAATAGGGCACTACTGTTAATTTCTAGTAAGCAAAATAAGGTGTCAAAATTGTTTAGTTTATTTGGGATACTCATGCTAATGAAACTCATACTTGAATTCAAGAACACAGAAAAATAAGTTCTGTTTAGATGCCAGCTTCCTTGTTTTATTGTTCTAAAAGTTCACCTTTTATATCATATTGTGAGAACTTTATTAAGGCCTTCAGTTCTTCCGACTGGAAGTTCATTTTTCAATTGTAATCCTCAATATAATTACATCTGCATGTGATTAATTCTTAAATTAAAACACATTGAACTTGTCATACATTGTACACATCAAAGCAAATCAAGAAAACCAAAACAGTTTACAAAATTTACTAGCTTCTTTTTTTTACCCAATATGTCAAAAAGACAACTTAATGAATGCAGTCTATGTTTCAGCTGATTTTAGCATGTTGAAAAACACAGAAACAAGATCAACCCCTGAATATCAAATGACCACTACTGTCGGACACATCCTCAGGAAGTATGGGCATGACAGACTCACTGGGTTCAGCAAAGCTGGTTGCAAATTACTGTAGCTTAAGACTGATACTGTCTAATCTTCAATGGTTCTTTTTTATGTTTGGTAGAATGCACATTAGAAGGCCTTGTTACAACCACTATTAATGAGATATTATGAGGAAAAAAAACCTAAGAAGAGTAATCCAAAAGATAATCATAGGAAAAACTAAGTCTGAATTGTTGGGAACCTGTAAGACTGGTGATTACCTTATCCTTAAATAACAGTGTTATCTTGGTGACCAACATCAATGCTCCCAGCTAAATAACAGATACTTCATTCAACAGAGGAGTCAAGCCCTAAGTCACAGGTCATTTCTCCAGAAGGTATTTCTTTTTGCCTTTTATGCTATTTCATTATCCTGAAAGAAAACCCAAGTTGTTTGCCTTCTATAGCATAATTGTTTCAGTGAAAAGGCTGCACATGTGTTTTAAGTGATAAGGACAAATATTATAAGGCGAAATAATCTTAAATTTATTTTGTTTTTTTTTTTTTCAACAGAATACAGAACACGATGATTACATGCACTTTTTGCCTTGAGATTTAAACAACACTTACAATCAGTAAGGTTTTTCATTTTCCCTTATATTTGTTTTAAATTCTAACTCTAATACAGCCTGAACGGAGCTTCATTTTAAAAGGAATTACACTGACTTACACAGGTAGTTATTATTCATATTGAGAGCTGACGGACTTGGTACAAACTCAGATATTAATATTTAATTCTTCTAAATTTCATTATAAAAATAGTGATGATCAATTCATGCTTCCAGAAGAGATAACACTTGAAATACTTTTACTTGGTAAAGCTATTACAATGACTTTTAAAACATGTGTTTCATCCTTAGGAAATATTGATTAATCCATGTATTTGAACAGGCAGAAATTTGTCCCTGACAGAACAATGAACAGAACAAGGTTCCAACAGAGATGACGACAGCAAACTGTTCTTCTACATACTCTGATTTTACTCCAGATAATCTGGTATGTCATAATTTCACTTTATAAAAAGCATTCCATAATTGTTCTCTGTGCAGGAAATGTCTCTTTCCTCTCATTTCATGTTTTTTTGTGTGGTTTTGTGTCCTTGAGAACAAGTTTAAGCTTGTTCAAGAAGTGTAAGGTTCCAGTTGCTTAAAGGCTTATACATAGGGTGCCTTCCTCAACTGTGAAATTCCTTCTAAAGGCCAATGAGAAGGCTATTATCCACTGATTGATCTTCTAAAATTAGTCCAATTTTGTGTGTGTATGTGTGTGTGTGTTGTTCTATTAGTTCTAATATTTTTAGACATCAAAGTATTCAAAAAATACATGGAACGAGATTATATCATCCTTACCCGCGCCAAGTCCCATCATGTACAAGCAGTCCCAACAGAAAGCAATTAAGCTACATGTGAGGCGAGATACTTCTCAGCATGAGTAAGCAGAGAAGCCCTACATGATGATGAAGCAAGGTCACTTCTATTTCCATCTTCAAGAGGAGTTATTCAAACATTCCTCCTCCGTAGCCTTGAATAAGTCTATAGGATTATAGGATAAGGCGCTCTTTCTCTTTTGTTAAACAAAACAGTATAATATTGTCACTATTGTCACTTAGGAAAATTTGAAGAAGAAGCCTCATTTCTGCAAACCACAGATTTTTCTTCAAAAGAAAAAGAAAAAAAATTTACCCTGCTTCTTGCTGATCCACCCCATAGTGTTCCAGTTCTGTGCCTGGAAGTGGCTGCACGGGAGGGGGTGGGAGGGGAACACTGGCCCAGTTTGAACCATTGTTTTTCTGGGGCTTGGCAGTATTTTTGTTTTTCTTCTTTTTCCCTCCTTTGCCACCTGCAAATCCAAAAGGAAAAGTAAAATGTTAAAGATATAACGTGGGGAATAAAGCTAGTGATTTACATTTCTTTTAAAGAATTCTGATTCCAGATGGCATGCCCCACAAAAGGAAGATGTATTTATATCTCAGCAGAATCAGCATCAGTGTGCTAATGCAGCTACAAGGTTATAAATAATAATAGTGGAATGGAAAAATATCCTGAATAATTGCTGAAGATCTCTTCTTTTTAATACTCCATCCATTTGCACCACAGTAGTGGTGCACAACCAAGTACTGCACAACCAAGGGAAGACATGCTTTGCTGAATCAGAAACATATTTCCTGATTTATTCAATTCTGCTTTATGACTTTTATTCACTGCTAGATTAAAATATAGTAGACCATAGGTAATTATTTCAAATGTCAGAATTCAATGTGCTTCTAACACTGTTTTGCATAATCTCTTACTATGGAAAACACAGAGGTTAAGGACACCATTTTAAAATGTTTGCCATTAGACTCGTTATCTTTCAGCCACAATGTCAAGTGTAAGTTTGTCAAAACAGAAAGAAACAGGGTTTTGCTGATAGGAATTTACTAAGTTCCATTTTTAAAAACATCAGGAAGTCATCTGCAACGTTTTAGAATTGTCTTTTTCACATGATTCAAATATCTTGTGCACTACAGAGAAAAGGCATTATTTCAGCTGTACAACTGTAATGGAGGAGACTAGTAGAAATGAAGTCAGCAATGCATTTATACCTTTTGTGCAAGCCCTTTTATCTTCTCTTAGCATCCTTGTACCCACTTCTCCCATTGAGACACTTCCATTTGTGGGAAAGTGATACAGAGAAAGCTCTCATCCCACTTGTTTCAGTTCTTTCATTTAGCCCTGACTCCTTTTTCTTGTCAGGAATTCATTAAGAGGAAGAATGGCACAAGATTTTGAATCCCTTGACTGCTTGGAGTCCCATCTATTTATTGCCATTTTGTTGTGGTTTTCAAACCCTCTGTATTGTTGTTGGTTGGAAGGATGGTTTGTCATATGCTTTTTCAGTGGGGTACCCAGCTGGCAGTCACTCATCACTTGCCTGTTGCAGAAAGCACAGTCTAATCCATCTTACCACTAACGTATCTTGCTGATTTATAAGGATCAGCCCCCAAAAACTACGTAAAAAGTTCTCAAAAGCAATTAATCAAAAAAGCCACAACTGGCTTGACAAGCAGGGTAACACTGTGCACAAGCAGGCAGCACACCTTGTGCCATGGCTCGAGCCATGGCATAGAGGCATACAAAAGGAGGTGCAATTCCAGCAGCAGATAGAACCACGTGTCACAGGATTTTTCATCTAAGAGGCAGTGGCTTTCTTTTGTTATCTCCAGATGTCAGCTGGACCAAAACAGGAACAAACAGAGACAGAAGAACAAGGTGATTCTGTGATTCATAAGTAACCAAGACTGCTCTTATCACCTCCTGTTCTGGCTGCCATGGACAGGCAATGAGTCCAGCAAGATTTCTAATCAGCCTGGCTGGCAACGCATTGCAAACAAGACTTTGCTTTCTACTACTCATCTCCAGACCAGAGCTCTTCCTTCCTTGTCTTGGACCATTTAGTGTAAATCCAGCCAAGATCATGCCATTCACTGTGTGTGAACTGAGCTGATATTCCATTTATTAGGATGCAAGACAGGCTCTTTCCTCCTTTTTGTAGCCTGGCAGAAAGGGAAGCACTCTTGAAAAGGGAAAGAACATTTTGATCAATGGAAAAGACACCCCAGCAATGGTGGCAATGAAGGAACAAATAAATTAATCTTCTGGAGGGAAAACGAAGCTTTTAAAGCATAGGTGTGGTGGAAAGCAGAGTTAGCAGAACAGTATAAAGGAAGTATGCTAACTGCAATTTGCAGGACATACATAGGGGAATTCTGTAAAAGTCAGCAAGAGTAGGAGGCAGCAAGAGCTAAGGCAGGAGGGGCTGCTCTGGGAGGAAAGCATGTGCATAAAAGTGGGTGCATGTGTGTCGCAGGGGGATTTAAACTAGGAAAACTCAGAGAAGAGAAATGCAGAGATCAGCTGAGGTGCAGAGGAAGATTTTGGAAGTGTAGCGTCTTGGTAATCTTAGAAGATGGGTCAAATGGAGGTTGGATGTGTTGAGTGCTAGTATGGAAACACTCGGATTTGGGGGGTTTTGGAGGGAAAGGTCAAAGACAATGGAGCCATTAGAAAGAGTGAAACAGAGAGCTGAGGAACTGCTTAGATGAAGAGGAAGAAAGGAACTCCAGAGTCATTACTGGTAGGGAAAGCAGCCTACACTGTACACTTGGGCAGGAGATTTCTCTTCTGTCCCCATGGGCAAAGTTACTCCACTGTCAGATTAGTGGAACAGACACCTAATACATAAAGCCTGATGCGTGTTTGAAAACTGTTGCAGTGAAGCCTTGTCTCCCCATAGCAATGATGCTTGACATTTCAATGCCTCCGTTTCCCCATAGCAATGATGCTTGATGTTTCAATGCCTCCGTCTCCCCATAGCAATGATGCTTGATGTTTCAATGTCTCCTCACACTGAAATTCAATTATGTTCTTTAAATCTCTAGATGAATCAGGTCCTGGAAAAAGAATTTGCCAGTCAGGCTGAAGATCATAGCACTGACATAAGCTGGGATCTGTGCAAAGTACAGCCACAAAATTTCCCTGCCTCACAAAGCAGTTGATTTTTTAGCTATTTTCCATTCCACAGTGGGATAGGATTTCTCATTATATTCATTTGAGAGAGAGAGAGACACTTAGTCGGCATAATAAGTAGTACTTAAGGTACTAACAAAGGAAGCGAGAGAACAATCCCTTCACCCTGATGGGGACTACATAATCAAAGCTGGTCTCTGGCTCCAGTGATGCTCTAGTTGTCAGAATATTTGAAGCTCTCCCCCAGTTTTTCATGTATTACAGACATAATTAGCCTGTATTAAAGACATAATTAGCGGGCAAGGGAGAGCAAAATACTGACTCCGCAGTTCAATAGGCTGACACTCATCTGAGCATTGGGGCATCCAGATGTCAGCTGCTTTGATCACAACAGGAGCGCCCTGGCCATAGAAAAAGACAGGCTAACCTGAAGTTTCTGTATGTTGTTGGAAAATTTACTTCAAACTGAAAACACTACACAAAATATTATGTTTCCCTTGAAGTACTGGTTCAAAGTCCAGCTTTTGATCAACTGATATTTTCCAATGAAACTTTGTATTTTCTGAGAAAATTCTTAGGCAGCTGTAGCTGTCAACACATCTGAAGTGTGACACTGCCCTCTGATAAGTGGCACATATGTACCTCAGCATATCAATTTCTCCATACCCATGCAGCCAGAGGAGCAAGCTGATTTCCGAAGCTACTTGCCAATACATCTCACAAACAAGGAACAAGAACCCTCCTTGAAGAGCTCCCAGATACCTCTCTGTCAATGCCACAAACCTATTTTTCAATCTCACTTGAAACAGCTAATACTCCCTATGAGAACACAAGACCAGCAAACACCTTCGGCTATTTGAGTTATAGGCCAATGATTATGGGCTTTTAATCTCAATGTTCAATTTGAACAGCTAATTAAATTGACATAAATAAGACAGTTCTAGGGCTGATCTGTTATGGTTAGGATTGTTCCAACTTATAGTAGAAATTCAGAAGGCTACAGATACAGTATGAATTTGAAATTTAAGTCACTTCAGCGCTCTCATATTTCACTTAAATGAAATAGCAGACTTGCATTTTAAGTGCTGGCTTTTCAGATTTTGTCTTGAAAACAAAAAATGACATAGTGGTACATAAGCAAGAAGTAAGCAAAATTAAAGAAATTAAGAAAAAGGTGGTTTTTAAATATCATTTTCATTTAATCAAAATAATTTCAAAATCATTTTCATCTAATGAATATGTGTCATGTTTCCAATATAACGTTCAGCACACACATAAAATTTACATTTGGTTTCTATGCAGACTTGGCACAATTTTTGAAACCCCACTCATCTTGCAGGGCCCTACATTTATTTCTAAGCTGCTTCACTGAAAAACATCATTTTTGAAACAGCTCGTGGGAGTGCGGAATCTGTTAACAACTCAACAAAAATATTCATCTCCTCATGAAGTTCAGCGTGGGAAGATCTATAAAGTGAGGATTGATGTGGAAATATAGTTGCTCCATGAACTGTGCTGTCAGGGAAGGGATGTGACAAGGCAAGGTTTGCAGTTGCACCAACAAGCAAGCTGGGTGGGCGGATTCTCCAATTATCTCCAAATAGGTTTTGCAAAAGGCTTTCTTTTTCAGTAGAGGCCAACGTGACGCCGCTTGCTGATGTTCCAGTGGGCTTGTGCCCTCATTGCTACCCACAAAGAAGTGCACATGAGAGGTTTTCCACCTCCCTGGCGAGCTGCTGACCGAGACCCCTCCGTCCCTAACCCACCCACGGTAGTGGAACCAACCTGAGAGGCTGCCACTCCTTTCAGAGCTGTTGTGGGAGCTGGTGGTGCTGAAATCCTGTGACTGGTTGTGTGGTAATCTATTAGCCAATCCCTCAGCCACGCGGTAGTCAGGGATGTAAAGCAAGGCTAAGGGTTAAACGGCAAAGGTCACAGTGGCATCGTGTGATTAGTTGACAGCACAAGCACATGCAACACATGCAGTTAGCAAGTCAGATGTGGTGGGGCAGCAAGTTTAATTAATTTTCTTTTAAATGTATACCTATCCTAGCCTAATGGAAGGCAGATGGCTTGGTGATTAGCACAGGACAGAGATCATTAAAAGCAGAGAGCAATACACTTTGTGATTGTGTGAGGTTCAGCACACAATCTATGCATGCAAAGCATGTAAGCATTAGTTATGGTAAATATGAACAGCATCTCACATACTAAGAAGAATTTTCTAATTCATGCGTAGATGTATATATAAGGGCTCTGGAAAACAAGAGCTTATTTACCATTGTTGCCTTTGCCTTGGTCTGGGAGAGAGTAACCGAATCCCATCAGGTCATTTTTTTGCTGAATTGAGCTTTTCCACTGAGGATCAGGTAAGTCGACAGCCAACTCATGGATGCTGTTGGAATGAAGTATCTGGGTGGTGGCATATGGCGTAGCTTGTGTTATTTGGCTGGAACTGTTGTAACTAGTTTTCGTGGTGAAGTCAATGCTGCTGTAAATGGCTCCATCAGAAAGCATAGTAGCGGTTTTATCTCCTTGCCCTGGCACTGGTGGCAGCACATCTGTGGTGAACATAGGGGAATGAAACAAATCATTGATGCACAGGAAGCCTGAAAGTATCAAGGTTTAAGATGAAAAATAAACGTGTCATTTTGCATGTTTGCATTTCAGCTGAGACAGGTCCATGAGCCAATGAAGGGAAGATGATGTACAACCATCGCCATACTATCAGCATCTGTGACAGGCCTACCACTTGTCCTTCATGTCTCGCTGCCTAAAACCATCTTTCTTATATTTTTTTTCAGTACCTTCAACTGTGAAAGGGAAGTTTGGAATATTTCTCTCCTGAAGAATGTTTTCAATTGTTCACTCTATGTCAGAAGCAATGAAACTGTCTGGGCTTCAGGGAAATGATGAAAGGAGTGAATCTACAAACCACAGAGGAAACTTTCCCAGCAAATACATAGCAAAACTGTTAAATGGATGCCAAACCTCTCAAAGTAATTTTTTAAGGCCATCACCTTGACTTCCTTGAAGTTTTATGCATCAGCTTATTTAATTTTATTTGTGACATTAGCTAGTATGTTTCTCCTTTTCAACAAGTTACTCCCATTATGTGTAAGAAAATCTGTTATTTTGAAGGGATTTAAGTGATTAGTCTCTTAAAATGGCAATGCAGTGGTTGATAATGGAGAACAACTTGCTCAAGTACTCCAGTCGTTTACCTGAAACCAGTACAGCGTATTTAACTAAATATCTGTTGACTTTTCACACCTTTTGAATCCTATCACACACTGCAATTTGTACCTTTAATCAGTTAGATTGGCAATCTCTCTCCTTACTAAACACTGTAGTGACCTTTGCTGGTGGAATACTAGATTTAGAAGCTGAGACTAGTGAAGTGTGAAGAACTTAATGATGACTGGCATGATGTCCCGAGAAGAACCACAGCTCAGCAGATAACCCTTATCTTGCTGTCTCAGAGGTCAATATATCAAATGAAACATTTTTTTACAAATTATTTGAACTCTGAAAAGTTAAATACATTTTGGAATTTACTTGTTAGAAAAATGCATCATTTATATACCATTTGCTTTTGACACCTGAATGGCAGATACGGATTCCAGCCATTAGACCATACTTGAGATAATGCGTACTTCTAGGTGAGGATGCTCAGATGCCATTCTAGGCATCACAGACATTTTATATAACTTAAGTCCCAGAGAGAAAAAGATGATTCTTGAACCTAAACAAGAGTTTAGGTTCAGTTCCAGACTCAGATATGGGTTTTGTACCTTACAGAATACAGTTTTTCTCTCACTGTTTCAAGACTTTTCCAGCAATGAGGTATGATATGGCCTCCCTCACACTGTTTTTTTGGGAGATTTGGGTTGTTTTGTTTTTCCCTGGGATGAACATTTAGACCATGGAACTATTTTCTACTGCATTCATGTGTGCAATAACGAACATTTTAATATGGATCCTAATAACATCTGCAGTCTCAGGGCAACAACATAATATTAACAATAAATATGGCAATAACAAGTGCTCAGTAGAGAGAGTGCAGAAACAGATATTAAATTTGGGTCTATCATTATGATCTGGTTTTGCAGACAACAACAGGGAAATGGGCACAATCAAGTATTTAAAATGCCTTAATTGTATTAACTTTAATCTGCAGATAAAATGTAAGTAAAAAAAATAAATTACCATGAATGCAAACTACAGGCCATATTTCAAAATCAGGTTATTACTATCTATCTGCACTCATCCACTGTGCTTTCTAGGGGCAGCATACAATCATAAAAGCATCTATGTGCAAATACAGCGTGTGATGTGAAAGACAAGTACAGTCCTGTCTTTCTTGCATTTCATTCACAACATGAAGAGTTTTCCTTTCCACAACTGGTTTCATCAAAGTATAGTGGATTGAAGTTTAGTAAATAAATTCTGTTTGATATATAAAATGAAGGAAGTCCAGCTCAAGCTGTCTGTGTTGGCTTTGCAGACTCGCAAGTGAAAACTTGCAAAATGCCTCATCTCTTAGGACATATACATCTATCCTTGTAACATGTTTCAGGCAACTGAAGAAGTATCATCCCTATACAGTCATTTTAAAATGGAGAACTATACATTTACAAACACTTGAAATGAAAGTTGCATAGCTTCCCACCAGCCAAGAACTTTCAGTCATTCCTACGAATAAGATGAGGTTCTCCAGACATTCTGGGAATTTCTAGTGCAACCACAGATTACTTTTTTAACCACAAGGAGATGTATACACTAAGCACTCAAAGAACTATTAAAGTGCCATTTTACAAAGTGCCATAATCACCTAGTAAAAAACCAAGTGTGATTTTCCCACCATCATCATAGCAAAAAAAAAAACACACTGGACATTTCAGACCAAAGATGAAGACACATTTCCCAGTGGATGCTTTCCCAAAAATCCACCTTGTTTTGAAACTCTTGAAATAAATGAAATAGTGTTGAAGGACTTCCTGAGAAAAAGTCTTTCTTCCTCCCTCAGGAGATATAGTGCCATTTTGTGGCCTTGTGCAACTCCAAACCCAACCTGTGCATCCTACTCACAGTCTTGCTCTCAAATGCCTATCTAGGACACAACATATTTCACTCTTAAAGGCAATGTTAGATCTGCCTGCCTCAGTTTCTGAGTTTGAGAGTGATTGATTGCCACCTTACTGTTTTCAAAATTCTTAGAGACTTTTTATATTTTCACAAACCCTTTAACGAGTAAAGGCCCAAGTTCTATCTACACAGTTAATTCATGTTAAGAGATGTCTGACTTGTGATGCATCTTTAATGAAGAAGAGTCCAAACTCAGCTGCTGAAACAGATATGCAAAAGTGGTCCCAAACCAGCCAGAATAAAAGTATGAGCTCAACTGTAAAGATCATGGGTAGAATTAAGCTGCTGAATTTCAAAATATAACTGTTGCATCACTTGGACAAATTTGGATCTATGCCTCATCCACACTGAAGCCAAAACCTTTAAGGCATGCTTCTAATTTCAGTTGTATAGAGCCAAATGCTAAAAGAAAAATGGTAATTTTTCTGTATTATGTGAGCTTAAGAAAACATGGAAAAGTACTGAAGGGTTTTATTTTCAAGATATTCACAACAAAAAAGGTAGCAGATATTTGGTTGCCTTCTCAATATCATAAAAAGTTTTGCTTGCTTTAAAATATTTTTGTAAGACAAGCTTCACAACATTTTTATATGGAAAGTAAATCTAGAGTGTTTTGTTGTAATTTGAAGTCGCGGTACTCAAACCACAGGCAAGAAGTTTTGTATGGGAGCATGTAACCAATGCGAGAGATGGTTTTCAGAAGTAGATTCTGGTACAGTTCAAACGTGAATTCTTTTCACATTTATCAGTTTGATGGTTTTATAGATTTTTTGCATTTTAATGTATTTTTGATATATAAAGTTGTCTTGATTTTTGTTTACTTATTTATGGCTTAGAAATACTTCTATACTCATTTACATTAGGAACTCTTGTTGTGAATACCACTATGGAGAGCTAGCTGTGTTACAACATCACAGAAACCAAGGAAGTAGGAGAGATGTGAAGATTACTATAATTTTCAGAAATCCCAACCACACATCTTGAAATTCCCATCTAAGTAAAACGTTTTAAAGAAAATAACCCTTCTAAAGATTCATCACCTTAATCATTACCTCATCTCCCCAACAGGCCTCTCTCATTTCTAAATGGAAATAAAACCCTAAAAAATCTAGATGTTTCCCCTCTTTGTGTATTTTTCCTCCAATAGGAAGGAAAGTTTCTGAAGATTTTTGAAACCTTCTTCATGGATTATGATTGAGACTGAGAGCAGTCCCTCACCAGGAGGAGGATGGGTAAGCTGACAGCAACAATGTTCTTCTGTCCTTCTGCTGACGAAGCATCCTTCCTGCATCCCCTGAGGAGTTCTCTGCTGTTATGGCCATTCTCTGTCCCTGGCTACATTGCCCTGCATGCAGATTGCTCATCTCCACATAAGAGGTAATGAGTTTGAGCAACAGATACTTTTCTCTTGAGATAATAAGCAACCCTGTCCACCACTGTGAGGTAAATTACAAACTAGACCTACATTTTAAAGAAGTAGAAAGAGACAAAGCATTCTAAACTCAATTTTAAATCAAACTGTGAGTCAAACATAGAAATAACTATAATGATGAAAATACTACCCAGTGTTTATCATAGGTATTAATTAACAGAAGGAGAAGAGAAGGCTCCAGGGAGACCTTATAGCAGCCTTCCAATACCTTAAGGAGGCCTGCAAGAAACCTGGAAAGGGACTTTTTACAAGGGCCTGTAGTGATAGGACAAGGGGGAATGGCTTTAAGCTGAAAGACGATTGATTTTTATTAGATATTAGGAAGAAATTCTTCACTGTGAAGGTAGTGAGACATTGGAACAGGCTGTCCTGAGAAGCTGTGGCTTTCCCATCCCTGAAGTGTTCAAGGGTTGTACAGGCTTGGAGCAATCTGGTCCAGTGGACGGTGTCCCTGCCTGTGGCAGTGGTGTTGGAAGCAGATGCTCTTTAAGGTCCCTTCCAACCCAAACCAGTCTATGATTTTATTGTGTACTATACAGTGAATTAATAAAAGGAAACCTACCTCCGCGACCGAAATTGCCAAGATCATTGGGTCCACTAGTGCTGTTGTTTACCGGCAGACTTGTGGCAGGCCAAGAGTCTGCAAGCCAAGGATAACTGGGGTCACTTGCATTCAACAGACCTGGTCGACTGAAGCAGAATAGAAAAAAAAAGATATACATACAAATATATATAGAGACACTTAAAAAATTAAAGTATCTGTGAGACAACTAATGACTGAAGAGAACATATCACTGTTCTCCTAACACTGTAGGTAAAAGACAGTTTAGGAAACTTCCATTTCTTTCAAATTAAAATTGTGTAGCCTTTGATGATTTAAAGACCTTGAGCAGTTAATTAAGGTTACATACAAATCAACTTTGTCAGTAGAAGTGGGACTAGGCATCTGTCGTGATTCTGCCAGAATCCAAATGAACTCCGCTGTCTGTGTGAAACAGGGGTTAGGCAGCACCATCATGGGATCCTACACCAGGGCTGCATGATAAATTATCACCTCAAGGGAGCCACCACTCAAACTGATTGCTCCGTATCAGCCATTTCCAGGACTCTGGGCTACTATTTCTTCTTCCCCTTGCATCCCAAATGCACGCCTGTCATCTGCAGGCTGGTAACTCTTTCTTTGAGCACTCTTGGACAGTTTAGAAGCAAGCAGGTTTGAGTAGGATAAATGGAAAATCCACAGCTCTCTTTAAGTGCCACTAGTGCATGGCTTTTATATCCCTGTAATTCCCAGCTTTGAGAGCAGTATTAAACAACGAGTCTGTTGAAAGAGAAGGTACACTTGGGCCATAAGGCACCATGTCTTGCTCACTCTAGGATAAACAGCTACAAACTTAGCAAGGCAGGTGGACTGTTTGTATTTGTATTTAACAGGGAAAACAATAATTTCTTACAGACATCCCCTTCCCCTAAATGAGAACAAAACCCTGTCCACACTTCTGCAGCTTTTCCAGGTTATTAATGCACTCATGGAGTTGGAGCAACATCTCCGATCATTGTACGTTATAGACCCCTGCCTGGAACAATCCCTAAGAGAAACATTGGTTTCTATGGCAACGGCAATAAGAAGACCCAGCCGCCTTCTTGCCACATCTACTTGCTCTCATTAGGCCTAATCTCTTTTTGCTAAAATATTGATTAAACAGGAGATTGGAAGTTATTACCAGGGCCTAATTACAATCTCCATATTGGCAATGGGAAAATAGATGAGGATATATGGGCCTGTTATCAACTTTTATCAATTTCAGTTGAGTAGCCAAAGTTGTGGAATCCAGTCCTATCAATCTAAAGCCTATTCATCATCCATGAATCATTTATTTTGTGATCGATTAAGTGTAATTGTTCACTCACAGCAATTTAAGGGGAGCCAATAAGGAGTCTTAAACAACAGCAACTTCATTTGCTAATGTCTAATTAATGCAGTAAACATCCCACTAACAAATGAACACATTCTGTGTGATATTTACTACTCATTTCTTCCAGGGCATCTGGGAGATATGAAACATCTGGGCTTGATTCCTCCAAAGTGCACAGAAGATAGGTCATTAAACCTTGTGGTAAGCTACTGAACTAGTAGTGTTGTCAGTCCTCCTAGTGTTGTCAGTCTTCCCAATGATCAGTTATGACCCAACTGCATCACCTATAGCATTTTTCAGATCCCTAATTTTAACAGTGAACACAATGGAAAGACCTTTATACAAAGAAACATACCTTCCATTGCTCATTAGTCCTCCATCTCCTCTTTGGAAAGTGACTGTGTTTTGGTTGGAAAAACGAAACAAACGTACACACACACACGCACACACATATAAGACAGGGAAAAATTAATTAGTAATAATTAAAAGTAACAATTCAAACTGCTCAGTGTCCAAGATCGAAGGCCTCTTGGCATCATCACATAACATAATACAGAAATGGTAAGAAAAGGATCAAACACGTGAGGGTTACAATTTGGTTTGGATTTCACTGCACGTTACTGATTAACATCAATTTGCTCTGTAGCTTGCAAGGCAAAGCTGATGCCTGGGCAAAAGGCCTGAATTTACCATGGGCCCCTTCATATGACTTTGCTTTGCAAGATGGATCCATGTGATGAAATTGTTTTCTTGGCATGCTTTTCTTCAGTACATAATGACATTGCACCAGTGAGTTAATACCATGTTGTAATGCAGTAATATAATGTCACCACACAAATATGCCATTTCCCAGGACAAATACAAAGAGGTGGCAGCTCTATTAGAGCTGATGGGGTGAAAAAAAGCATAGAGCTGCACTGTTTCCATTAGAAGTATAGTATAAGAACCAGGACCCACACATAAATGCATACACTCCAATATCACTGAGAAAAAAAAAGTGTTTCCAGTCTTGCCATGAAGGATGCCAAGGACATTTTCAGAGAGAGACAATTGTTTTTATGGCTCCATTCATGGGTGTTTGAAAAAAAACAGTCTCTCCCTTATCTTTCTTATTAACAGGATTACATTTCAGGGCAATATAGGTAAACCCACATTACTGGTGAGATGCTAATTGACAACATTTGACGCTCCTTTTTGAAGCACTGGCAAATATTTTGAATCAAGGCCAACAGACTACTCTCATTCTCAGTGGCAATATTCCATTATTTATTGTCAGGCATAGATAAGGCAGACTATTAAATTATATCAGTGTCCTGGACACCTGCAGCCTTACAGGCCACTGACAAGCTGAGGGTTTGAATTTCAGAGAAGAATGGAAAAGTCTGTGGTCAGTTTAATTTCAAATTGGCTTCAGTTAGGAAATACTATTTGCCTTCGTAACACAGGCATTCCAATCATTAAATTATAGGTCCCAGAGTATTTGCAAGATTTTCCAAATATTAGTCCAAACTAGACTGATTCAAGATTAGGCTTTGCACTATACACCATTCTAATCAGACAAAATTACTACAGCCAATAGAAATGCTGTGATCATTAAAAAAATTAGCAATGACATAAATCCACTGGGATAATGCTTCTGATACCCTATAGAATCCTTGTCACTTTATTAACTCCTAGGATAATTTCACATTCAGCAAAGGGGACAACACCGGCCCCAGTGGAAGCACTGCTGGAAGAGTGCTTGGGTAGGGTGATTAATTACCCTTCACTGAAGAACAGACTAATATCAATATCAGAAAATCACTGCAGTCATATGTCACATCAAGATGGTTAATAGCTGAATTTTGAAAGGATGTAATCAAACCAATTAATGAAAAGAAAATCAAAATGCAAAATATGGGAAGTACTAAATAAAAGTCTGCTTTGAAAAACAAGATGTGGTAAAACATTGCAGCTAATTAATTTTAGAGCTGATGCTACTTTCACTCACATAGCTTCTAATACGCTGTCAAATGACTGTACCTCTCATTGCTTAAAAATGAATAATCTGAGGTGCTGTGGACATCACTGTGAATATGCTAAGAGGTGGGTACTGCCTATGTTTAAAAGTGTGTTGGCCAAAGCACATTAGATACTATTTCCTTTCTCCTCCTCCTCTTCAAATTTAACACTCCATTTCTCCAGCTTTCTGCATTTGTCAAAGCGACAAGAAATAAGGAAAGCGAGAAACAACGGTGCATTCACTAACAACCCTTATAAATGAAGTTTACAGATTTAAGGGAGTTCTAGTAAAACATATTTTCTGAAAACTTCTTGGGATTAATGCTGTTTTTAAACTATCATCTATCAGAAATGCTATTGAAATAATATTCTTACTGCTTATACAGCACATACAGGTGTGTGAGAATTTAATGTCATGGGGAGAAAAAATATCAATACTTGTGGCCTTCAAAATATTTATATCCCTTGTGTACCTTTATAAATAAAGCTGAAATGGGGGAGCTAGTATGAGATTGCAGCAGTGTTTGTCAGGCACATTTTACTTTCTGTGTAGTGAGGTATGGAAAAAACTCCAAGGTATGCTGTGAGAAACACATCAAGAAGACATGACATTGGAACCTCTTTGCTAGAGCTGCAATTGCTGTAGATTGGCTGTGGCATATGAGTATGTTGAGAAGAGACAGCTATCACACCATTTACTTCTGTGTATACTGCTTGTAGTAACTATTTCCTGGCTTTTTCCTACATAAAATAATCTTATACCCTCCCAACATGAACACTGTTTTTAGAAGAAAAGTTCAATTTAGTTTATTAAAAAAAGAACTTGTCTTGGAGTGACACTGTTTTTCCTGCAAAGACTGTGCTTGGCTTACATGATGTGTATGGAACTGGGAAGGAATACATGTTCTTTTGCTTACCCTCCACCCTGTGTACCAGTGCACGGATGGTTATAATCTTCATGAGAAAATAAACAAGAAAGTATTTTAGTTACTACTCTTGGTATAAAAGGCTTCAGAATATCAACTAAACTAGGCAAATTCCTCTTGAAATGTGGACATATCAGGATGGTAAAGAAAAAAAAAGTCATATTCCTGATGCCATCCATAAATGGGCTACCTAAGCTGGGATAGAGAAGATGCCTTTCTTTTAGAATCAATATTGTGAAAGACAGCTAACAACAGAAGATATGGTCAGGCTGCCAACAAAAGCACTATGTTTATCATTCCTGCCGTACATTTTGTCAGGGTTTTTTGCCTGCAGTTTGATTTCTGCAATTACAAAACAAGTCTAAATGCCTGAATAGGAGCATACTTAATGCAATGCAGGCTCGTAGATGTCACTGTAAAAATAAAACACACCGACAGCTGGCTTTATTCATCCTGTCTCCACTTCAAAAAGAAGCAGAGCAATTTCAAGGGGCAATGAAAGAGGAGGAGGGGAAGGATCTCCCTATCCCTGACCCACCTATCTCCCTTGCTTTTTATTACCAAGGGAGCAAAAAAGCTCTTTCAGCAGTCTTTGCATCTGATATATGTTCTTAGAAAGGCTGAAGACCTGCAAGGATGAGATTGGTTTTCAAACGAAGATGAAAAAATAACCTCTGCATAGAGAGATTTTGAAGGAATCCCCACCAGCTTATACTTCAAGGACTGTAAAAATGCAGAAATATAATCCAAAGTGCATTTTAAATGCATAAATATTTAAGTAAATTATATTGCATATATTTGTACGAAGAACAGCATACGTTAAGGAGCTTTTCACATGCTTTTTATTAAATATATAAGGAAGTACCCAAGCCATTTACTAATATTATCTCACAAGGCTGAACTTAATCTTCATGCCTGCTAGAATTGGAAAAATACAAATGTATAGTAAGTTGACATTCTGAGGCAAGAAAGCTTTAGAAAGCTTTCTGAATGCCTATCTCTAGTAGGCCACATTTTGCTACTGCAAATGAAAACTTTAATGTTGCCAGCCAAGTCTCATTCCTTTTTCTGATAAGCTGTTCCTCAAATATGAATGTAGATTAATCCTCTTTTAATAAGCATTAGCTCAGAACAGATAATCAGCATATAAAATTCCATCAAACCTTCTGTCTAGTTTTGGATGATTCTGTCAAACAATTTATCCTTCTTTAACGGTTTCAGGAGCTGCACACAAAATGTGTAGCATTCCATAACTCTCTATTTTTAATTTGGTTTTGTTTACTCAGTTTCATGAAACCCTTAATCCCAAGGAGCACTAGTCACTACATAAGCTTGCCTACTCAAAGTGAAAATATGTGTTTACTTTCCTTGCATGACTGGTGGTCTAAACACTTGAAACACCTGAGTATTCAAGCGAGTGGGTTCTGGCACAATGAGACTGAGGGTGCAGGAAAGATAAGCTGATAAATGAAACTGCTCTTATTTCTACAGATGGATTCCATGCCTCTGTTGTATAAATCCTTATACCAAACTTTGAAAAGAGAATTGCAACTTCCAGTACAAAATAAACAAATTCTGTTCCATCACTGTACTACAGGAACAAAATAATTAATCTAATAATTACTCAGATACCACTTTTCAGACAACTGAAAACGGGTAACAACTATATTCAATGTCTCTGTGCCAGATTTGGGTTTGATGACAATATGTCACAGTCCTGAAAATAGTCCTGTAGAGCTGCAGATGACACTACTACTCACCAGCAGTAATCTAACAAACATTGCCAAAAATCATATGCTTTGTAGTACTGGTATTGCCATCAGTGCCTGATGAGTCACGAAGGGGAAAAGGGAAGTGGAGGAATAGTGTCTTACAGAATTGTGGCTCAGTAACTACTCAAAATAAGTAAGAAGTTACAATTTTCAATGCCACTTTATTTGTGACCATCTGAGCAATTGATCAGTGCTTTTAAAATGGTCACAAAGACAGAAAGCTTAATGACTTTAACTTCATTCTTCTCTGGCGTAAGTCTTTACCAATTGTGATATTTGCTGTTTGCTCTTCTCCTACACAGAGTGTTATAGTACTTTAGTAACACAGCAGAAATTATATCTCTTTGGAGCCTAATAACAGAACAGAAATAATAAAACAGTCCCAGTAAATCACCTATAATCTGAAAATGACCCAAAAGAACATTTTTTGCAAGTAATTATACAACTGCAAAATCCAGACTTTAAAACAACTATTTTTAGTGCTTTAAGTTCTACATATATGCAAATACAACTGAAGAAAAACAAAACAAAACAAAAAAAAAAATTTACATCAGAAATAACTGAAACAAACAACTTTTTGTTTTGTGTCTGAAATAGAAAGTATATGAATGTTATACTAATACATTTGATTCTCTTTATTACACAGTCAAATCTGCACATTCTGCAACTTTCGGAAGGAAGCAGATGTCTGAACAAAAACTGTGCACCTTCTAAAATTTGAGCACATTAGGATAAATTCATATTTAACAAAACTTTACTGACAGCTGCCTCTGATGAGATTCTGAAAGCTACATACCACTGCCTATAAATATTTAGATCTGAAACCGAACTGTTTATGAATCGTAACTTCACAGGGAACAACATACAGTTGTGAGTGCTGTCAAACCTCCATAAGCATAGATATATTGGTCTAAATGATCTTATCAATGGCAAATTCTTCAAATACTAGAGAACTAGCAATATTTCTTAGGGAACTCTGTATGTAAAGATTAAAAATATGGACTTTGTTCTTTCATAAGAACAACTGGTTTATTAGAATAATGATCTTTTTCTGGACTTGACTCCTGGATGACTCAGGTTCTCAGTACCTCCAGAAATGATTACAGGCAAGGAAACAGAACTATGTGCTGTTATAATGCTCTAAAGCAAATTTTGGCAGTGCCTCTGACATATCTTAGTTGCCCAGTACATGTGCATCAAGTACACTGAATCATGCACAGTCATTGTGGCTCCAGCACAACCCCATGCCATGCCAATTATGTTATGAAGACAGTGGAAAAAACTCACCACAGTTACAGACAGCTGACCTTGGCATGATCAAAGGAACCAAATGCAAAGATGCATTATTTCATTTTGGAAAAATCCCATGTTGTGTCTCGAAGAAAAGCAAGTAAAGCATTTAGGGTAGCATGTGCTGTGCCACAGCTTAGACTAACTTGAACAAACCTGGCTGGAAGCCAGAGGAGCAATTCCTGAGAGCCCAGAGCTTCTCCATGAGGACACTTCTCCCTCACAATGTCACAGGGCCCTGGAACAGACACCATCACCTTCACTTATCTGCCTTGATAGTCATCTGCTCTCTCCTACTAAGCTAAACACTCAGGCTGTGGCTGAAGATACAAGCAAGAGCGAGAAAGCAGCTAGCTGAGCATGAAGGCTGGTTCAGCAGTGCAGTAGGAAGACTAGCCTCTATCACATAGATGACAGGATAGCAGAGGGGACAGAAGAAGAAACAGCTTTGGTAAGTGCCACCGAGGGGCCAAGCTACATGCAAAAGACTTTACAGGCTTCTACTGGGAAATGCTGAGATTTATCAGCCTTTTATACCAGACCACTGAGATGTAATTATTTTTGAGTTCTGAATCTTAAGCTTACGTATGAGAGAAGCTAATTATTTGTATTAATTAGTACTATTAATTGTATGCTCTATTTTTCTTGACTATCCGTATGTTGACTGAGATGTTTGCAACCTGCTGTTTCAGCCACACTTCGTTTATTCTTCACCTATCTTTAATCACACTTATGATGATGGTCTACCGTATGCCACATTTATTATAGATATGAAAACTAGGATATCAGCTTTGAATTGGATAGGCAGGAAAAAAGCAAACGCTTCCATTTCAAAACCACTCTAAAAGCAAGGCGTGCATAGGTTAATCGCTAGATTGCTTGAAGATTTTAACACTTCACAATAAGGTTGACTTATGCACAACTAAGAGCTGAAAGGAAAGTTCCATTTCTCCAGTTTGATCTTAAAAATGTTTGAGATTATTTTTTTGAGCTTTAAAATAAAAATTCAGTTATTTACATTAATGCTTGTTTATGTTAAGTTAATTCAAGCATCCTGTCCTGCAAATTACTTTCAAAACTGCATTATTTTGAGGAGTTAGGTGAGTAAGAAGCACGCAGATTTAGAATGACTGATATTAATGGTGATAGATTTGATGGTACCCTGGAATCACTAGGAGAAGGAATGCAATGTTTTGATCACAGAGAGACAGCATAAGTATTCCTCCTTGTATTTGGTTTTAATTCTGCATCTCTCACATGTTTGTAAACACTTAAGATAGCTAATGTTTGCAATGATGTGTTGGTGAGGTAAGAGACAGACTAATGGACAGTACCTGCAGGGGTGAAGGTGAAGGACTGAACTGCAAAACAAGAAAGCAAACACATTGTGAGTTACACACCCTGATAATAAGCGCTAATTGCAGGGCAGAGATTCCTCAGGAATTTACTCAGCTGTGATTGAATATCATAAGCAGGGCATAACAGTCGAGCTTAAAGCACTAACCAGCCAGCAGCCAATGAGAAATGATGGTTAGAAAGGTGAGCAGTGTATTTTGACAGTCATATTTGAAGATTTTATGTGTGGACATGCTGTTCTCCAAATCGTGAACATTAGGATGAATTTTGAAGCATGATCTGTTATCAACTCCCCTTGCTGAACGCATACACTATTTCATAATTCTGAAGATGGGAATTCTGTGGCAAGATGCAATGTTCACACCACAATTAGATGCAGCAAACATTATGAGAAGGAATGAGTTGCAGGAGACACACTGTTTATGACTGTTATAATTATTTACAGTTATGCATTTTAAAGCATACAAGACTTTGCTCTCAATCTCTCTCCCCTCCCACCCCACAACATGCCAACTCACACACAGGGCTAATAATTCTGCTTTAAAAAAAAGAGTTGTCTTAGTTTGTGTCCAAAGTTTATCCATAGGACTGCTCCCTAAGAGCAGTAATAGTACAGCTATAGTACAGCTATCTTCTAATATGAAATATCTTGGGATCTAGACTGATATTTCATAGAAACAGATGGGTAGGTGTGTGTGATGTGTATTAGTTTCTCAGTTAACACCACCCCACCTCTCAGCCAGTAAAAGTCACTTCTGTTAAAGGAAATCAGAAAACACCTCAGCAAAAAGCATAACCTATGAATGATACGTGGTGATGCAAGATGAGGTTCCACAAAAACCGAGTCAGCCCAAGAGCCACTGAAAGGGTCTCTGCTGCCTCTGCTTCCACTGCTCATCTGATTTCTTCTTGGGCTGCCTTGTTTCACTAAGCCAATGGAAAACTAATCCAGCGGAAAGGACTGAAAAACAACATAGAAGAGTTTCCTCTTGGTTTAGTGAGCCCAGTCTGGACATTGATGAGTCTGATGATGGTTAAAGCTGAGGGCTGAGAGCAGGGAATGAAAGTTGGTGTTTTGGCAAGTTGTTAGAGATGCTCATCCACTTAAGGAACCTGAGTCCATAGGTTTGCATGTGATAACTTGAAAAGAGAAGAGTGCTACTGTAACTTTAGTGTGATACATGTCAACATTAAATACGGTGTGTCCTCAACTGCGCAAATCTTGCTCAAAAAGGAAATTTCTCTTTTTAAATGTCAATAAGCACTACAAGAGAACCTACCCTGATATTTGAAGAACAGCTTTGTGGTGTTAAATTAGGGTTCAGAGTTATCCATTTTATCCATTTTTTTTCCTAAAAAAATCTATGAGAATCCAGAAGCACAGAATAATACAGAAAACAAACAGGCTGGGAAAGAAGAAAATATTTTCAATTGGCAAATGTATTTATTTTTCTAAATGTGGTTTTCAAAAACTAATTTGTACCTGGAACAACACATTTGGTCCAAGAGGGATCACACTGTGAGGGCATTCCAAGGTGTTCTGCCTCCAAGACAACACTTTTTAAGGCTTATGTCATAGGTAAATTTTGACCACACTTCTCTAATTCATCACTCTCTTCTCCTCTAGGTATAGCTATGGAGTCACTAATTTAGTATCACCATTTTCTTTTCCCATGCACATGGCTTCAAAGACATGGAAATGCATGGGAATGAAGAAGATGACCAAATACTGTTTCTAACCTTCCTTACAAGGGTCTAGTCTAATTCACATTTGAGCACATAAATGGAGCCAGACTGCTAACAGAGTGCCTTCTGAGCAGGAAGCAAGAGGAATAGTTAATCCTCTCTGCACTTTTTTATGCTAGATGTGCTAGAGATGAAAAATAAAGACTGTCTTATGATAATGATGAAATGGCGTACCGAGCAATGCATTTAAAGCTTCTCATACACCAGCATTTTCACAGCATACGTTTAAAACAAGCATACAAAATTCACCCAGGCCACCTTTAAGTACATTCAGCATGTTTTTTAAAGTAGGTTTAACAGCACCTGTTTAATAGAACCTGATGAGATGGTAATAAATAGTTACCGTTCTTACCAGCATAATTGCTGAGCCCCTTCCTCTTCTTTCTGCGCCAGTACAACCAGATGCTGAAACCCATCAGAATTACCCAACAGGCACCACCGATGCCAGCTATAAAGGCAGGCTGTTTGACAACATCAGTGATTTGTTCAGTTATGCTGTTGTTATTTTCAGTGATGACAACTTCGTTACGACCTCCTGCACAAAAGAAATTCAACCGAATGCTGTTATTAGGGATTCTGCAATACAAACAGGAAGCAAGTACTGCAAATGAAAATAAAGGAACCCCAAAACCCAACAGTAATGCACCTCAAAAGAATTATCCATAGTAGGAGATTTTTAATGAGTATCAGTGTGCACCTGGAAAACTAGTGTTTCTAGAAAGTAAACCCATAATCCACAGTGATTTTGCACGCATACATTTGAAAACATAGCTCTATAGGACTCTCCCAAATAATCTAACAGATGACAGTCCAGAGCGGATTTTTTAACAATGTACATGCTTGTTGGTTTGTTTTTACATAATTATGGACAGAATACAACGATGAGAAAACGGATCATGGGGAGCAAATCAAGAAATAAATCAAGCAATTAATGACTAGCTATCTCAAAATGAGAAATCCAAATACAAAATATGCTGCGACATCAAAAGACAGTTCCTTCGCTCATTGTTGTCAGCATGCCATAAGTTCTTACTTAACTCATTTGGTTTTGCAGCATGCTGAAGTTTCCAAATTAAAAAGAAATAACAACATATATGTATTTTCAACTGGGGGAAAGGTGCATTTTGCAGCGATTATTTCATGTGGAAAACAATCCATACAAATGTTAAGTGCACCAGCATCGACACAGAGAAGAAAATCATGTACTTAACTGTAAGCTCTAAACAATCACAGCACCAGATGCTATATTTTTCACCTAGATTATGCATGAAAAATTCTAAACATCAACCCGTAAGAAATAATTATGATGTGGAATACCAATTAAAGCGACATGCATGAAAAATTACTATATAGGATTTTAAATTATGTATGTTACGTTATAAAACTGTACATTTCAGTAGACACTTCTACTGTTTTTTCTCCCCTTTTTTATCTAAAAGGGAACTTCCCTAAAAGGAAAAACTCCGTGTCTGGCTTGAAAACAAATGCTCCTAAAAAATGTGACTGGAAATTCAATACATTCTAAAGCATCTAGCTCTAGAGAGAGTGCTTTTCTACTGCAAACCTTCCCTTGTCAAAAAAGGGTTAGGTTTAAAATTAGGAAATGAGGAAAATATTTTTCTGCAAAACATATGACTAATGATTATATGTACATTTGATCTAAGCTGCCCACATCTGCAGTTTTGAAATGGGTGAAAGAATTAGCCCTCATTTCCAGCAAAAGCATGTAGATAGCTCAGTCCTTGAAATGTGCTGCAGTATTATCAGATGCCCATATGCATGTTGAAGAACTGCAAGAGTAGCCACTCTACTGAGACAAAAATACTACGGTTCTCAATTATGACAGTCTAGAGCACAAAAGTAAAGATGGTAGAGTATGGCAATGAAACACCAAAATGGTAATTCCCAAAATTAAAGTATTGTAGCATTACGCCTTGCCGTAAAAATGTTCATATTCCCCTTCTATAATTCAGGAATGGTTAAATTTACCACTTCCTTCTTTCAACAGAACAGCTCCTCTGTCAGCACACTGGCTTCAGCCTAAAGCAAATAAACAAGGTCTTTGGCTAAAGCAGATGTGAGAAGTCTGACACTTCCAGTCTATTTCCACAGACACCTCTTTGCAGGAGACCCAGAGTTTACAGCAGTCAAGCTGTGATTGAGAAACCATCCCAGTGGGCCTGTTGGGCTGAGTGTGCCTGCCTTGCCCTACCCTGCATCCCTGACACAGGGACTGGCTCTGCACTAGCCAAGACACAGCTTCAGGCTCTAAGTTGTGTTCAGGAGCTGGACTGAGTTACTCAGGAAGAAAGGTGATGCACTGCATTACATTGCTATCACTCTGTTAATGATCTCGGTGATTTTATTAAGCTTTCTGTGTTTCAGCACCATGTCAATATTTAGTGATGATGACCGTCTGCTTTTGCAAACAGACTGTTGAAACTGTGCTAGAGTTTGGCTGGCTTTCAGTACTTCTGTGCAGGAAACAAAACAGGCTTTCTGCAAACAAAATACCTCCCACAGAAGGATGCTGACAGAACAACACCTGCTGATGTATAAAAAGGCAGTACACCAGTACTGGTATCATGTCTATACTGGCCATGCTGACAAGCATTCCTAACATCAGGGCCTTGCAGCTTTACCTGTCCTTTCCCATACCTTCCTATTACAACTTGTCACTGCCAAAGGCCGGGTGGCTTCCAGTCCTGATGCAGTAAGTGAGAACAAAACTCAGCGAGGAACTGTGCAAGGTAAAGAAGGGAGGCAGTGGTAGCTCCATTATCAGATTTCCCCTTTTTTTTCTGCCCATGGAATTAATCCATAGATGCACTCTAGTGCTGAAAGAGGAAGTACTGAGAGTAACGAGGATGATCAGGGGAATGGAGCACCTCCCATACAAAGAAAGGCTGAGAAAGTTGGGGCTGTTCAGCTTGGAGAAGAGAAGGCTGCATGGAGACGTCACAGCAGCCTTCCAGTATCTGAAGGGGGCCTACAAGGATGCTGGAGAGGGACTCTTCATTAGGGACTGTAGTGACAGGACAAGGGGTAATGGGTTAAAACTTAAACAGGGGAAGTTTAGATTGGATCTAAGGAAGAAGTTCTTTACTGTTAGGGTGGTGAGGCACTGGAATGGGCTGCCCAGGGAGGTTGTGAATGCTCCATCCCTGGCAGTGTTCAAGGCCGGGCTGGACAGAGCCTTGGGTGACATGGTTTAGTGTGAGGTGTCCCTGCCCATAGCAGGGGGTTGGAACTAGATGATCTTAAGGTCCTTTCCAACCCTAACTATTCTATGATTAAATGATTCTATAATAGAAGGAGGCACTCTATGGCACACTCTTCCAGGCACACAATTGATTTTCTAGTAGAAACATGCTGCTGCAATTGCCATTAACTGTCAGTTAATTTCTGTGCCCTTTGGAGGAGAGGTAAAAGCAGCGGGACAGTGAGGAAACAGGTTATGTCAGCACTGCTTCAGAGGCAGTCGTACTGCCTTGGACAAGAGAAGACAGGGAAGTGTTTCAGGGGCACCAGCTTTGGGAGCAAATGCTCCAGCACTCAAGAAAAGAACTGCTTCCTGCTAAAGCCTTCAAAAAGACCGAAGATCGCATTTTCTTCTCTAATGTTTTAGAGAACGCAGGGTGTGAAAGCAAACTGCAGAGAACCTGGGGAGAGCTTTCAGTGGACTTTACGCTCTCCCTCTCTTCTAGAGGAAGGCGCAATCTGTCTCCAAGTTAACTTCTAAAGTTTTCCATCTGGCTGTTTGCTCTTGCCCTTCAGTGCCTAGCAATTACAACTGCAAAACTAATAATTCTTTTAAATGTCAAAATAACATATGGCCTGTGAATTTGATGACTGAAAAATAAATGGATACAGATGAATGTTACCCACTGACGTTTGATAAAATTCATGCAATTGTTGGTGTTTGGGGAAACAAATGGCATTAATTTTGTATTTCTTTAGATAATATTTAAGCACAAGTAATAAATATGTCATCCAGGGTACCACTGCACTATTTTATATACTGCAGGTGTTTTGGTAACTATACTGTCAGTTCAACTAATTACAACATAGACATGGGAAGTGTGCGACCTGTAACGCTCCATTGTTCCTGAAGACAAAAACATAATGAAATATAATGTCTTCCTCCCATTGGAGAGTAATGAAGAACAAAACTAATTTGTTGGACTAAAAATTAATTAGACACATCAGATTCAATTGCACCTATTACTGTGAAAGTTTGCAGCTGTTCCTCATGTTATTACGCCAGTGACGGAATGCAAAACTGAACAGGCCAACTGATGAAGAGAAATAATAGCTATACCATTCACCAACATTGTTGTTATCTCCATTTTTACTTCTGATTTTCCAAGTGAAATTTTTTAGTATACCAATAGTGATCACAAAAATGTTATTCTTGATTCTCTTTGAGCCTTCAACAAAACTTTTCAATGTCCTGCTTGAAGTATGGGCATAGGACTCCTGTAACAGTAATACAATTTCTAACTAAAGAAGTAATATACTTCCTACTGCTTCATATTGTCCTGGGTTTACATTCTGGATTGTCATGGGTCTGTCATCTAGAGTTGGTCTGGGAAGTCAGAAGCAGACTATCCACCATGGAAATGAGTTATTTTCAGAAAAAAAAAACAAAACTCTTCTTCTTAGAAAAACATATCCTATATTTAGGAACAGCATCTTTCTTTTTATACGCTGGGTTCCGTATTTCATGACAGTGAAAGTCATGCTGTTTAGCAACACTGCTTAACTCTTCTGCATCACTGACCTGCTCTCTCCGTAATTCAGCATTTCTGCAGTTGTTCATTCTGTATGCAAGCTGTTAAATAGTATAGCTAAGCATCAGACCATATAGGACTACATTAAAATACAATCAGTCAGTAATGTTGTCCTATTCATTATGACGCTTTGAGGTTTATTCACTAGCTTTCTTTTAATCCATGTTTTTTTTTTTTTTAAATTTACCTAAAAAATAAATTTCTTATTTTATATTCTTGATTCTTAGTCAAACACTGACTGGTATCCACTCAGATTTTCCAGAAATGGTAATACCTTAACACTGTTATCTTTATCAAGCAAATTTAGTGTCCTAGAAATGACTGCCAGCAATTGAGAAACAATAGAAAAATGGGACCTAAAGAAAAAAGAGATACAGACCATAAGAGTGACCGTAACCACACCCAGCTTTGGGTTCCCAAGAGGGAGCACAGAGATGTGAACAGCAACACAACCCAGACAGAGAAGACTTTCCTTTGTTTCATGAACAAGACTCTTAAACATGCAAAGATGCCACCAGACAAGCTTGATGAAGCAGAAATTCTGGAATCATTTAAGGAACAAATAAATATAACTGTAAGTTTGACAATGCAAAATTAAGTCTCTAAATAACAAATAACTTTTGCTTTCTTTTGTACTCTATTTGCATCCTACTATCCCTTTTCTCCTTTCTGCAGGAACGCAGATATCTTCGCATTTAACTCTTGATTATACTAGTCACTTTTTGTAAGGAAAAAGTCAGGATGAAGGGCTGTAGCCAGATGCAGGGCTGAGCATTCCTGGAATCATCCAGTGAAGCACTTTAGTGCAAGTTTAACTCACAACATGTCACATGACACAAGGCTACTCACATGCTTAGAATGCAACACACTTCAGTGTTTTGCTGGAACAGCCCCGTGTGTTTAGTGCCTCACTCAATGAACTCTCTAAGGAAAAAAGTCCTTCTCAAGAGAATGCAATGACAGACTAGTTGTACAACATCAGTTCTTTACACAGAGGACCAAAATTCAGGCCTATTAGAGGATAGGTTTCTTTCATTTTCAAAAATCAATTCCTTGCTTTCAGTTCTACAAAACTTTCCCCTCCTCTTTTCTTTGGCCTTTCTGCAGCTGCCGTTTTCAAAAACCAGTGCTATCTTCACATCCACTCTTCACTCCTTCTCCAGTGACAATATATTCAAAGCTCACATACCCCAAATACTGTTTAGATGCACAGGGAACATGCATATCATTAAACATTTAAGCAATGCTTAGGGAATGGCCTTTTCTAAAGGTCTACACATAACATGTTCATGTTTTGGACATTCTCTTGAAAAGATTTTCTAGAAAGAAAATATTTAATAAAAACAAAAGAAGCAAACAAAACCCCATTTAAGTAATAACAAAATTAGGTCATACAGATGCAACAACATAGTCATATGAGGTGTTTCCCTGCACAGCTCTATTTGGTCTTGTTAAACATGTTATATTTTATTATATTCTTATCCTTCCTATTTGTTCCTGCCTTTATATTTTATACTTGAGAAGAACTTCAGAAGAAACAGAATATGGGTTTCCCTCGGGTCAGGAAATTAATTCAGCATGGAAACTGCTACTGAGAAAGTCATTTCAAAGGCACGGATGATAACACTACCTTTGCTCTCTCTATTTGGAGTAGAAGTTACTTATTCTTTGATAGAGCAAGCTTGTCTGCTTGGGCTTGGGATACCTGAGAAACACTGACTTCAAATGTTCAGAAAACCAGCTGTAAATAGTGCCTTAGGCACCAATGGTATGAGTAAGGCAATATTACAGTCATCTGAGCAGGAGAAAAAGGGAGCTGGATCTGTCAGTTCCATAAACCCATCAAGCTGATAAAGTGGTAGATTTGCAAAAAAAAATATTAAATCCGTTTCACTAGATTATCTCCATTTTCTCCTATGTTTCAGGAACACATTTCCCTCCATTGACTGTGAGAACTCTGCACAAAGAGAAGACACAACATCAGCAGGCAGTGAGACGTTAAAAGCTAACTAACTAGCTCTATTCAAAACTCGTCTGTTGCTCCATGGATTTTTATGCTTCCAGAAGTGATTTATGAAAGCATTTCTGAAAGTTGAAACGGACAAAACAAAACAACAAAACAGACATTCACTTACCAATTATTATGGGTTGTGGTTCACTTTTTACTCCCACGCCTGCACTGGTGCTTGCAGCAACTTCCACGCGGTACTGAATACCTGGATATAGGCCACCTATTATTACAGACCGAATGGCTGCATCTACTGTTTTGTTGATATGAAATCGAGTCTCATTACCTAGGCACCAGATCTGGGACAAAAGTTGATGTGTTAAAAAATACGAAATTCGTCATACATATAAACAAATGCACATAGATATGACATACCAAGGTATTGCATGACAATCACTTATACTAGACTTCTTAATAATGTGACTACCCAGGAGTAGCTGGAATTGCGATGATGCAAGCTATACCATCTTAGCATAGGACTGAGCCAGCTGCAAGGACTGCTAGCAAATACCTCTCTGGACTCTTGCTCTCCATGGTTCTGTGCTTACGCTTCTTAGAACAGACCAGAATCATCCAAGTGAAAAAGAGGCATTATGCAATAATTGGACTCTTGTTCAGTAATATGATTACCACCAAACCTTTCCTAGGAAAAAGGCCCACTCTTTTTTCAACATTCGTAATTTCCCACTGAATAGCAAAAGGACACCAAATAATATAAGTACAGGCTGAAACACTTCCTAAAGTACTAAAGAAGAAACTATTTTCAGAATAGTTTTCTACTTCCTTTCACAGCACAACAAGGGATATGTGAAGTTTCTGAAATGGACTAAGTACAAACTCACTTTTTACTGCTGGTTTTGTGATTACTTACACTGTTCAAGAATCTAGGTATCAGTTCCTGACTCTCTAATTAAACAGAAAAAACACTGTAATCTCAACTGGCATTTTGTGATGAGAAAGATCTATGACTTCAGTGTTATGTCTCTCTTGCACTTTTTTTCCATAGGCACTTCCCAAGAAGTTTCAAAACTAAGACCTTTTAAAGATTCTTCTTCAATTAGTGTTATCTGCATATACTGTTTTTGTATTATTAAAGAAAGTATTTACTACCACTCAAGAAAATCAATGCATAGATACCACATGTACACTACATACCCATAATAGCAAAAGAAAGCACTTTGGGGGGAACTACTATCAGCAACCAGGTGGTGTGTTTAAGCAACAGCAATGCTCTCTTTACACTTGTTTTTGACCCGCCTCAGTGTTTTCTCACCTTATCTTTTTTCTGTGAAACACTGAGGAAGATTTGGAGGGCAAAAGAAATCCTTGTTTTTCTAAGCTCCAGCAGACCTTATTTTCAGGCCAGAATGCTTTAGGGTGAGAAACTGTTGTGCTTATTCTCTCACTCCTTGTCTGCCCTGGTTTTAGGTTACAGTAGTTATGAGATGCCCCTAATTAAGAGCATTTAATTCATAAATGAATTTCCAGGCGCTATGATGCTTGCAGTAGAATCAACAGATCTACATTCAATTCATTAGAAAATGCACTGTAAAACCTCAGCAGTCATCTCATACTCAAGGAACTATTAGACTATTTGCACTACATTCCCTGTAGCCAGCTCACTAATCGGGCAGCCACCCAATCGAACACAGAAGGGATGTAAGAGGCAGTGACTCCAGCTGTTTTTATAAACAGCCTAGAGGTCTGAGCACTCACCTGGAACACAGCTTTTATTAACCATCAGTCACTTTGGTTCGTATCTACATATGTGTGGTTTAGAAGTGGGCTTTAGTTATTTGCCTGTAAGTCCTTGATGGTTAATACTGTCTTATACTGGAGTCAGTATCAAGATTAATTAAAGCAAAGGCTAATTATTAATTGATATGAAAATGAGATCAATAAAAAAATGGGATTAATAAATCTTGATATTGACTAAAAGCAAAACAAAAGAAGTGCTATGCTAAGCATTAATATAGTTATGGGCGACATGGTCTAGTATGAGGCACCCCTGCCCATGCCAGAGGGGTTGGAACTAGATGATCTTTAAGGTCCTTTCCAACCCAAACCAGTCTATGTCTCTATGATTGTGAGCATTTACTGCATCCCTCTGACCAAGCGATACACTGGAAAAGGCTGAACCATTAGTTGATTTAAAAGTCAAGCACCTTCTCTCTTCTACATGCTGTGCTCCCCCAAGATACAGCAGTGGAAAAAAATTACATCTTTTTGCGTGAAATAAGCTGCATCCACCACTTCCACCCTTTATGGGGCTGTCAAGAAAGCTGCCCTGCTCTATCTCAACTAAAGATTTCATGCTAGATGTACAAGTTGTCTTCCATGTCACAAGCTGGTGACAATGTTGAACCTTTTCTGATTCTCCGCAGTCATCCCCCCTGCCAATAATACACTGCACTGTTGCCATGTTGTGAAAATATACCTGTACAAAAGTGAGCCTAGTGGGGAATTACAGACTACAGCAAAATTTAAGATGGTATATAGGGAGTGGATACTTTGAGCCACCACAGCCACAAAGAAGGAAAAAATACAACCAACGCAGGAAACTGTCATATAACAAACTCTGGATATAGCAGTGGTGCTCGACCTCAAAGCAAATAACCTAGCACTTTTAAGTTGTGAATCTTGACAGAGAGAGTATTTGGAGGAAGTTGTGTATTCTCCCAGAGCCACAGTCCTTGACTTTGACCTTGAAGTGTTAGGATTAGCAATTTTGCAGAGGAAAGAACAGGTATCTTTTCTGCCAGCTTTTCTGTCAGACTGAAGGCACTTTGAGACAGGGGCTTCACCGCCTGCCTTGGGAGTGCAGAGGCCCTTAACAAAAATCCTCCTTCTTCCACAGCAGGGAAAAGCAAGAAAGAGAAGTACTGTAAACTAGCTGGCAATTACAGCTCTCTTCCAGATCTAGTTCATTTTTGCTTTTGATATAACAAGCAGTCTCCATACAATTATATGGGCAGCTGTAAATACTGTCAGATCTAAATCCATAAACAGCACTGTTGTTTTGTAAATCAAGCAGGCTGTCTCCTCCACACATAACTCTCCCATTAGACATTATTTCTACCTTATACTCCTGGATGACTCCATTTTGGTGATCTGGAGGCGGAGGATCCCAGGAGATGCTGATGCTTGTGCTGTTGTGGTTTCCAACTGTCAGGACAGTAACAGACTGAGGAGGGGCACTCGGAGCTACACCAAGGAGAGGGAACAAACAGAAGCAAGACATTAATACATTTGCTAGAGCACAAATTTTGCTGAAGCAGTGTAAGAGCAACTAGACTAGACAGTATACGAAGTTCACGCTCCCTGCAGGCCAAGGTGTGCACATTTTGTTAGGCATTGACAATCCTGAAAAGTGCCTTTCTGAAGAGAAGCATAGCTGGATGACAATGCGGGTTAAAGTGTTCAGGGCTTTACATTAAATACCAGTGAACAGAGGAGGTGCTGAGTTAGGTCAGATATATACTTATGTCCTCTTTTCCCTAGGCAAATTGCTTTCTCTTCAGAGTCCTGTTCAGTTCAACCATTCACAGCTGTTTGGCTGGTCACTGTGTATCAAGGCCACATCTACCAGACAATTGCTTGCCAGCCCTGCTACACTGGCTAGAAGTGTGGAAAAACAAAATTATAGCTGTTAGTGATCAGAGCTCTGCTGGCAAACCCCTCTTACAGCTACACCAGCAGCAGGGTGCTTCTGTTGGCTCATCACATGTTGTCTGGGAAGTGGTACAGCAGCTCTGCTACAGAACAGTCCCCTCTGTGAGCATCTGCTGCATCTCCACGTGGGGGCTCTCCCACCATAGCTAGAGCTGCCATGGCAGAGGGCTGTGGCATATGGCCCTCAGTCACCTAAAACTTCTTGCAGCCCCGTTTCTCCTCTCCCTTTCTTCTAGGCAAGTGTTAAAACCACCACAGTGGCAAGCCAAGTCACCAAAGTCGAATGTATTGTATTAATGATGTATAGTCCCTGAGGAAAAAAAAATATCCATAAAAGCTGCACTGAACCAGTCCTAGGATCCATTTAGTCCATTTACCCTAGTCCATCTATCCAGTCTTCAATAAAACTAATAGAAAGAGGCTAGGAAAGTGTGAATTAATAAATCAAGCATACAGTGATAACTCTCCAGGACAATTTTCCAATTCACAGAAGCCTGTTGCTTAGATACTTTCTGTTCCAGGGTGATGTCTTTGTGTTTAATAACTCCTTATGGAACTTTTCTTCCATGTATTTGTCATCACCTTTAATATGACCTTAAAACATTTAATATGAAATATGGAAGCTGATTTTGGAGACTTATAGTACACCTTGTACCAAAACCTAAAATATTTATTGTTCCTCCTGCCCCCAATTTAAAAACTGGATAGCCCTCTGGTTTTGGGCATCTCAGGTCATGTGTCACAGCTCCCTGACTCCAGTCCTCAGGTCTAGACTGTTCCTATTCAGAGAGGACTCCTTCACTGCTAAGTTCCATGGCAACAGGACTCTAGTCTTATCTTTAACAGATATTCCTAACTGCATGAACATCCTTGGACCATGCTTCTCAGAGAAGCAGAGAGCCACAGGCAACTATGTTAAAGCCTGGCAGGTTAATACAATTAAACACAGCCACAGATACCAGGACTATTCCGGTCTCCTGAGTCAATTCAGACTTTCTTATTGTTCCCTGTGGCCTCTTTGAGACTGGCTGTGTTCCCATTTCAGATGCTCCTCATCATTTGACCTGGCAGAGGCCCATGGAACTGAGCTAAAATCCTTACCCTGATAACCCTGAAGAGTTGGAGTAGCCTGTGGCAGGAATTACACAGCTTAAAACAATGATATCAGGGGTGGGGACAAGAGACCATACAACATTACATCAGAAAAAATACTTTAGATGAAAAATAGCACATGCATTACTGTCCTGTGAGACTGAATGTTTTGTCAGCTACATTTTCAGATGCTGGTTCAGCTGCAAAGGAAATAGTGCTTGGTAGAGTCCTTGTGACCTTGCATGACAGAGAAACACTGTACTGAAGGGGAGAAATGGGGCTGTATTGTGGACAATTTGACTCTTATTCAGCTCAAGTGAAGCACAGAAGGGTGGCCTTGGCCTATTCCTTGCCATTGCACAAAGCATAAAATTGGTGAAGTTAATAGTTACATTGTGTATTTTGTGGTGTCCTGGGTTTAAACCACGACACATGGCAACTGAAGTAATTTGCCACACAGCAAAAAAAATAGCATTTTAAAAGTCTCCAAGTTATTTAATAGCAACCAAACCATGAATAAATGATGGGTGCAATATTAATTAGAACATCTTATGTGAAAATAATAATCATTAAAATGACAACGCTTAGCACTATGTAACTCATTTTTGGTTCTAAGTGTTATGGAACAACTTGCTGAAATGTATTTACTTTCATCCTCAAACACATTCAGAAATATAATTTCTTATATATGAATATGTGAAAAGAAAGAGAAGGGGGAGAGCAAATTCTAAAGAAATGTAAAATGAATACTGTAACATTTAAAGAAAAGCATACTATATTAATTTGTCTTTGCATTTAAACTGCATGAATATTCTAGTTAATATTCTACCAGTGTGTGTCAGTTTGGGGCTTTTTTAGATGATAGATGTGAAGTTTGAAGCAAAATTGAAATTGCAGCTGATGAACGCAGCTGAAAGTATCATTTTAAGAGCTGCACTAAGGCAAGAAGGAATTCGCAGTCACAGCTGATAAAAACTAAGGAGGCTTCCATTACCGACTGCCATATTTTTGTGGTGACAAACAATCTACAGAACAAATACTACTCCACAAAAGTGATTTAAAACAGTGGATGTAATTGCAGAAACAGAAAAAAAAAGAAAGAAATGAACTATCCTTAGAGCAAGTGTGAAAGAAATGGTGAAAATGATAAAATAAAATATTTTACTTAGCTCATTTTCTATGTGTATACACATACGTGTACACAACAGTTCTGTTTCCTCTCTCTGATAATATCACTCTGTAAGCTGGCACCATGATATAAATTAAGGCCCTCGTCTGACACTGCTGCAGTTATTAAATAGATCACATTGAAAAATAACATTTTTTAAACCGTTTTCTCATTTCCCTTGCTGCTGGCTTGTGGAGAACACCTTGCCTGCTTCTTGACAGGTCAATTATTCCAGTGCTCAGCTTCTTCTTACAGATATGAAAGAACCCAAATCGCTGCTCATCTTTTCCAGAGGCAGCCAAACAGAATTCCATTTGTTACCTTCACAAGGCCAAAGAGGCAGGAGATGGATGGATACTGAACTGTGACAAATGTCTGATCTAGAGGAAAAGTCTAACTGCAGCACAACTGATTTTTGGAGGTAGACCTCAGAAGTAACATAGCACGTAAAATTTAATCCAGCAGAAATCTGCCACTACTTTTTTGGTTGTACTTTGGCTTTACCAGGGCTATTTGTTTTGATGTCACAACAAAAAATTCCAATGCATGTATCAATTCCCCAAATTATTTTCTAAAAATAGCACAGTTGACATTTTTTAAATGTCAAGCCTAAAAAAGCTCATTTTCAAAATGGAATCACAGGCACCATAGCAAGTGGGATCACTTTAGAGACTGCCATCTTCCTTCACTGGACAAGAAGCAAACCGCTGCCATTAAACATTCAGATGATGCTATTTTTTTAATATAGGAACAACAATATAATTGCAAATATACTGTGAGGAATTAAAGAAAACACATGGAGAACTGCACCTACTGAACGTCTCCATTTTCTCATGGAAGCACTTAACTTTATCACCTAAACAAGAGAAAGATTTATTTGCAGGGGCTGACATTTGTCTGGTGGTAATACTACATGTTATAGGCTGATGTTTTTTTGAGAGAGATAGTTGTAAACAGACTCCTTGAAGGTCATATTAATCTACAAAGCGTATCCTAGGCTGAGAGTTATACATACCTGTAGGCAAGAAAAGTTCTTTAAATTTTCACTATGTGGAAAGTTATTCCACATGAACAAAGTGGCCTTTAAAGTAGAAAATTACTTGACAGGCTCTGATGGGAGATGAGGTTTATCAAAGAAAATGTCATTCCTCAAGTATTTTATAGAAATAGAAGGTACAAAATCTTCTCTTTTTCAGTAGTTCTTAATTTACCTTTAGCAAGAGACAGTTAGATGAACTAAATAAATAAAAAAACCCCAATCAATTAAAATTGGACAAGAAGAATATCTGTCAGTGAGGGGACTAAATCCTACATCTTAACTCTAGAAAAGCAATTGCACCTATAGAAAGCTTCTTTCCATTTTCTTGGGATTTTTTAAAGCTTTGCTCAGAACCCAGCAAGATATTTTTTACCAACTGTTTAGGCTTGATAGTCTGAACAAACTAATAGAAAACATAAAGTCCAAAATCCTAAATAAGACTTGAACAACGCCTTCCTACACGGTGTTCTACATGTTGCAGGACACTGAATTTTCTCATTGACAAAGTATGAATGGCAACCAAGTTATCTTCATGATTACTTATTTGTTGAGTAATAATCATAACAAATCAAACAGAAAAGTGAGTAATAAGCAAATCCATTTTAGAATTAAGAAGTACTTGGCAATCAGCACTAAACTGAACTTCAGGAGACCACTGTAAATGATTAATATGCATCTTCAATAGGAAGGAAAGTGTGCATTCAAACCCATTGAAAACTGCAGGAGCATTCTTATACTTCACCAGTATTTCTGTCCCTTGTTTTGAAAGAAATCAATGAGATAGAGAGAAAAAGAACTCTCATTGTTATGGTCATTCTTCTACTTTTACAGGTGAAATTTTCCAGGGAAAGGATGCATTAGATAGGCCTACAGATAGGTTTCTTGTACATTTCTAAGAGAAAAAAAAAACAAAACTTGTATCTTACCTCACTCCCTTTACCTTTCATTAAAAAATCAGGCCTGGAGTGTGTATGTTTTAGAAAACTATACACCATGGTACATGCTATGGATGTAAATGCTTGTGCATTTCAGTAGTATAAACTGTTTACTATGTCTGCATACTGAATGTTTTACAGAGGCTTGAAAGGTACTTAAGTAAATCCTCTGGAGGACTAAATAGGGCAGTTTCATGAGCTCTGTTGACAAACAACAGAGTGGCCTGACCTTGAGACTGGAGCTCCTTCAGACTAGTCAAATATCTGTCCTTCACCAGTCCCCATTTCCCAAACAAACCACTCCTCTACATTGTTACCCATTCAGAAAGATGTTCTTAATATCAAACACTCATCTGTAAAAGGTTTCTTTTATTAGTTTTGTCCTCAAAGTAAAGGCCAAAGCCTTTTACTAGCTATAAAAGAATGGTTGCAGTGCACTTCTTGTAAGACCCAATGCCACCAGTAGATCAGAAGGACGTAAGAGCCAGAACAATACAGGAGTGGTCCAGTGCTTTCTCATGGAATACTAATAGTACAAACCCAAATATTATATTGAATATATTGAATTCTGATAATTATATTGGATATTCTAATTATATTTAATAATATATAGTTGAATATTATAATAATGATATTGAATTCTAACACCAAACCTGTATCTAACAAACAGAAAATGTGGGGAAGAAATAGAGCTGGACATACTCATAACACACAATAACCAAAACCGTTCAGTGTTAGGTATGGAAGAAAATTGCTTTTCTGACCATTTTACTAACCTTCCTCTGTGGTGCGAGCAGACTTTGATTCACTGTCCATTCCTTGGAATTCATTGAAATAAGGGCGAACCTTGATTTCATAAGTGACCCCCTTTTTCAAGCTGACGAGGACAGCACTGCGCTCAGTTGGGACTTTGACCTCCAAGTTCTGCCATACAGCTGGAGAAGGTAGGCCAGATGTTTGACGATACATCACTCGGTAGCCCTGAATAAACTGGGATTGGCGGTCAACCTAGAAATGGCATTAAATAACGCATTAATAAATGTATTAAAGTAACGAAACTGTATAAAAAGAAATACTTCTGTCCTCATGAAAAAGAGAAAATTAACAGTTGTTTAAGCACTGAATTAAAAAATCAAACTGCCCTCCTGTAAGTCACTGTTGATTAATTGTGTCTAAAGAGCATTTTTCTCACATTACTTGTTATAGAATATTTCTATTTTACTTTCTCTGGCTCTATATATCATGACAAATACCACCTTAAATCACAAAACAAGGCCCCACCTCTGCAACAAATAATGAAAAGAGAACTTTGGCATAATGATTACTGCATGTACACTTATTAAGCACATCTTGGCTACTGATGCACTGAAATAGGAGAAGAAAAGAAAAACAAATTATTTTCAGAAAGGGACAAGTCTTTGAAGATACCCTACATGCTTTCAGTTAGTCATTACTTGGCTCGCAGCTCATCTTTTCATGAGATGCACAGGGAAGTAAAATAAACATAAGACAGATGCAGAGAAAACAGCTTCTAAGGGCATGTGCTGTTTCTTGCATTCACAATCTAAGCCATCTCTTTACGTCCTGGGGCTGTGATGCTCTCAGGCCATCAGATGGAGATGGAATGCTAGTTTTGGTTTATATTTTTATACGTTGCTAGGCAAGAAAAACTCAAGATTGGACCATACACAGAAGTCTAACAATTCTAAGCTTTCAGAACTATAAATAGGATTTGTGTGAAGGAAAAACTGAAAATGTGTTTTATCTCTTAGGGAAAAAAAAGCATGAAACAATGATTTGAGGTATTATGACGTTTGCATGAATTTTCTCAAAAAACAATCTAACCAATTTGATGGATAAAACCAAACCAAACCCAGCTGCTTCTGTAGACAACAAATAAAGAGCCAAAGAAAGTTCAGCACAAATAGCCAGACTATACAAATAGCTGTTTGGTAAATCTAGGAGTTCTAGCTAAGATCAACAAGTAGGATTTCTTTTCCACTCTTGACAATTTGCTAGCTCAGAAGTATTTCAGAATTAGAGGCACATTTGTCTCACTTCTCTTAAGAATGAATGAAATTAAGGCTGAAAACACAAACCAGGTCTATTATGCTTCTCTTATAATCCTATACAGTTTACTGGGGCATTCAGAGGGGACACAGATTCTTAGGCATTAGAAAGGAGGGCAAGCAAGAAGAACGCTTTATTTATGAGAGCAAAGCAGAAATGTCTTTCATCAAAACTGTCACTGTTAAAAACCTTGCAACATATGTTACAACAACATTAAGCCTGCATTTTATAAACTTCTCTGCATTCACTTTAAGTGAATTTATGCACTGAAAGAGGGATATAACTCACAATAATAGCTTGTTAATACCGAAAGAATCAAGCTGTGTTTTTAAGAAGAACATTAACCAGCTGTTTCCAGATGAAGGGAGTCTGTAAATCAGAGTAAATTGTTTTTATCCATGTTTGACTTTGATTAACTAAATGTTTTATGGACACAAAGATTTTGTGAATATCGTGTTTACTACAAAATTCAGCAAGAATAATACTTTCATTCACTTTGTAATACCAATTCTCAACCTAAATTACAATAGAAGGCTATGATGTTTAATAATCAAACACTGGGTTTGATTCCTACCCAAGTTAGAAGCTACACTGAAAGACAATGTAACTTTGTTAGAACTTTCCATGTTGTCTTTGCTATGCTTTTAATCTCTACTGACTGCTGCCTAGCGGACAACATCTGAAAATTCAGAGTTGACTAGGCTGAACAGTGACAATATGCTGCTGCGAAACAGTATGGAAACTTTTGTACAGCATGGTAGAAACACAAACACACTCACTAACTCACTGAGAAGAAATGGATCCCTACAGCATACCTATAGCATATTAATTTTGAGTCCATCTATCCTCTTACATACAGGCAATATACAAAGTATTCATAATACTGAAAGTATTCATAAAGTGTACCAAAGTATACTTTTTCTGCTATGCTTTTAAGTTCCTAACCTAAAAGACTAACCAACACAAGGACTATGAAAACAAAACACAGTGCTACAACAAGGATGTCAAGTACATGGAAGCTATAAAAACACATTAAGTTTCACAGAGTTTTCAATCAAATGTTTGATTACAACAGGGCTGAGCGATCTGACTGAATTTCAGTTTATTGACAGTGATTCCATTGGCCAGGGTCTGGGAAGGCACTTATGAAAGAAAATACTATGCATTTTTGTAATGTTTTCTGTAAGCATTCAGTTGTATTCAGTGTCAAGGAGAGGATACAAAGCTATTTCTCATGCTGACGTAAAGCTAGTCTGAATGAATAGGGCCATTCACTTGGTCAAAATGTTGGGAAACTATGCAAAGGTCACTTCACATATGGAGAAAAGTGGATTTTTTGTTTTGTTTGGAGTTTTCTGATTACTAAAAAACTACTCCTGGATAATAACATGGATTAATTGGAGGTGTTTTTGAGGTATAGGACAAGTATGTTTCCCATATACATACACGCGCGTATATATGTGTACCTCTATATGTATGTATATGCATATACATACATATGTGTATATGTCTGTATATGCATGTACACACAGTCTTACATATAATACAGAGCCTGTGACTTCACCCTTCCCTCCATTTGTTATGTGGTAATTATGTGTCACACCACCAGCAGGCTACTAAAAATATGCTTAGCATTAAAGAACTGCATTCAGCTGTGCTAAGCATCAAACAACTCAATAGGTTTGGCGCAAGTTCACACATAGGCAGAGTTGCAGAAACATGTACCATGATTTAATGAAAGAATGCAATAATTTCTAGCTATTCTTCTTTCTCTCTCTTTTCCGTTTTTTATTGCTGGCTGCCACTTCCTTATACAGAGTACTTAGCATTATTACAGAAATTGCAGGAACTCTCTTGCGCTGAACACCGGGAGCAGAGAATATTTCTAGTCTTCCTGTGACACTCTTAACTACTCTTGAATCTGTACAAGCAGCAGTGATATCCACTCAGAAGAGCTGCACCAGTTGCTGATCTAAAGATACACTTTCTCCCTCAAAAGACAGATGGGGGAAAATGCAGATGCTCTTTTAAAAGGTAGAAGACAGCAATTACTGGATAGGCTTTTCTCAGCACTGATCTAATACTTTAAGGCAACCTACAGGCATAATTGGTCCTGCATGCTCCTTCTTACCTTCTTTTACCATGAACACATAGTGTGTGAGGTATCTCAAAACTGACAACAGCTCTCCATTTCTGCAGAACGGGAAATTCATTTTCCCTGCATGTTCAAATCTGCACATACCACAGCCGAACATGAAACAGGTTCAGTGGCTACTAGTTCATTCATTTAGACTATTAGGTTGTTAAAAAGGTGGCAAGAAACTCACAATACAGCTGATGCTGCAAATAAAAGCTCCTTTCAGACAACGCTGCTAATCTGCCCCCTAAAGAGATTTTGCAATATGCTGTGTAGTACGTAAATTTCTACCCCAAAATATCCTAACAAATACTCCCCTCCCACATCAATACCCACAGCAATTCTCCATCTGCAGAGAATACCTTGCACACTGTGCTGAATTCACCAGAGCACACTCAAAGTAATCCCTGGAAATTCAAACAGCACTAGCATTTATCTATCCTATAGGAATAAGACAAAAGGGGATGATACACTACAAGACTGTCTAAAGGACTTGACTCCTGAAGCTTCCAGTGAATTACATTCATTTAAAATCAATGTCAAATTAAAAGACAGAGGTAAATAAATTATCCTTCTGACTGGTAGCAGCCCAGAAGGCAGTCAGGGTTTCAGAGCAACAATTCTTTTGCTATAATGAAGAACTGATTTTCACTCCTGCTTGTGCCACAGGGCTCCTTTCTAACGCTAGGAAACTTTACATCTGACCACTAATGAAACTCTCAGTTTAATGCCCAGTGAGGCTAGAAGTGCTTAAATGTAGTTGAGGTCAGCTAAAAAAAGTGCTTGGAGTACAAAATATGCTGTTGCAATGCAAAATGTTTCGAGAAAAATGAAAATAAATCAGGCCCAAGTTTTAAAATTAGCCATTTGATAACACTGGGCATGTCTGATTCCGTAAGTCTCATCAGCAATAAATATCTCTGCACCTCGCCTCTCTGTGTGTAAAGTTAGGATAATGACACATTTTTATCATCCTGATGTTAAATTCAGTATTATTTGTGAAGCACACAAATGTTACGGTTGAGAGCATAACAGATAAGCAAGCATGTGAGACAAACTAATAATTTTTTATTCACTGCAAGGCTTCAATGCTATGAATTTAATAAGACCTGGCACCACACAGTGAATAAAGAAGATAAAAAGAAATGTTGAATAGCGCCATGAAGAAGAGATCCTGTATGTGACCTCATAATTACAGCCACACTTTAAAAACCTATGCACAAGAGGAATAAATTTAAGAGACATGCCACGTTTTTATTAACACTGACTTTGTAAACCAGACATTTGTGTGTATTTTAACACTGCAACACACTTGCAGAGAACTGGTTCTGAAATTTTAAACTTATATTTGAAAATAAAAGAGAAAGTAAAACCAAAATCCTTTCAGAAAGAAAAGAGAAATTGGTGTTAATTCACTGGGAGTCAGGACGCCAGAAACTGAACAACCAGGGATGTTCCTTGGCATTCACTCTTTGAATCGCAGAAAGTCAGCACAAGGAGTCTTACGACTCTCATGGCGCTTCTGTCCTTTTGTATGATAGCTGTACTATCTAGCCATTTTATAGCAATAGAGGGGACTTTATTCTCTGGATAGAGTGGCTTTTTTCCTAGAGACTATAGTTAATTAATTGGTTTTGTTCTGGTTGCTGGAAAGTTTCTAATTAGCTGTTCCAGAGATCTTTTGTTGTGTCTTTCGTCCCTTGGGCAATTTGAAAGGTCTCTGCAGAGGCCTATACACTTGTCAGGTTGTACAAGGTCGCTGCTTTGAGAGATCTTCCAAATAAGCTGATATCCCTAACAATTTACCTTTACCTGATCATGTTTTCTTCACTCATTACTTGTTCAGCAGGGACACCAAGAGACTCTTTTAGAAGAGATACACACACACACATAAATACAGATTTCATTATAATATAATGATATTGGTTACATTGCAGAAAACTGAATTCTGTTTATACTGGGGCTTCCTTTTGTAGTATATGCTAAAGCAAAGGCAAGCCTATGAAACTGCTTTTCTGATAGCTGTCACATCCAAGAAAGGACTCATAGGAGCACCGTACAGATGTAAGCCAGGTTTGCAATTCCTGGTTTCTTAACTACTGACCCACCTGTTTGGGCAAATATCTGCTTGGGCAAAGGGTTTGCTACAAAGGTTAGTCAGTGTGTTCTAGAACGATGTAGCTGAAGCATGCAGCATTTTTAGAAAGCCAAGCTGTGTGTTGACATCAAATGCAATGTGCAATGACACATTTTCTAAATAATCTTCTAACAAAGACAAATTTGTTGGTTTCTTTATTTATTTTGATCAGCCTCTCAACCACCAAAATCTGTCAGAGCAAGTATGGTGCATAAGCTCCCATAAATATGGCTAAGTTGTGCAAAACCAACAATAATCCTTGTAATACATAATCTATCACTACACTTATCTTCTGTTGCATAATCCCTTCTACACATTAACCTCTTAGCAATATTACATGTAGAAGAAAATCCCTGAGTATTGTGAACAATCCATTAGCAGAATTCATTCCAGGCAATACAACTGTTTCAGCAACATGCAGTACTATTTCTCTCGCTCTTCTGCCTGTGGCTCTCCTTCCTCTAGGGAAGATGCCCCCAGAGCAAAACACTCGGTATGAAGCACCCTGGCAACTCTCCCCTCCTATGGTTACAAATCCTTTCCTTCAAGCCTCAGGAAGGAAAACATAGCATTTTGAAAGCCAAACACTATATTAGAAATTCTACCCAGTAGTTTGACCCTTGAAATAGGAAAGCTATTGAGTACTGCCAAAATTATTCTAATGAAAGGATATCCACTGACTGTGGGTAAGGCTTATGCTAAAAAAACAGATGCTACACAGTGGACCAGGCATCAGCACCATGTGTTTCTGATTGCACTACATGTGCCCTATAGGAAACCTATTTTTGCATTTTAGAGTCACCACATAATAGGGTATTGTTGGAGGTCCCTATGCCTTGAAGTGGAAAGTGCTTTTTCATACAGCAATTTCCTGTTGATATTTAACTTTGATTATTTTTTGACATGCACAGTAGTGAATCCACAGATCAATTATCCTTTAGAGTATGGTGTTAACCATATTCATTTTTATTGTATTTTTCTAGTCAGACAGCTAGCTCACTTTGAGCTGAATGCTGAAGATTTTGAACCTACCTGACTTGAAAGAGAAAATAAAAGACCATTTCATTACTACATATATATGCCAGTTATAATGTTATTTTATCAGAGCACTCACACTGGGGTCAAGACTGGAGCTTTCCAGTATGGTATAAAAACTGCAGGGTTAAATAGGCAAAATGAAAGTACTGTTAAGGTAATAATAACACAAGCCTTACCGTCCAGGTAACTTGAACCGTCGTGGGTGTAAGCACAACAGGATTATGCAGTCGTACAATTACATCTCCCAATTCTTTCTGCACTTGCCTGTGATCCACACCTTGTGCTGGTGGGCTGATATCTGCCAGGCACACACATGAAAGCATTATTTTAGTGAGAAGAGTTATATATGACATCAATAAGAATTACTGAATAGCTTGATGACCTGATTTAAACACCCTTTATAGTAGTGAAAGTGGTAAGTGATGAGAGGGATGAAATATTCATTAGTTCCAAAATACTCAGATATTAATAATGTTGCCCAGACGTCTGGAACCAAACTGGTTAGGATAATTGAAGAACATGAACAGGTTTATTTATTTATTTATTTTCTTAGAACATACATGACGCTAAGTCATTACACGTTTCCAAACTTTAACTATGCTTCCCTTCCTCACATACCATGCACACAAGAAACCGAACACCAAAAATAGCATTTTCTTCTGTAAGGCAAATTTTCCCTTTACAGATATAGATAACGAAAGCTAGTGCAAATACAAACAAAAAGATTATCCATTAAGACAATCTGAGTCTGAACTAAAAAAGGGCCATCAAAAACTCTCTACCACAAAAATTTTCTCTTCAATCCTATGCCAAAAATTCAAAGTGTGTGTGGAAATTATCTATTTCAGTCAAAATCTGAAGGAATTTGATCACTTAGTATACATCTATGGAAAACTGTGATTCCATCTGCAGCACCACATGTGGCCCTGGTACTCAGTCCTCAGGAGCCACATTTGAGTTATGCTATTGTTTTAAACTGAATGAGGCCGTATTACCTTTATAAATAGGAACTGCAAATACAAAGTATGTGTTAGAAAATGGAACAGGAGATGTTCGATGTGTCTTTTTAGTGATAGTTCCTGGAAATCTTAATTTTCTGTTCTGTTGTGCCAAAAGAAGAATGCTGGGCTGCAGCTATCACTTAGGCTATATATCACCATAGCATGTCCCTTTTTTCATCTTAAGAAAAAAGAGAATGCACTTTCTATGGGCCAGTAAAATCTGCATCCCTTCAACGGATCCTCCAAGGATCTTACAGTGCTGTTCTTGAACAACAGTTACAGATGTCCTTCCTATGTCAGTTATCTTTGTGGACTGAATAATGCCTGTTAGAAATATATATATATACTGTTTATTTCTGCTGGAATTTGGTTGAATTTTCCAGAAGAAAGAATCTGGAATACAAGCACAGATTATATTCAAAAGGCCCAATACATTATGCTCATGCCTGCCCAGGCATCTCTGAATTCTGCTTGGTTTTCTCATGGGATCCACAAGCCAAAGACTCTTTCCCTCTTTTTGGATCAACCTCATGTCCTTGTGAAGAAAATATACACATACAAGGTTTTCAGCCCTCTCTGATGGTCTTAGATATGGAAGTATGCAGCATGTGACATCTTTTTATCTTCTAATATTATTAAGAAGAAATGTTAGTGCTCTTACAAATATAACTGAGTCTGAATCACATGCCTCCAGATTTTAAAAGAGAGTATGTTTTAATCATCAGTATTTCAACTTCATAATTCTGGATTATTATGGGTTCTGAGCTAGCAATAAACAATATTGCAACAGGCTTCTACTGATATTCAAATGAAAATGGCTCCATGGATCTCCAAAGGGAATATAATCCAAACATGGATGTCAGTGAAGGGGCTTGTCTAGAAAATTATGCCTATCCAACAAACCAACCAACAGAGAGATACAATGAAACAAATCCATAAGATAGCAACTGAAACTGGTTTACAGGATGATAATTTATGCTGCTATCCACAAAAAGCTATGATCCTTGATGCAAAATACCTACAGCGAGCCATGGCTACATTTCAGGCTATGTTATCCTCTGGTATACAACCTACAAAGTACCTCTATTCCCTCAGAAGACATATGTATGAACTACATTTCATCATTTTAATGGGATGTATGCCCAGAAGTTAAGGGAATAACATGGGCTAATATTGGTAAGAAATAAGTATCAAGATGTATTCTGTTTTCCAGTATGTACACTTGGAAACATATGCATATGTGATGCTCACAGCGTAGTATCTTGTAATGTCATTTTCACATTACTAGCAGACTCCTGGTATGAAAGCAGTTGATCTATCTATAAGGATATCAGCAAGTACTGGAATAATAAAGTCACAACTGAAGCAAAATGTCATGAGAAGCTATATTCTGATTACAATTTCCTCTAACCTGTCTTTTAACAGCTTCCAGGGAAGTTACTATTAGTTGCTAGTAATTTAAATTCCAGGGATAGGATTATATATGGTTTCTTTAAAGTGTTTTTTAATATATGGTTTGATCTGTTAATAATCCAAACAAGAAATCAGCTCCTTTCTTAATTACCCATTTCTCTGCCCTTATTTGATGTAAGTCGTGTAAGGTAAACCTTTTGAAAGCATCCAATTGTCTATTTGAAGTCCAATGGTGAAAATAGGCATAAAATCCTATTGCTTATCTTTTCTATACTTAATACCAGGAAATTAAAAGCTCAGCTACTAAAACTACTACAGACACCTGTTGCAAATTAGTATTATATAGCACTGTTATAGCTGCTTTTTTGTTCCTCCATGGCCACTGTGAATAGACTCTACCGTGTGTCAGCTTCTTCCGTGAGCTTGAATTGAATTCAGGCATAATTAGAAATCACATCAAAACATTATGTTAATTTTCAATTGATTTTATGATTTAATTCTATTAAACTGCAGGCTTGCAAAGAAGCTATAAATCCTCTACATGTCTCAATGTGCTTGACTGCTAAACAGCTTCTGGAAATGGAAGCTACAACACATGCTGCAGCTAATTAAAAGACATGTTTTTACTGAAATCAAATTGCTTGTCAGTATGTCAGATAAAAAGTCTATACTTGACACTCAAATGCCAAACAAAGTTGTTTTTTTTTTTTAACTAGGTGATAAGTTATGCAGACTAAAAGGCTGGTGCAATGAAAAGCATGAGTCACCCTATAATAATGGGAGAGCGAGAAAGTAAAGAAAACTTGTGATACTCCATGGATAGTGAAGCCATGAAATCCCTACCCAACTCACTCCTTCCACTTTTCAGAAATCAGATCTGTTTCTGCTTTTAAAGCAATGGTAACTATTTTTAGGGGATAATTATTAAGGTCAGATTTATTCAGGAACAGACTTGTATGAGAGGCTGCATGTGATGCTTCATGTGATAAAGAAATTCCACCCTAGTCTTGTTTCTCTCTTTCCATCTAGGATCAACAAAGGACCCAAACCACTAACACATGCTGGAAGTTGACACAGGATGAACTTTTCAGGCACACTATTATAACTTCCATAAACAGTGACAGAAGATGACATTCTAAATTAACTGTGAGAGGGGCTATTACTTTGGACCTGAGGAAAATTACAATTAAAAAAAAAAAAACATTAATTCCTATATTCCAATCTGTTTAACACAGAACCACACTCATATGAAATATTCAAGCCAAAAACATGCTGTGAAAATAAATTTATTTGTGGCAGTTAGACACAGTTTTTAGAGCCTGATGTAATGGTGAACAGAATTCAAAAGTCTATTCAATAGCAGTAGAGGATCACAGCTACCAATTATTATCACTTCAGCCTTTCCTCTTTCTTCATGCAATGGATTAATAGAAAGAACTCAGAAATCTATGCAAGTAAGTACTAGACCCATACTTTTCTCAGAATAACTTCAAAATATTCTTAGCATGCAGATGCCTTAATTGACATTAATTCTCTGCCTAGATTTTGGACCAGACTAATCAACACATTGCAGATATTTTTTGAAGGTCTTCTGATTAAAACTAATGCAAATCACAGTGTCTGTCTATCATAAGCACTTGTTATTATAGAATATCCCTATTAGAATAATGGAGAAGCAGCAGGGTCATGGAAAGAAAAAATACTGAGGGGAACATGGTATTCTGAGCACTTTTCAGAAAAGCTTGGATAACTCACATTACTTTCAATAGAAACCAGGCATCAAGGAGCTCACCAAGCCTAAATGAACTGCAAGCCAAAATGTCTACAGTGTACAAAGGATTAAAGAGCTAACCTACTGCCCCTAAACTCCAGATTGATACAGCAAACATGGGACTATTTTTTATCTTTATTGGTTAAGCTCAATTCAGATTCTTTCAGTCAGGGTGCTAGAGTCAAATGGCCAGACTGACTTATGGGTCAACACTCAGCTCTTTCTATTTCAGCTCAAGCACGTAAACCTTAATGATTACTATTACCTTGTGTTCGGACAGGATCTGACATAGGGCTGGGATCACTCAGGCCTTGTGAATTGATAGCTCTCACCATAAACAGGTAGATTGTATTGGGTCGCAGTCCTCTCACAGTGTAGAGAGTGGTCTTCACATGGTTAGCCACTGTTTGCCAGCTATTGCTCACAGACTGACTGCAATGACAAGAGGGCTGAAGATTACGGACTAATGCAAGAGAAAAATATAATGAAATTACCTACTTTTGTAACCCTGTATAAAGTCTAAGTACAGGAAAAAGCTGTAAAAACAGGTTAAAAATAAAAATATTTATTTCAGTTAACTCATCGAGATGGGATTGAAAAAATCACATAGCTGTCAAAAGTATTTCTCCTTTCAAGAGAAGCAAAAGCTTTTGCTATTTCTCTAAAATAAACACCTGCAAAAGAAAAGTGTGGAAAGTAAATTTGCATTATAAATAGGCCACTCTTGAACATAAACCTTAGAAAAGAAAATCCCATTGAATAATTTTCCACAATGCTAAGTAAATTATGTCCATAAATTTTCATTGGAAGAACTGAAAAACTTGAACTAAACACATACTCAAAGTTACAAAAAAGCCCTGCTGAAAATATGTTTGTGAATGAAGGAAAGCATATGAATATTTTTTCTGTCACTACATCTTCCATTGGACATTATTATGATTAGATTACAGTGCATTGTATGAAGAGATTTCAATTTGTGATTGTTAGAAACAGCTTTTAATGAAAATGCTTGGCTTTTGTTAAAGTTTTTGATGGGATGCTACTGAAAGCAAATGTAGGGTGAAAAATCACAAAAGTTTAAAAATAAAATTTTATTCTGTTGTGCTTCGTTGTATAGCACTGATAAAAAAAACTTCAGATATATTAAAAGGGAAAAGAAAATTAAAAGGTACAAGTCTCACAGTGCTTCAATTGTTTCATTCACACAATACACAACGGGTAAGTTCCAGACCAAAATCAACAGTCTGCACATGCAGTAGTGTTCTTTGCATATTAACATATCAGGATGAAGCATTATCACTCTAGTTTCTTAAATTTGCACGCATATGATTTTGAAAAATTCCTGCATTAATTTTAATTAAAAGATTAATTAAATTATTTGCCATTTGTTGAACATCTTGATTAGTGAAAACTTTTAAGAATGTGCTCATTTTTAGGCTGAAACATATACTACAGATACATGTGAGAGGTATGGCCCATGCTTAATCAAACTTGCTGAAGCAGAGCCCAAGAGTTCTTTCATAGCATGCATTAATTGCTGCTGTGTGGAAAGGAGCAGCTGGATTCAGCCTCATGCTGAAGGATGAAATCCTAAATTATCAACACAAAACTTCTAGCTGAAAAAGCTAAATGTATCTAAACCAGTAAAAAACAGAAACAGAAAGTGCTTTCACTCTTTAATAGGTGGTGGTTTAACAAGAACAGGAATTAAAGTATGCAGAGAGGCTTCAGGATCATCCATGTATTTTCAGGTTATTTGTACTATGGTAGTCAACACTGGCCCAAATGATTTGACCTGCAGCATTCCCACAGGAAACTCACTGAGGGAAAAGTAACAAATCATGACTGTATTGTCCTGTTTATATTCCTATTGACTTGAAGAAATAGTTAGATGCTCCTCTCATTAATCACTTAGAAAAAAGTGATAAATGAAAAAAAAAACAACACATTGAAAAATAAGAATCAATGCCTGCCATAGGAGTTGACTCTTAATTAGTTTCTAATGATACGTGTAGAGTCCAAAAGAACACCATAATACCAAGAGAACTGATAACAGGGTTTAAACAAAATTAGAAAGGAAGGAGATTAAAAGTAGAGTAATTCACATACCTAAAAGCCTCAATGATATATGCACTAGCTGGTAGGCTTCCAGGAGTCCCTGGTTGCCAGGACAGGGTGACACTGTTCTTTGTAACATCAGTGACCTGAGGTTTGGATGGTGGCCCAGGGAGGTCATTTATATCATAATTTTTACTGACTGTTGCTCCACCGGATTCTGTGAGGGACAAAACAAAACAATTACATTTTGTCCTTGATTGTATGAATTTGATCAAGAAGAAGATTAAAAGGAAAAACATGCCAAACATCTGGAAAAACAGCACAACCAATGTTCTTAATCTACACAGAACTAAGTCAACAACTATGCATTACCACGTATAAGTTTACATAGAATACCAAAACCTCAGTTACTAGAAGTCTGAGAAAGCTCCCATATTCAGATCAAGTCCAGTATTCAGAGAACACACTGGACTTTGGCAGGCCTTTGTATAGGCATAATAGTTTTCTTGCCTGAGCCAATTACTGGATGAATCATCAGTTTATTAATACTCCTGTTGAGAAGAGTTATAGCATACCACTGTTCACTGGATACAAATACGAACTGTTTCAGTGTTCAAGAGCAATTAAATTAGTGAAGGAACTAGCCTTCCCACCTAAAAGTTCTCCATATCAACCCCAGAATTTCCAGAAAAGATTATTGGACTCAGACTCTAATATACCCTACACTTTCATTTTGTGCCAACTGAAAGAAAGCCCGTGGACATCACTTACCTGTCACCTCCAGCACAGCACTCCAAGATGTCTCCCCACTGGAACTTGTTGCAACGCAAGTGTAAGTCCCAGTATCAGACAGCTAGACATTAAAAATAGTTAAGGGCAGTTTTAACAACCTTTTAGAATCAAACGACTGAGTTTACTCTGGTTTTCTTTCTCAAAGTTTTTTTGCTAAGGATTTAGCCTACATTTTACACGAGACTAGAGGGTACCGGACACTTCAAGCAAACATTTAATGGTTCCTTACTTTTAGAGAACTATAATAAGATTAGTTGCTTCGAGTATTTTTCTAATTCTAATTTTCATGTTGTTAATGGTACCAGTACAGCATGTAAGTGCTACAGGATGGATGTTTTAGTGTCATTCTTTGTATTGGTTACAACAAATGCAGGTGAAATCGGTAAACAATATAACAACACTTAACTTCTTAGAGGATAAAATCTCACCATTCATAATCCCCTGACCCAGAGATACAATTTCCAGTGCCAGGAAGGCACTTAGATTCTTATGACGAAATCATTTCTACACAGGCCACCATACATATAAATACTGTTGCTGAGGCTTATCAGTGGTTCTCTCTACACAGGCAGTCCTCCAAGCAATTTTCAAATGGCAAAATTAAATTAGATCCCACACCATGCTTACCTTTCTTCTATTTCACATGGGATCTTATTTCAGGCTTGCAAGACAGTTTGGTAGCAAAAAAAATAATGCATTTGGGTAAAACTACTATGATTCCCTTGTCAGTTCATACATTTCAAATTTATTTGGGAAAACCATTCTGAATTATATTGTCAATATCAGTCTCAAGGCTCTAAAATGTGCAAAGTGTTTTGCTATTCCTTAAGTAAATTTAAAGATCTGTAAGACAGGGACTAATGATGACTAAAGAGCTGGATGGAAAACAGTAACTTTACAAAGCATAAAATATACAAAGGAACCTTTCCACCACTATCTATAAAGCATCGTAATCTGGAGATGGAAGCAGAAGAGGAAGAGTGCTGACTCTAGTGATATAGGGGAAGAATTATATTCACCATCAGACTACTTGACGGAAATAGGACTGCATCCAAGAAGCTTTATTGGACTTTAAGGAATTGTAATTGGTTTTCTGCTAAATGCAGATTGGCAGTATAGCATATGTGCTTATATCTCACTCTTCAAAAAGAATGTCAAGGCAAATAAGTGAAATGCTCTTTAGATTACTCATTGATATATAATTTAATTGATTTTTAACTTTGTCATGTTTGAATTTTGTTGGTATTTTCTTCAGATACACTGGGACTGCTGTGTACCATTCTTAGGGGCAGGAAGCAACTGATTAATGCCAGTTCAATTGTCTGAATGAGCATAAATTGCATTTTAGAAGATGTTTTTTTCCATGAAATAGAAACAATAATTAAACCCTTCTGACAATGGCTCAAAGACTCAAAATATAGAGGTACTGTTAATGAAATAAGAAAGGCTCTTGAAAGGAGACAGATTTTTTCCAGAGGAGAGAGCCTTATAGCATTCTGAAGTAGTGTTTTATTTTGCTGCTTCTGAGCTTTTATTAAATATATAGTTCTTCATTATGTGATAACGGAGACTATTTCTGAAGGCTATGGTTCTCAACTTCATTTGTGTACCTCTGTGACAGATGGTGTATGGCATACCCAATGAAGTAACATGGCATACACAACTGAGTAACTTGCAGACAGCATACTCAACATAGAAAATAAGCTGCAGAGATGCTGCTTCTTGCAAGTTATGGTGAATTATCTAACTTCCAGACTGTGGATGGATTAGATACAGACATAGTGTATTGGTAATTCAGTATTTTTCACTTTTTTTTTTTTTTTATTATGGAAAACACAACAGGGCAGGTGAATGGAAAATCTTTGCTATTCAGTAAAATAAATAGTTTTCTTCCTTAGTTAATGCTGGTGTCTAAATCTGGTGTGCTACAGTTTTACGGAGCATAAGTGAGTTTTTGGTCAGTGCTGGCCTGTCTGAAAGAGTACTGAGTGGTGTATGTGAGGTTTCAGTTGTCTTCCTTAGAGCAACTGGGAAGACTGGCTCATCAGAAAAATGTCTAGGCTCATGATTAGGACTGCAGCCCATGGCTTACTGTGACTGCTGCAGACTCCTGAATAACTTGATTTACACAGAAAGCACTACATAGCAGAAGAGGAAGATCTCAAAGGCTTAAATAGTAGTAGCTTGTCTTTCTTTATCTTGGAATGTTTTATGATTGCAGCAGTGATTATTACTTCCGAGGGGAGGAGAAGGCTGAGGACATCTGGGTGATAAATATGAATTTGTTTTGAACTTGGGTATGTATGTAAGTGTACTTGAACTTATTTCATGGCCATTTTTTACTTAGGAAGCATTGCTAGTCCTCACTCAGGTACATCTGAGAGAAAAGTTAAACATTTCAGATTTAAATCCACATTTAATTCATAAAATTACAAAGCACAGAAGAAATCTGGTTTTGATGGTTATGTGTGCTTTTTGTTCTTAAGTCTGAGTCAAACAGTGCACATTACTGCAATCGAGGGGTTTATAAAAAATGTCTTTCTGAGCCTTTAAGGAAAATTGGTTACTAGTGAATGAGCCACTTAAGGATCAATAAAAGCCTCACGTCTTTCAAAACCATGCTCACTGCTAATACTGTTTTCTTCTCCCTTTGCAAGCATTTTTCTTCCCCTTTCGTTTGCAGACCTTGTGCCTCTAACGGCAAAATTAATGCACTGGCACGATTCAGAACCAATTTCATTGTTTGCATAGCTTCATGCAGACAGGTATCCCAGGAGCTTCTGCCTCATGGACACTCCACAGAAGCCCATCATTGATGCCTGAAAGTTTGTTTGAAATCACTAAGCTTCCACCTTTAATTGCTGCTTTCTAACACTACTGGGGAATCTTGACTATTCAAGCGCACTCTTTAATCCAGCTCTACAGGAAAAATGCATTAACCTTCATGGCCTAAACCTGTCTTCAGCCCAGGAAGGAAGGATAAATTGTTTACTCAAAGAAAGCTGGCATAAATTTTTTAATAAATTCCATTTTGTTCCAAGGAAGTTAACAATTCATCTATGATCAGTGATGAGATGGCATCAGAAAACAAATCTGTTTTTTACGTCTTGCCCTCTGTAGGTATGTTTATTGACATATTTTTGGATGGCAAAGCTAAGTGCAGAAATTTCTGCTGATGAAATTAAATGGTTACTGAAATTACCTTTAAGTTCTTGATAATAATTACATTTAACTTACTGTTTCTCCATATACACACTTGTCCGCATACACACAACCATATATGCTATTTTACCTTTCAAGAGGGAAAAATTAAAAGCCCACGCAAAGATTAGTGATGCCACGTTTAGGAACAAAATCTGACATTATGCTACCTGGAACAGTATAAGTTTTCTTTGTACTTTTAAGCAACTGTATTATTTCAGGTGTCAAAAATGTAAATATTATGATAGGCATTCCATTTTGAATAGAAAACCCTCTGCATATGACTGGATGCATGTTACAGTATTAGTTGTCTTCTCACATCTGCAGCCTGATGGAACATCTCCAGCAAGCGTAACATTGGAATAAATCAGCCAGCTCAAGACAGCCAAGACTCATTGATGGATAAAGTGCACAGCCAAACCCTGATGAACTCCAGAATCATTTGCTAGCACAATAACTCCTTAGAAAATAATGATTGGGTGTTGAAAATGAACTGCTCAAGTTTTAAGAAAGACAATGGGACAGTGGCTTCACACTAAAACACTGAAAAGATGAGGAAGGCCTGTCCTTCTACATGTTTCTCCATTCCTAACTCCTGTGTTTTACTGCAACTTATGTAAGATTTTAAATACAATTTCAATTTTATTTTATTTTTTCTAAAAGAAATATCTGATGCTAGTTTGGCTCTTCTTCTCTCCCTCCCCTCCCTTTCCTACACAACATCAAAGAATGAAATAAGATGTGAACTTGGTGAGAATCTCATAGTAAAAGAGACCATTAAGCTAATTTTGAAGACGAGATAGGAAGACAGCAGACCTGCTTGCAGCACACACCGATAGCTCAAGACCAGCCATGTACCACTTGTAGCAATTGTTTTGTTATCTCTACTCACCCGCAGAGATTTAATCTGAAGCGTCCCCTGATCCTGTATGGATGTTCGAGGGTCTCGGCCGAGGAAAGTGAATCCTTCTTTCAACCAGCTGATGACAGGGAGAGGGTCACCGGTTGCCTTGCACTTCAGCAAAGCTGTCCCATCCACTGACAGTGTCTGATTGACCGGCCCCTGGAGGATGATGGGTGGAGGCCTATCTGTCAAGACTAAAACAGTGACACCCACATTGGCATCCACACCTTTAACAATCCTCTGCTGAAGTTATTCCTTTGCTTGATACAGCACTAATTTAAGCATTAATTTAAGTAAGCCTCTGAAAGGCTAGAAATGCTATCTTTTTTTTTGAAAACCCACTGACTAACTGCCATATTTGAAAAGTATTTCTGTAAGAATTTGATTTCACCACTGCGAGATAACATCTAGATATAAAAACTTCTGCTAGCAAAAGTCATCAGGCTCATTTGATTAAGATAGGATAAAAATTAAGATATTGATCCAGGAAAGAATTGCGGTACACCTCTTATTTCTTCCTATTTAGGAAAGCACTTAAAGCACATGTTTAATGTCACATCAAAATGTGCTTAATTGCTTACCTGATTTAAGGCCTAAAAGAGAAATTCTATTAAAAGCTCAAAGTGAAACACCATAGCCCTTCTAGTATAGGTACCAACCGCATCCCCCATTCATGCTCAACTTGCATGCTTTCATCAGCAAACAATAATACAAAACATTTTCATAATCTGAGTAATCTAAATTACTGTACCACTCTTTTCAGTGGGGAAAAGTTCAAGATCAATCAAGGCATTTAGCAGCTTACTTATCAAACCATTTCACTACCTTTTGAAGCTGTGAACTCTCTTAATTTTTTCCTCTAATAATTCAGATTTGCATGCTTGAATTACTGCTTAAAGGACTCTGAAACCAGTGAGCAAGTGCATGGCTGCGTATAAACCCCATTCCATCATCAGTGGGATAACTTGAAGATGGAGTAAAATGCTCACGTTCGCTTTCCTTGAAAGACCAATTCTTCACAAGTAATTTTGCCGTTAAACCTATTTTCTCAGCTATCTGTTAAACAGCAAAATAAAACTGTTTCTAAAGAATGTGTTATACAAAATAAATGTGAAATACTTGAATGCAATGAGGTTATGACTTCTGCAAAAACCCAGTATAACAGAATCAAGAATTCATTATTATATATTTACCTGCCACTGAACAATTGTATGATTGGTATTAAATCTTTTAACAGCAGGATTAGCTCCTACACCAGAGTAAGTTAGTCAGTCTCCACTGATGTCAATTGAGCTTGAATCATTTGTTCTAGCTGAGAATCTGTTTCATTACAGTCCATACACAACACCTGACACTAGCAGTGAAGTGAAAATATATTATTATGGAGCAATACAGTTTCTATTTTATTTGAGCTGTTTGAGATGATGTTGAATGAGAAATCTTCAGTAGACCCAGATCTTTCATTATGCTGTTTAATAAATTACAAATATTAGGGACATGCTAGTGGTATGTTTTATAACTAAAATAATCGTAATGTTGCAAACATACTAGTTACCTTCTTTTGTTAACAAGATATACAAAGGATAAAATCATTAGTATTAGTAGTTTCTTGGAGTCCTAGTTCACCATATCTATTGAAATTGAAATTGAAAATAGAAAGTCAATACAGATTACTTATTGACACCAGAATGTGAAAGCTATTTTGGAAATTCTGAAACATTAGCCACTGAACTCAGAGACAGGAAAAACTATATTACAAGAAAAGAGAAAATGTAATGCATTTTCACTTTGATATGAAATTTTTTAATCTCATGAAGGTTCCTTATGACTACACAGTTCAGCCATTTGGTGGACTAAAAATTACGTCAGCTCATATGCGCTATCAGCATACCCGCTGCATGAGTATATTCAAATGAAAATTTAGCTGTGTCAGTTTTCCTTTAGATTTAATGTAAACTGTCAAACCCCATTTTTCTAGGTAGCTAAAAATAAAGGAAAAAGAATAACTTCATTTTCTAACTATTCCATTGCAGTTATTTGCTGTATCTAATTGCTTCTCCTATGTGTAGCAATGTAGGTATTTTGAAAACCTACTGCATTACAGATATTGTTCTTTGGCACGTAATTAGTTTTTTTACATCCCAAATGAGGAGCTCATAATCCTTTAAATAGCTCTGATCAATAGTGTAATTGAAAGTCTCCTGGCCAGAAGGAATCTTCATTTTCAAGGGTGTTATGGGTGAAAGACCACTACAGGTTTCCATGACACTAAGGCTAAAGGTTAAATGAACACTTAGGGTTTCCACTGATCTGTGAACGACTGTATTGTCTTCACAACTATGACTTGTAAATCTTCTCTAAAACGTGTATTTGTGCTTGGATTCCTACTATATAGGTCTCATTAGAAAGAACCCAAAACTTGGTTACTGGATTAAAATGATACACCATAAGCATTCTGAAGAGCAGAGAAAGAATGAAAAATATCCACCAAATGGATGGGGGTTTTGATGTTTTCTTTTACATTTTATTTTTATTTTTTTAATTTAAATTTTACATAGTTTTCTCCTAGCAGGAATCTTTTCTATCCATTCCACAGAAACATTTTGTGTGGATAAAATATGTTTGCATAGTAAAAGAGAAGCTGATCTAAAAATTAACTTAATTTTAAAAATGGGTTTGAATCTATTTTCTAGCATTATATATACAGTCACATTATTCTGGTAAGTGAAAAAATATGAGATTCCTTTTGTGATGAAATGCAGCTTAAATTTGGGGCAGATTATCGGAAAAGAGCAAATTGTATTTATTAATGAACAGTTTACTCTCTCCAATGCAATTTGATCAGCTGAAACCATGTCTTAATTTGGGTGGAATTTGATCAAATTACAACAGGAAATGAAAATAAGATAATCAAAAACTGAAGTCTTTACTTCCAAAATCAACATTTCAAAAGGTTTTTCTGGTGAGTTCATCGGGAAAATCAGACACAAGTTATGAAATCCTCATTATGAACACTAGTACGGCAGGGCAGGGTGCCCTCCTGAGAGGTAGAACAGCAGAAACCAGTTCATCCTCTTTCTGTTTTGTGGAAGAGCTTCACGGGAGCCTGTGAAGCTGTTCTGAATCCCTCCTGTTTGAAACTGCCACACTTGCTATAAAATATTATATAAGTTTGACAAGGAAAAGAAATCATTCAAAAGCCCAGGAACACCATCTTTTTAGTCGATCTAACATCCTAAACCAGTTCATTTGCATGTTGCCAGAAAAATCCGCAGTGGGAGGTTAGGTTTATTCCTCCATCCAAATCCTACCCTGAACAGCAACTCCTGGGCAAACTGGGCAAAATAGGCAGATCCTACAGTTGAGCATGTAATGGTCAAAACTTTTATTAAGAAATATTAATAATGGCTAGATAAGGAGGAATTGAGATCTTCTCCAAAATATTCTGTGCATGGAACAAATTGCTAACTGTAAACTATTATCTTGAGCACAGACATAGTTAGATGGAAGCATCTGGTTTATTTGTATGAACTGTCATTTTAAGACTGACTTGCATATTCACTTCTTGAGTTTGAAAGGGTTGCTAAGGTTGTCTCCAGTTTTAAAACAATTTTGCTTTTCCAGATGTGCATTAGACAGTGGATTGTATGATAGCCTTTCAAGAAAATACAACATTTGAATTTCAAATACACTGAAGGCTCTTAGCACAGTCCATAAGCAGCAAAATTATCACTTAACTCAGCAATTTCATCACAGCTAGTAATCTCTTCTCATGTGAACACTTGAGTTAAAAATATTTCCAGTAAAGACTTGTAAGTGCAAAGATTTAACAACTGAAACACTGCAATATATGGTATAATTAAACACTTGTTTTTCTGCACATGACATGTTTTCATTCTGTATTGGAACTTCAATTGGATCTAAATTACTCTGGATCAAACAAAAATGTGTTCAAAATGAAAAAGATGGCTCGCCACTATTATTAAATCATTAACCAAACAGAAAAATTCTGGGCTATGAAGTAAAACTGAAACCACCAGCCAAAAACTAGAACACTAATGCTTAAGTATATAGCTAGCATGCACACTGTTTATCTTTAATTACATTTTTAAAATCATTAAATTAGATTTCCTTACTGATAAAAATCATTAGCTTCCATAATTTCTGCTCAGCATCAACCAAAAGAGATTATTTAGACATTTATGGTTAACTTCCCAACTGAAAGCAATTTTAAAAATATCTGTGATCTAATGGCACATTTATTTATATAATCTCAGTTCCACAATATTGTTTTGGCACTTTTCTTCTGACCTCACCTGCCCTTTGACTCAAGTATGAAATGGTATTTCTATAAAGCTAACTTGTATTATTTCATAATCATGCTGACAGTGTGCTCTGGAAAGCATTTGAAGAATGCCAGCCTTGCATTCCTTAGGCAGCAGAGCCACCAGCTTATGCTTTCTCTAGCAATGTGGAATGCACAGTGCCTTTAATCAGAATTAACTGTAGATGAGTTTGCATTTCAGCAGGGACACTTTTGTGAGGTTTCCATTGACTTAAATAAACTAACAAAAATTGCAAAGAGGTCAATTAGTTTTTTTTTTTTTTCACCTACACAAGAAATAAGTAAAGATGAGGCCAGGCCTTGTTTGTCAAAAGGAAGAATTTCTCATCACTAGTATCCTTGAAACTGATTTGATCCACTCAGCCCGTTGCAGTAAATCTGTACAGCATCAGCAGGTGCAACCATTAGCAGCTCAATGTCCTCTTAGCCAATGTTTGTGTGTTCTATTTATTCCAATCACAGTCATGGCACTGAATCAGGCAGTGCTATGGACAGATATTAAAAAATACTGCCTTTCCATTCATTTTAAATGGCCTTTTAATCTACATTTAAATTTGAATTGAATGAAAATGCATCACGTCGTTGTAGACAATGAAATAAAGGACTTAAAGAGATTGCAGAGCAAAGGTTAGCCTTTAGTGTCCAGAAACTACTTTACAGAAAAGCAATGTGCTTGTAAAGATGCAAGGATAAGGCAGAAATTATCTCCCCTTGTCATAAAAATATAGACAGCTTTTGGAAAACAAAGAAAAGGCATCAAATTAATGCTCAAACCTCTATAACATGAGCCTGAACCTCTCTACCTGTCACTTGTGATGAATATGCTCTTGTGAAAAGCCAGATTATTCAGAATTAGACATCTTTTCAAACTTTCGTGGTGCAGGCAGGTCTCTAAGGGAACAGTAAAAGTAGACCTCTGCATATAACAACAGTTTTAATGGCAAAAATTCATCAAAGTCTGTCAGGAGATATTTAATGTGTCAGTTAAGATAAGGAATAATGATGCTGGGGAATGCCACAATCTCCTAGTATAAGAGGAATTCTGTTGTTCACTAACATTAAAGGATGCAAACTGCCTTCTATCTGCAATGGGATGAAGAGGGATATCGACAGGATTCCTGACATATGAAAAGGATTCATGTTTGCAGATGGACTAAGGTAAACTTCAAGGGAGGATAAATTACAAACCCAAAATTATGACACAGAAAGCATCAAAACAGAGCTTTTCCTTTCCTGAAAATCTTTTCTGCTTGCAGATTTCCATGTGTATTTTCATACCCGACCACACCAAGAAGTTCTTAGAACATAGCTCTGAGCTAGGAGCCTTATTCACAGAGGAACTAAAGGGCTATGTGTTGTAGCTGTTCTGAACCAACAGTTCCCCAGTAAGTTCAAGCAACTGTGTTGATTTAATTGAGCTATGGACAAATCCCCAAATTACCTGCTTAAGATAATACTGAAGACTGGTGAGAATTGAACCTCATCTTTCTGCACCTCAATTCACTGCTTTAATTGTAAACCTGTTCATTCTTCACAATGTTTTTCTGCAGTCCTGTCTTAGCTCTAGTGAACCGAGCAGCTTCCTTTCTCACCAACCCTATTCTAAGTGCGTTTGTCCCTTCTGTTGAGGAACCTCCAAAAAGCAAGCAAAAGGCAAACTAGACTTTGATGGCCTTTTTGATACCATAGACAATTGCAGAGACCCTCTTTCATTGCATTTTCTGTAGAAATCTGTCAATTTACTTCTGAATAGTGTGATCTCATATGCCTTCATTTACACTGCTTTTAAAATACTTTTGACAGGAAAAAAACAATAGGGATTTCTATAACTCACCATCAGTAACCTCCAGCTGAGCCTTTGCTAAAATGCTTCCAGCTACTGTCAGAGCTTGACAAATGTAGTAGCCTGCATCAGACCGCTGAATGTTGGTAATAGTGAGGTCTCCAGTTGGTGACACTGAATACCTGCTGTTGGGTTGGAGAGGCTGGTTTGGGAAGAGTAGATTCTGCAAAGACAGTTCATCTTACATCAGTTCAGAAGACAAAAGCACCACTTTTCCCGCAGTGAGAAAGACAATGACTTTCCTTAAAAGCACTACATACAAACTAGAAGAAAAAGTACGTGTGGTTATGACTTTATGAACACATAGAGCTAGCTTTCCCTGCCTTGGGCAACTCGCAGTTTAAATTAGAAACAGCCCTTTGACAGCACACAGTGGCGTGTTCTGGCTGGGGGTATAGGCGAGGAGAAATTTTCCAACAATCACACTTGACAGATTTGTATTTGTGCCACATTCATCTTCGTTGTGAATGTAATTGTAATAATATACTTAGTTGGCCATCAAAACCAGGAGGGCACAATAGTACAAGAAACATTAGACAACTAGCAGAAAGAATTGAATCCTGGAGACTTGAAGGAGCACATTATTGTTTGCTTGAGTATGTCCCAGGCAAAGGAGAAAGTAAGGCTGTAACACAGAAAGCAAGCTGGGAGGAAGATACAAACAGGTCATAAAGTAGGAAGAGCTGGCAGAGCATGAGAGCTTAAAGGAGAAGTAAAAGGAAATTAAAAGTGAGATATACCAGAGGACAAAAGCAGCATGGAGCCTTGAGGGTGAAACGAAATGGTATTAGTCTGATGTAGAAATCATCAGAAAGAAAAAATAATTTCGTGTAGGGTAAGACATCAGTTAGCACAAAACAGGGAGATTAGCGTTTGCCTTTGGGCTGGATTGGAGGAAAGAGAGATGTCAATAAGAATAACCGTAATGGATGTAGTAGTTATTGCATATGATGAAGGACTGAATGAATCAATAGTACAGAAAAGGGCTGAAAGGGTTTTAGTGGAAAGGGCTATGTTTTCAAGGAAAAAGTTGTACTTTTTGGCACAGCTCTCGCTGTAAATAACAAAGAACAGGAAGAGGGAGGAAACGTAAACAGAAAGGTCAGCAGCATTGCTGAAAAGAGACAGAAAATGAGACAGAAAACGAGAGAAATTAAACAATAATTAAACAATAGTAATTCCAAGAAGATAGGATCTGTCTGTTATGTCAACACTAAGAAAAATACAGGAATAACCTAAAACACTGTTACCATGCTGTGATAAGCTTTCAGTCATTAATGCAGCTCTGTAGAGCTCTGCTGTGCTTTCTAGTGACAAGTTCTTAGTAACTGTTAAGCTTGACTATATGGGCTAAAAAGAAAATCTAGAAGTGTAGAGTAGGGTATCAAATGAATTTTCTGTAGATCTGCTTCTTCTGCAGTAGACCTTAATGGTTTACAAAAAAATATTTGGAAAAGACAAGCAATAAACTTGGATATAAAAGAATTCTGCTTTGAATTCATCTTTTTCTCTCTTGGTTTGGCAGTAAAAGGAGAGCGATATGTTTTATATAAGATCCAGCACTCCAAATATCCTTATAATTGTATTACCCTACGAGGCTACTTGTCACCATAGGTGAGTCCTTCTCCTTACCCCTTTTCACTGTCAATGTTTAAGAAATTTTTCACAGCAAATTTTCACTCAAAACTCAGTATGTACCCAAGTAAACATGTCAGAACCCTCTTTACCACTGCATTAGGAAGGGTGGTTACCCTTCTTTTTACCTTTAGCGTGGACTTGTTCTGGAAAGGTACCACATCCCAATAAATATTCTAGACATCAGGAGGAGTTAATCAGTCTCATGACTCCTCCTTTCAAAGACCAGTTATCTCTGCATTGTAAATTGTCCTGAATTACAGTGCAACCCTTTTGAAAATGTTTTTACAATTTCACTGGTTTTATCTAGCTGTCAGGCACAGTGGTGAAACACTGGGTTGCAAACAGGGACCAGAATCATCCCTGATATAATAGCACTGAATTTATCTCAAGGAAAACATTAATCCAGACAGTTTAAAGGTTACACATGCCCTGCCCTGGTGCATTTCATTGGTGGGCAGCTGTTGGGCTCTGGGGAAAAGGCTACCGATTACAAAGGACCAGCTGTTTATGCACAAGCTCGCACTAAAAATGACTCAGGAGGGAACAGCTCCCCTCCCTTCCAGCTGGTTGTGCTCAGAAACACAGGATTGAGAATTGGATACATAATGAAAGATGCTCTACAGTTACTGGAGTGGGCTAACACAACTACATAACATTACTAACAGTGGTGCTGTGAATGGTTCCTCGAGCAAAAGCAGAAGCAAGTGTTGTAAAGCCAAGCAACAACTTATAGCCAGGCACACAAAGGTGAAAAGTGAATTTGGCCAAAATACCTTCCTTTGGATTTGTATGATGCTAGACAGTATGTGAGGCTCACCTATTCTATGGCATCTCATTGCAAAACCTGGCAAGTTGAATATTGAGATGGTAACACTAACCTGTGATACTTCACTGATGCTCAATTAAGATTAACAAGAGGGTGTAGTGAATCACATTGAGCTACATTTCAAGGTTTGATTATAAACCATGTAGGTATCAATTTTTATGTTGCATTTATTTGCCAAAAAGACCATTCTAACCCTCAGGGATCTGGTTCTCAATATGGTAATTAATTTTCCAGGTTTGTAATTAAACAGCTTCAACGTGGTACAATCAGTAGGTAATAACATTCAATTAAAGACACAAGATGCATTTTCACCTTAAAATGTTTTTACCCTTGAAGTGCTACCAATAGAAGAGGATAAAATAGAGTATTAACACTTTTCAATTACGGTAAATGACTTTAATCCTGCAAATGATGTCCTACTTTAATTAGAAGCTCTTCTCTTTATTACAGCATGATGGATGTCCACTTTATTAGATTTAAGTGTGACACTATAAGCTCACTTTACATAAACATTACCATGTTATTAAAATGCTCTACAGGGAACGGTTTTGAAATGTTTGCTAGCACATCAGTACTTCCTACTTCAATTTCACTATGCTATTCTACTTTCCCTTTGGAACAATTTTCACCTTAGTGAGACTCACAATACTGTGCTTTTTCAGGATGCAATCCATGGAGGCTAGATCCAAAGTTCTCCAAATAATACACTGAAGGATACACACTGAAGATTAGGCTTACACCCATATGAGGTTACACCCATAAAGTAATAGTCTTCTATCTAAGCCACAAATGTAACAGAGCACAAAATGCTGTCAACTTTGGTCCTGTCATTCTGGACCAGTAACCAGACCTGGTGAGAAAGTGCAGCAGAAACAGATAGGGCAGTGCAGGGGATCTGTGGTTCAGTTCTTATCTCACATTGTAACTGAGCTGGTACACACAGTGCCTCCAGATTAGACAAAAGGCACCTCTGCACTGTGTAGCACAGTGTGGCTCCAAAAAGATTAATTTAGGTAATAGAGAAGGGTACATAGTATAGATACATAGATGTAGTTACGACAGTCTTCAACAGGGAGCTGCAAAGGCACTGTCGTTGGGCACCCATCTGCCCCCTTTAATCTTTTCTCAGGTACAGATTTGAATACAGTACCTAAAGTATTAGAATTTAACATACTAATATGAACTGTGTGTTCAAAGTGAGAAGGACTTTCTTCTGCTCTAACACCTTGCCAGTACAGCAACAGCAGTAAAAAAATATTATGGCAAGCTACAGAAGTTAGCATTGGCTGATGGCAATGTTGATCACTGCATCAGAAATTCTGCTTTTAAAATATGACAGTAAAGATCAAGGAAATATTTCCAAAACCAGATTTGGAAATTTCCTGAGACAATTTTACTAAGAAAGCATCTGCCTGTTCAAAACCTGTATCTGTAAGTGCTATGAGAATATGCCAATGCAAATCAGCTTGCTAGATATATATCTGCTTGATCATGTCTAGACAGGTTGTGAACTGTAATTACTGACTCTGATTAGTTAAAAACTGAGTCATACCTTTTTTTATCTACTATGCTTGTCTCACCCACCTGTTTATTGGGGGTTTTGGAATGAAGTCTTTAAGATAAATACTGTTGCTTTCTATATGTTTATATAGCACCTAGCACAAGTTTTACTAACTTAGAGGGCCTTTGAGCCCTTCACAATATTAACATTTCTAAATATCAGCAATAAAAACGCTGGTAGAGAACAGTGATAAGTTTAAAAGACAAATTCCTGTGAAAGATTTAAAGAACCTGTGAAGGCAATATAAATATAAATGATTTTCTTAAAATTTTAAGACTATAACTATTTAGAAAGGATTGAAAGAATGTAGGGGTGCTTATAACTTACCTGGCTTCCCTCTTTTTGCCAGAAAACAGCTGGCTGGGGATTTCCTTTAGTTTCACAAGGAAAAGTCACTGTTCGACCCTGGGCTACAATCTGGTCTCGTGGCCTCACCACAAACTGGGGGGGAGCTAGAAAGTAAGAAAAATCATGATGTAAATTTAGGATATTTTGCAAGGGGGACATGAGGAATATTGAAGGAAAGAGACAACATTATGAAGATTTGGTTTATGCCAAAGGACATGACGCCAGAAACATTAATTAGTATAGACAGAACTAATATATAAACAAAAACAACAGCAGCAACAAAAAGAGCAGCAATATCAGTGCGTGATATCCTCAGCAGTAAAAACAAAAGAAAGAAACATTACAACCATACATGCTACAGTAAATTCTGATGATAATAAATGCTAAGGAGCAGCAGTCAGGTGTTTATGATGCCAGCTCTGGATGCATTCTACGTTTTGTCTGGGCAGTACCCTCATACATACCTTCTGTGTTTCACAGAGCTTGTTGTTCTGCTAGAGCTATTGCATATTGCAATATATGAATTGCCCTTTGCAGTCTGCCCCTCTAAAGAGGAAGGTCTGGACGACAGCAGAAGGCCAGAAGTTCAAGAGCTCCTTCATTTCTCTTAGGGGCAATGAGTTCAAGAATGAAGGGGAAGGAGAATTTGCTAAAACAACACCTATTTGGAAGATGCAGATTTCAGCTTGTGCAAAGACAAGAAAGAAGCAAGAGTTGAAAAGTTAGTGGGCAGCAGTGAGTGGTGAGCAAGAAGGAATGGGTATTCCAGGAGATCAAGAAGAGACAAGGAAAAGAAGAAAGGAGAAAGAAGAACCAGAATTGGCTATGTTTTCAAGTAGATGGCATTAACAGTGTTCAGAAACAGAGGACCAGAAAGCACAGTCAGAAGTGAACAGTTTCTAAAAGAGACATGTAGCTTGTCTTGTCTGGAAGCAGTGATGGAGAATAAAGAGTCAATGCTTGGTGAGAAAAAGAAGGGAGAGAAAAGGTGTTAATGTGCAGAAGAAAAGCGAGGAAGAAGCAGTGTTGGAAGATTTGAAAGAAAAATCCTGACATCAGTCACTATGCTGAGCATGATGCGATAAAACAAAGGACTTTTCTATGCATGACATGAAAACCCTCCAGTCTTGGCTCAATATTGGAATTCACTGGAACTGGATTTATACTATTTGGCATATCTTAAAAATGTAAGTGGAATCTCCAAGCATTTCCATCAAAAAAACTAACTGTAGGGGCAGGCTGAAGAAGTGGACAAAAGAGTAAAAAACCAAACAAACGAACAAAAAAAAAGCCCCAAACCAAAACCTCACGTTCCTTTTCTTCTATTCCAATATTGGTTTGGTGGTTGTGGAGAGGGATGCTTTAGGAACACTAAGCTTTTAGGTAAACAGAATTTAAGTGTTTTAGAAACCCATATTTTCACCATTATAATTACAAACTATTTAATTAGGCACGAAGAGCAATCAAGACCCAGCTTCCGATTACACCTGCTGACAGCACAGACGCAAATCTGCTAACTGCATCAAGATATATGCGGATCTGAGTTTTTTGAACACTATGCCGTTCCCAAGGCTTTACAGATCAGCAGGAGCCTCGAGAGCACCAGTTGAATAGCACTGGTATAATGTACAACAGGAACTGTAAAGCACTTAATAAACATGAAACACCATCAATTTTGAAGGCAGAGGGAAAGACATGAGGCATCTTCTCTCTGCTTCATACTTCTAAACACAGATTTTAGCCTCTCTGGAGAGAGAATTGTCTACCCCTTCCCCAGGCCTCAGCAGGTGTTATTCTTCTGAAACGGATGCAGGGCTAGGTTCTCTGCTGCCTGCCCATTTATATCCACATGTTTTGAGGTTTCTATAAGAGCTTAGGTGCTGCTACACATAACCTAGAATCCAATCTCATGCTGCACTATTCCTGAAGTGCGGGACTGCAGCAAATTACTTGTTTTTCCTTCACTTTGTTTTACCTGGTATATCTGTATGCAGTCCCTACAAGTGTCAGAAAACTGCAGTGTGGTAATCAGCAAGTTTGTTAATTCAGTCATATGGCAAGGGAAAGAGAGAAAGACCTTTAGATTGTGAATTAGAAAGCCTACTTTACAGTAAGGTATCTCTACAGTTCTGACCACCTACTTAATAAAGGTCACTGAATTTGTTCACTGTTTGATGCTCAGCCATACAGAAATTCATTGTCCTGGATATTAATATATAATCAATAGGAACCTCTGGCAGAGCAAAGAACAGGCAACCTCTAACCTCTTCAGGTGTTACATCTGCATTTGACAGTAACTACGCATGGGTCCTATGTCTGTGCTGCTTTATGGATGGCCTGAAGACCATAAACCCTTTATTGTGACGCTAAAAACCTGCTGTCAGAAGACAATCCTATAGATCATGCAGAAGCATGATCAATGCCTAAGATCCCTTTGTAGGCATGCTTGTTGTACTGGGAGCAGGTTATGCAGGCAGTGCCCTGAGACAGTTCAACAGAAGGAAGAAGGGCTTGGCATTTCCATGAGCATATCTTTAAAATCATGTAACAAAGTAAATGTAAAATAGGTAAGTTTAAGGGTTCACTGGAAACATTCTCACACACAGAGGGCTGTACTGTAAACTAATAATCCAAAACTCTGAGAAGATGCAATAGAACTGAACTTGTTGCTGTAGCAGACTTCCCAAGGAGCAAATTAACATAATTTGGTAGTCAAGGAACAGTAAATATAAGCATCCTACTTTCTACCTAGTTTCTAGTTCCTGACCTACCCTCAACTTTGAGTATCTCTCACTTTCCTGAGAGCAGACAAAGGATTATTTCTTTTGCAAAATGAAACAAGGAAAAGAAGCAGGAATTAAGGCTGTAGCTCAGTCCAGATAATCTAAATGACATGGATTGACTCTCTTGCTCTGCTGTCTCCTCGCCATACAGCAAGTCCTCTCTAGCATTTGCTGTACTAGGTGTAACAGAAGATCCATGGCCTTATAACACTCAAAAATGTTTTCATTGTATCAGTTTTATATCAATTTCTAATTGTATAATGCAAATTGAAAGCTGAAAGTAACAGTTAATTATCACAGGAGAAATTCTTGGTCAGTAGACCAAGACAGCCAATCAGTAAGACACCCATTATCTCCAGAGAATGCAACATGACCCTGCTCAGAGACAGCAAGACTACTTTGGGCTCCTCAATTTTCCTAAAAAGAGAGCTCATTATTTTCATATATAGATGCTGTTTATAAAAATAGATAAATATTATTACTCCCATTTTGCAGAAAGGTTAACTGAGATTATGACTTGCTCAAAGCCCAGCTTCACTGGAATGTTGAGCAAAATCTCATTCAAGCTATTATTGCTTCTCTCAGAGTAGGTGGATTTTTAGAACATTTTGAATAGGTACAGTGAGAGAAATAACAGCAGGCTTGATATGCTTCAGCTGTTAAAGTTATATGGTACTTTAATGCTTAATTCAAGCTAAACATTAAGGTCATTAGAAGAATCTGTCGAAAAAACTGTTATGAAGCAGCAGACCGAGTGTTGTGCCTATCAGACTATTATCTTTCACTGTTTCAGATGTAATATTAACCGCATTGGGATAAACAGAATGGAAAAGCTCTTGTTTAATTGACATTTGAAAGACAAAGACAATAGCTCTAAATGGAAATATATTGCTTGGATTCCAGGGGACCAGCCAAAAAAAATGCGAATAAAGAACAGGTAAGACTATAGACTATAATGTACTTCTATTGAAACATCTTGCCTTTTCTCTTTTTTTGAGAAATGTAAATAGTACACAGTAAATTAGATTTGATTTCTGGCAAATTATGCTTTGATACTACATTCAGCAAGCGCTGGTTTCAATCAATGTCACACTAAAGCTCTGTTATGGTAATAGCCGCTTGTGAGGCTGAGCGGGATGATATGGAAATCAGATGGTAGAACATGAATAGGCAGCATAGGCCATATGCAAGAGGGCTTTGAGATGAGGGGATGGGGGGACCCTAAGGTTAATCATATCATGTTCAGAACTGTTTTTACAGCAAAGAACAGTATTCTACTGCAACAATTAAAATGGAGACAGAAATGTATGAGCAGTAGTAATCATTAGTTATGTTATTCAAAATGGGAAGAGTGAATTCTGTTGAATTCTTTCTAGATGCTTTTTTTGTGCATGACTGAATGGATCTTTTAATCAAATAATAAACGTACATGAAGGTAACCTCTACTCAAGTGTCAAAGAGCTTTGGGTTAAAATAAAACCAAAAACAAAAACTGCAAATTATTTCAAAGGGATTTCTTAACTCTTCTCCAATCTTAATAAGTTAGCAGAATCTCTAATCTCATGGGATGGATTTCATTAATTTCTTTTCCAGCAGTGTTGTTGAATACTAAAGGTTATGCTGAGTCACCAGAAGCTGATAAAGCCGCTTGCTAGACTGAGACAGTGAGTTCATCCCTCCTAGGTGAACTCTGGTGACCTGATAAGAAATGTGGCAGAAAACTCAGTAGGGGAAGGGAAAATTAGCACAGAAAAATGTGAATTTATAGCAGAAATTTCACTGATTCTGTGTCAAGTACAGGCAACATTTTCATCCAGTGACACAGTTTTTTAAGTTGATCTTGTGATTTGTGGTTTACGTCGATTTCAATGATCCTAAAGGAATTTTATAATCACGACTTGTTCACAGTACCTGCCCCAGACCAGGTGTCCTGGGGTTCATACATTATATTGCTGTGATTTTAATTAATAGTAGATATTGTAGCAAGTTTTAGTCCAACATTGCTGCCACAAGAAGAAATGGAATGGTTACCCCAGCAACTAATATCAGTGGGATTTTGTGTGTCATTGGTTAAATCTGTCTAGGTGGTCTGGGAGATACTGGACTTTTGGATGCTTTTGTGATACAAATGTAAAAGAAATATATAAGTCCCTACTTATACACTTTGCTGTAACACTTCTATTTGGATAACATGATCTGCCCAAAAGTGCAGTTGCGAAAGTCTAGGAGTTTTCAAAGATGTTTTGCAAGGCTACTATTACTGATGGAGTAAACAGAAGAAAACAGAAAACATGTCCAGTCTCAAACACCAGAAACCTGGG